GCTATTGTTGCCGCTTGGGAAAGGTAGCCTAATATTGTTTGATCCTCTTAGAGACCCCAGAAATCCTATTTTGAGCATATTTGAAATACTTTTAAAGGAACAACTAAAAAATATTCAACTTCCAGCAACCCTCACTTATATCATTTAAGAATGAATAGAAACTGCCAGGTGCTAGTGGCTCATGCCTGTAATTCTAGCTCCTTAGGAGGCTGAGCTCTGAGGATCACAGTGCAAAGTCAGCCTGGGCAGGAAAAGTCTATAGAGACTGTTATTTCTAATTAGCCATAAAAAGTTGGAAGTGGAGCTGTAGCTCAAGTGATAGAATGCTAGCTTTGAGTAGAAAAGCTCAGAGACCAAGGCCCAGAGGCTTTTTTTTTAAATTGGGGGAGCAGGAAGAGAGAAATTGGCTACTGGCAAAAATCAGATTGGATAGGTCTTGAAGGTAGAAAGCACACTGGTACAATGTCTGACAGATAGTTATTTCTATTTAGGAATTTACTTTGCTAGGTTTAGTCAGGAAAAAATATTAGTCTTTCTGCAAGGTGCACACTTCTTTAAAACATACTCTTGGCAAATCCATCCAGATGTGGATTTGTAAGTTATTTATTGATCTCTTTTATCTATATTTCATATATATCATATTTCTCAAAAAAACTGTCTTATTTGGAGGCCAAGTGTTTGTTGAGTTTTGCCTTGGGGATGGAATACTAATTGGCAAAAGTCTCTGGTTATAAGATCATTCTATTCATTTCTCGTTAAGCCTACCTTTTTTTTTTTTTTGGCAGGTCATGGGGCTTGACCTCTGGACCTGGGCGCTGTTCCTGAGCTCGTCAGCTCAAGGCTAGCACTCTACCACCTGAGCCATAGCACCACTTCCAGTTTTCTAGTGGTTTATTGGAGATCACAGAGTCTCATAGAGTTTCTTGCCCAGGCTGGAGTTGAATCACAATCCTCAGATCTCAGCCTCCTGAGCAGCTAGGATTTACAGGTATGAGCCACTGGCACCTGGCCCTCAAGCCTGCCTTTTGTGTGTAAAGATTTCTCCCCAGTTTGCTCTCATAGATCATTTTTGGCCTTGTCTGTCACCTGTGATAGGAACCAAGGTGTTCTCATTTTCTGATTAAAAAAAGCCAGACCTCAGGCTCAGCAGTGTGTTAGTCAGGCTGGTGGAATAAAGAGCAGGTGGTTTGAGAGTATGTGATTCTGTGATCAGGTTCCTTCCAGGGTGCACTAAGCAATCAAGAAATTTAAACATCCATATCAAGCCACCTAACCTTTCCTGATACATTAGAATTTCCAACCTCCCTTTTTGGTGACATAATTTGCTTTCTAGATCAGTCTCAGACCCCAGAATAGTTACAGTGGAAAGCATCTTCCTCATAACAACTGGTCACTGCCTGAGTTCTCTGGTCACCCATGTTTCCAGGAACCACTTAGGAGATGTGAAACACCAAGCTAGTACTAACAGTGGGTCAACATTAGTTTGCTTTTACAAAAACATTGGGAACATTAGACTAGAAATTTGCATTCCTGTCATTCTTTTCCTACAAATCCCAGAACTCACTACTTTTAGATGTTTTATGGACTCACATTACTTGCAAATTCCTAAAATCTGGAAGGAAGCTGACATATAAGACATTTTTATTTATTTATTTATTTATTTATTTTTTTTTTTGTCGGTCGTGGGGCTTGAACTCTGGGCCTGGGTGCTGTCCCTCAGCTCTTCAGCTCAAGGCGAGCGCTCTACCACTTGAGCTACAGCGCCACTTCCGGTTTTCTGGTGGTTTATTGGAGATAGGAGTCTCACGGTCTCTCCTGCCCGGGCTGGCTTTGAACCGCGATCCTCAGATCTCAGCCTCCTGAGTAGCTAGGATTACAGGCGTGAGCCACCAGCGCCTGGCTTTAAGACATTTTTCTTATATGGGAATTATTCTCTAGTTCTTATGTATTCCATTTTTTCCCTCCATAAGTAAGAATAAGCTTGGACAAATGGAAAGATCTTTAGTCTGCCTCTTAGCTTTAGTATTCTATCTGCAAAATGAAAAACCCTGTTTCATAGGATTACTGTGAGGATCAGATGAGATTATATGTGAATGGAACTTGAAAAATATTAGTTTTTTTCCTTTCCCATTTTTATATTTTCAGTCCTTTACTATAATGCTGAGTTGTCCTATATAACTGAAAGAAAATAGATTCAATTTTCCTAATCCTTGGGTTGAGAAAAAGGATGGAGAGGAATAAGCTGGACAAAACTTAGTCATGTGCTGCACAATAATGTTTTGGTCAACCAAACCCACATATATGATGGCCATCCCATAACATTGTACCACCCAGTGATGTTGGAGCCTTCAGGTCATCTCTATCATTAAGTGACACGACTTAAGAAAGAAAAATACAGGTGTTAGAAAATACAGTTAGAAATGAGTAGGAAGACCAGGGACATCTTTGATGGAGGAAGATGAAGAGCCAAGAGGGGAAAAAAAGGGAACAACTAAACAAAAAAGTTAACAGAAGTAGTGTATTAGGACAATAGAGTAGCTTAACTAGACTTTCCTCTTATGTATAGGATTAACCAGAAAGCTCTAAATGAATGAGTCATTTGGTTCTAAAAATATAGAATATATTAATGCATTTTTATAAGAATTTTTATTTCAAAAGTGATTAGTAGGATTTGATGATTAAAGATGGATGTTTAATTATTTTTATATGCTATATACACTATACTATAAACTGGGCTGGTGCTAGCAGTAATCCAAACCTGGAAACTGTTTTCTGCACTGGATTTGAGCAGCACTGTACTGTAGTGGAAGGATTGAGCTGGAATCAGGGGTAGGTGTGACTGGTAGCCATAAAATATGAAACCTAGAGGGGTGGTAAGGTAGCTCAGGCCTGTACCCCTAACTACTTACTGGACAGAGATCTGAGGATTCCAGTTCAAAGCCAGCCTGGGCAGAGAAATCTAACTCTTATCCCCAATTAACCAGCAAAAAGCTGGAAGTGGAGCTGTGGTTAAACTAGAGCACCAGCCTTGAACAAAAAAGCTAAGGGACAGTGCCCAGGCCTTAAGTTCAAGCCCCAGTACCAGCATGTGCATGCATGCACACATATCACCCTCTTCCCCTGAACCCAGGCAGTACTTCATATTCTGGGGAATGTGAATGTCAGAGGTTATCCAGATGATCCCAAAGCATCATGTCACACATGCTAGAGTTCACTGTGACTGGAAGCTGCACATTCATCTGCTCATCAACGATTTTACATTTTTCCTTATAATTTCTTACTTTGTAACCAAACTATAGTTCTATCTTTATTTCATTAGCCAGAGAAACTTAGATAGGTTAAGCTTTGGTTTTTCAACCACAGCATGGATAAATGCCACTTTCATGCTTTCCATTTAGAGAGGATTAAATGACTTAAGGGACAGAAAAGTTCTCCATAAACCATTCAGTGAAATAGGTGTCATCAAGAAGGGCAGAAACTACATGTTAATATTATTATTTTCTTCTGGTGTGTTTAGAAAAAGCATGAAAAGGGCTCACCAAGAGACTCAGTGCTGTTCTAGACAGTTATTCAGGACTGTAAACTCGTTCAGAAAAAAATTACTGGGTTGAAACCTTTTACTTGATTGTTGCCTTATTAGTCAAGTCCTGCTTCTAATGGAGAAACTGATTTCAGATCCTTTGGCAGTTATGCAACATAAAAATGTCTTACAAAGTCGGGCGCCGGTGGCTCACGCCTGTAATCCTAGCTACTCAGGAGGCTGAGGTCTGAGGATATCGGTTCAAAGCCATCCGGGCAGGAAAGTCCATGAGACTCTTATCTCCAATAAACCACTTGAAAACCAGAAGTGGTGCTGTGGCTCAAGCGGTAGAGCGCTCGCCTTGAGCTGAAGAGTGCAAGGACAGCACCCAGGCCCAGAGTTCAAGACCCACTACTGACAAAAAAAAAAAAAAGTCTTACAACTAGGCAAGTGGCAATTCTAAGGTAATGCCATTGTCTTTCTGCCTAAACTTGACATTAACTTCCTACATTTTCTTATCCCCTCTTGCCCTCAGTCTCTTTCCACAGTGGATAGAACTGAAAGCCTTACCTGACAATAAACACCACTACAACTTTGCATTTGAAGCAACATATGAAGTCCTGCATGAGCAGGCTTCTGTCAATGTCTCCAGATTTCTCCAGCTTTCCTCCAAGTCACTTTTGGCACTTTTGGCACTCCAAGCTCTTAGGAAACCCATTTCCTTCCTGCTCCAGGAGCTTTACATGAGCTCTCCACTTGCTCTTCTTCACTCAGCTGACTCTAACTCATCTTTTAGATGTGAGCTAGAGAATATCTGAGAAAACACACTTGTGGACAAACCTTCCCAGAATGCTTTGCTTACTGCTCTTTCCTGTTCTCAGTGGCACTTATCAGTCTATGCTTCTCTGATTTTGTCTGTCTCCCTGACCAGATGAGACGCTCTGTAAGTTGTTCTCTATTTCATCTACCATATGAAACAAATAGGAGTCACTTCATACCTAACTGCAGAATGGGTGCTTGTAATCCATTTGCACTCATTTGCCCAATTTCCTTTATAGTGTGCCACACATTTGCCAGCCAGGTGGCGTACACTGAAAGCTATTCTAAATGGGAAAATTATTTTCCAATGATTGGTAAAAGGTCAACAGAGATTTTCATCATTGAAGTGGTTAAGTGGAGAATAATGAAATTTAATTTAATATTCTGACATGAAGAAGGAATTTCTAAGGGGACAGTTAGTTTGGTTACACAGTGTATTTTTATACCTCTAGTTTTCAAAAATGGGAAAGAACTCTGGAATCCCATCACACAGTCATGCATGGCTTGAATGTCATGCTGTCTTACTCTATTTATTGGTTTCATGTGAATGCATGAGATGTCTCATTCTGCCTCCTCCTTCCTCAGCTTCCATGCTTCTTAGGTGAGTTAAAACTAACACAGTCAGAGCACAGAAGGTATATATTTGAATAGGCCTTATTACCTTTTCTTCTGAGTCTCCTGGTTGGCATGTAATTACTCCATCTCGTGATCCTCCTGCAAATGTTGCTTTACAATTTGCAAGCCACTGTGGTCGGAAAAAGAGACAAACAGGCACATTCAGAGATGGCTTGAAAAATGTTTAAAACACAAGCTCTGCCGGAAGAATTTATAATTAACTATCTCATGGTAGTAAAATTTTACTCTAATCTTTTGAGCCTTTCCTGAAAGTCAGTAAAGAGGAACTGAAATTAAATATCTGTTTGGGCTCAGTGATCGTCACTTAAAAATATTTCATGCTGATGGCTCGTGCCTATAATACTAGCTACTCAAAAGGCTGAAATCTGAGGATCTCTGAAGCCAGCTCAGGCAAGAGAGTTTATGGGACTCTTACCTCCAATTTACCATCATAAAGCTGGAAGTGGATGGCTCATGCCTGTAATCCTAGCTACTCAGGAGGCTGAGATATGAGGATTGCAGTTCAAAGCCATCTTGGGCAGGAAAGTCTATGAGACTCTTATCATCAATTAACTACCAGAAAACCAGAAATGGCACTGTGGTTCAAGTGGTAGAGTGCCCTCCTTGAGCTGAAGAGTTGAGGGACAGCTCCAATGCCTAGAGTTCAACAAAAAATTTAAAAAGCTGGAAGTGGAGTTGTGGCTCAAATGGTACAGCACTAGCCTTAAATGCAGACAAACTAAGGGACAGTGCCTAGGCCGTGAGTTCAAGTTCCATTACTTGCACAAAAAAATAATTTAAAATTGCAATATATTGCTTTGAGGTTTCAGCAGACTTTTTTTTTTTTTTTTTGTCAGTCGTGGGTTTGAACTCTGGGCGTCCAGCACTTTGAGTTACAATATACAATGCTACTTCTGGTTTTCTGGTGGTTAATTGGCGATAAAAGTCTCATGGACTTTGTTGCCCAGGCTGGCTTTGAACTGCAGTCCTCAGATCTCAGCTTTCTGAGTAGCTAGGATTACAGGCGTGAGTCACCAGCGTCTGGCTAAACAGACTATTCTTAATTTGTGTATAAATGAAAATGAATACATCCATGGTTGGAGACTATTTGCATGGTTTAGATTAGTGAGTGGGACTGACACTTCCTCACAGACTGCAATTCTTGTCTTGGGACATACCTAGTTCTCTCTTATGGTCAGACAATTTCTATGGGACAGGTCTTCATCCACAGAAAGGAAATAACAGCAAAGCTCAGCTATTTAACTATGGAGATTCTGTAAATCTTAAGCATTTGGAATAGTAATTCATACAGATGTGAACCTGGAACTTGCCACTAATAAGTTAGTTCGGTTCACCAGCCAAAATGAAGGGATTGTACTTATTGGATGATGACTGAGAAATGGGATATATGACAGGCAAAGAGATATAAAAATAGAAGACAGATTGCAAAGGATGCAACATCAGAACTCTTGCTTTTGGATAGATCAATAACAACAATGCAATAAACAAACCCAAACCTAATAACTATAACAATGTGCTGGGAAGTTTTCAGATATTATTGATATTTTCAGGAAAATATTATGTTATTGTGTTGTTAAAAATAGGAACCTTGGAGTCTTGATCTTCATTCTAACCACACTCCTCCATTCCCTCAGGGAGTGAGGATAATAATAGCATCTCTTAGCAATTCTTCCTGGAATTGGCAGCATTCAGTGACTTAATTTAAGACATTTAACACTTAGAAGGCTGTTGGGCACAGAGAATGGACTCAGATACGATAGCTTCTATGACTGTTATAACTTGTACATCCTTACAATTCTGCACTGGCTCACAGATGATGATCTGAGACTAGAGAAGGTAAATAACATATTCAGGCTCAGTAACTGAGCTATGATTCGAACCCAAGTCCATTTGACTTGAAAATCCATTTTCCAAGCAAATTACCATTGAATCACCAAATTCTCTAGGCCTTCATCTTTCAGAAAACAGAGGTTTACAAGGAAAGCTAGACCTCTTAACATTTTACCACTTAGATCTATGAGGGAAGAGAAGGGAGTAAGAGCCAAGGCCCAGAGAAGCTACAGGGAGAAGTAGCTACCTAGAGCAGTTAAGAGGGCAAGAAGATGGAGATTACCTTTAAGAGTTTTGGGTGGGGAAGTAAACAATAAATTCATATCTCTCATGAAAGAAAAGTTGTAACATTGAAAAAAACTTATGAAGCAGACACAAAAGATAAACTGTGATTTCTTGTTTACAGACATTAGGGAACTAATTATATATAGTCTCTCTATATCTAGGCAGTTCTGCCACCTCTCAATAGGAACTGTAATTCCAACAGAGGAAAAGGTGCCATCTGCCTTCTCTCTGCAGAATCCATTTTAGGTTATTTCGTAGCATCTTCCAAACATTCATCATGGTTGGGCTCATTTGGTTTTTATCTGAATGAAACACAAGCTTACTGAGAGAGTGGCCTCTTTTCTGTTGTTGTAGGTATCCAAATATTCTTGCAATTCTAAGACACTGAACTTGAGCTTGTCCAGAAGTCCACAAGAAAGGAGCTTAAAGACAGGAAAATAATTTGTATTAAAACAACTAAGGAACTACTTCACATGAAGATGTGGCTACACATGTGGAAAAATGGTTTTAGAAATTAGGTAAATGGGAGCAGAAGAACCATGCATTTTAATAAAAAAAATGCACTACCTAATTTACTACCAGCTGTACTTGGACTTGATAATACTAGCTTGCTAATCCAAGCCTAGCAAAACATGTTTTTATATTAGTATAGACAGACAAGACTTCCCAAGAATTCCATGAAAAACCCGAAGTCCAGTAATATTCCAGGTAGTATGAGAGCAGACCTCCACTGAGGCTTTCAAACTGACTTTGTATTTAACCTTGATTTGAAATCACAGGGAGAATTAGTTCTGCTGTATTCCTTGTTGCAAGGCAGCAAAACCAGCAATTGGGTTTTTGGAAAGATGGACTCTGTAGGGACTGTAAATATCAAGGCATGGTGGAACAAGCCTATATCTCAGCCCTTGGTAAGAGTTCTCAACCAGCTGGACCACATAGCAAGAGCTTGTCTTTTAAAAATGTCCATTGCATATCCTCATTGGTTCTGAACCTCCTCAGTTTATTTTGCCAACATGATAGGGCTGTAACCCTGCCCTCAAAAAGCTTGTCAGTTTTGCAAAGTTATAGTTGTGCTTATAAAATCATAATTCAATCGGTCTGAAACTGTCTTAATCATCCTCTAGTCCCTCATCATTCATGGTTTGGGCTGGTTTGAGATGGGTACAGGAAAAGGAGAGCAAGTTGGCTCTAGATACCCATCAGGCTAGCCAGCTGGGTATGAGGGAAAGTTATGAAACCACAGGTACAGCTGCAAAATCAGAATCATTAAAAGGAGCTAGCTACTCTGGAGGCTGAGATCTGAGGATCATGGTTTGAAGCCAGATTGGGCAGGAAACTCTGTAAGATTCTTATCTCCAATTAACTACTCAAATAGCTGAGCAAAAGAAGCTCAGGGACAGTGGCCAGGCCTGAGTTCAGGCCCCAGGATCAGAAAAAAAATATGCCAAGGACATGGATGGACAACAGAGGTAGACTTTTTTTTACTCCTGATTCTCTGAAATGGCTTGGCCTGGGATAGCAATGTACATGGATGGCCCTGCAGACCCACAGGACTTTGGAAGTCATACCAACATGACACTTCTCCCAACACTGAAGAAGATGTCTTTAAAACCACTACACAAACAGTGTAGTGGTTTTAGTGACACTGCCCAGCTGGGCAGTGGCAGGCCCTTCGCTGCCACAGCAGGGCTGAGATACTCACGGTCTCAGCATCCACAAACAGCGTGGGACATTCAGAGCAGGAGGTGAGCATCTGGGAAGAGCTGACAAATTTAGATCCAATTCCCCGGAGGTTGTCTCCAAGGTAACTGGCTGCATCACAGGTCAGGAAGCAGAACCTTTTCTGAATATTCTGTAGGGCAGGATTAGCAATCATTTGCAAAGGTCAAGTTTAACTTAGGCACCAGAGAAAACCTTTTTTGGGGCTAGTGGTGAGACTTTAAAATTGATTTGAAATATAGATTGTGGAGTGGATAAATATAGCTATGAACATTGTCCATTATCTCACATATTTATTGCTATTGCGGTAAAAAAAAGACCCTCAAAATCCAGTCTTTTAGCATTTAAAAAAATCCTTACTAATAGAAAACATGTTTTAAAATCTTTTGTTTGTGTGTGCCAGTACTGAGGCTTGAACTCAAGGCCTGGCACTTTGCTTTTTTGTTCAAGGATAGTGCCCTATTACTTCACAGCCCCACTTCCAGCTTTTTGCTGGTTAACTGGAGAATAAACTCTCAGACTTGCCTTCCCAGACTGGCTTCAACCTGTGATCCTTAGATCTCAGCCTCCTTAGTAGCTAGGATTTCTGTTCTAAGTCACCAGTGCCTCATTATGTTTTAAAATCTTTATCAAAATATTTAATGGAGCCAGGATGTGGTGGCTCACACCTGTAATCCTAGCTACTCAGAAGGCTGAGATCTGAGGACCGAGGTTTAAAGCCAGCCTGGGAAGAAAAGTCCCTCTGAGACTCTTTTATCTCCAACTAACCACTCAGATACCAGAAGTGGAGCTGTGGCTCAAAATAGTAGAGTGCTAACCTTGAGCAAAAGAGTACAGGGACAGTGCCCAGGCTCTGAGTTCAAGCCTCACAACCAACCAAAAAAAATATTGATGGCATAGGTTCTCAGGGAAGACTGGGGGTGTGTGAGGGAGGTAAGAACTTTAATGGTCCTGATGCCATGGTCACCCAAGATAAGAAAGGCCATATATGCTACAGTGGGAGATGTTCAAGGTATTCCGTATCAGCACACCTAAAATCTGCTGCATTTATTGCCACCCTGAGAGGGTTGAATAGAAGAAATTGTAGCTAGAGGAATTTAGGGACATCTAGATAACAGGATAATTCTTAAATGAAACAGCACCCTATTTTGGAACCTAAAGCTACCCTTCTCTCTAAAGTCATCTGATGACCCCTGTACCTTAAACAGAGAGGAGAACACATGAAAGGTGTAGACGGCGCAGGAGCCATCGGAGTCACACATGAGCTGGTTGATGTGGCTGCGCCAGGCCTCTTCAGCATCGTCACAGGCTGCAGGCTGAAAGGCAGCAAGGATGGCAGAGAAGAAAGGCGAGGGCGGGGGAGACACTCCCCTGTCACCTTCTCCAAAGCTGGAAAACATGCAAACCAGTGTGTCAGGAAGTGAGGTCATCTTTTGCCTGGCTGTACAAATTCCCCCCCAAAGGGGTTGTGGGGATTTGGCTTGCTTCAGAGATCTGAGATACTTTTTGATTCTAGGAGATTGCTCGATTTCTCATTCCCTTATACAGACCTGGCACTCCTTTTAGCCATCCGCAAGGGTCTCCATACCCCAAAAAGGAAACATTTGTTCCCATGTACTTGCACTTCATTTCATCTTCATTTTTCCCTACTATGAATGAATTATACTGAGTGTTTTGTTTCTTCTAACTTGTCCCTTATGGAGAAGGACTGGAGATGAATAAATGATCAGGATATGAAGGGGAGAAGGTGAAGAAATGAAAGAAGAGAAATGCAGGATAAGAGACTGGCACAGAAAAAGTGAAAAGTCAAACTCCTCTCCAGGAGTCTCAGCTTTTTCCTTTGATGGGTCAGTTATGACTCATCATGACAGAGTCTTCATCTAACCAGGTCAGAAATTTATATTTAGTTCTCATTTTTCAGCTTTCAGAAGAGGAATTCTAGGATCTTGACTCTGAAGTAAATCTATAACATTATAACTTGTGACTTAACGCTAGAAGCTGAACTTAGGTAGAATGTTATTATTCCGTTTCCCTTTTCTATTCATATAGCTCACTAGTTTCAAAGATACCAGTGTCAAGGCTGAATGAAACATGCCCACTTAAGAGAACAGTAATATTGCCAGATATGGTGATGCATGCCTGTAATCCTAGCACTCAGATGGCTAAGAAAGCAGGATCTCGAGTCCAAGGACAGTTTGGGTTACATAGTGAGACTTTGTCTCAAAAAAGTAGTGTGTCAAGAGCATTTTCTGGTATGTGTATACCTGCCAGCACTGAAGTTTAACCTCTGCCTTGGTGCTGTCCCTTAGCTTTTTGCTCATACCTCCACTTCCAGCTTTTTGGTGTTTAAATAGAGATAAGAGTCTCTGGCTTTTCTTAAATGTGCTAGTCCTGGGACTTGAGCCACAGTCTACTTCTTCTTCTTCTTTTTTTTTTTTTTTGCCAGTCCTGGGGTTTGAACTGAGGGGCCTGGGCACTGTCTCTGAGCCTCTTTTTGTTCAAGGCTTGCGCTTTACCACTTGAGCCACAGTGCCACTTCTGGCTTTTTCTGGTTAATTTATTGGGGATAATTTATTGAGGATAAGAGTCTCGTGGACTTTTCTGCCTGGGGTAGTTTAAACCATGATCCTCAGATCTCAGCTTCCTGAGTAGCTAGGATTACAGGCATGAGCCACTGCACCCAGCCTTTTGGTTGGTTAATTGGAGGTAAGAGTCTCATGGACTTCCCTGCTGAGGCTGGCTTCAAAATGAGATCCTCAGGAGTGAGCCAGGTGCCCAGCAAGAGTCTCTTGTTTGTGTCTTTTAACTCAAAATGGAAAGAACTCATTGCCAAAATGTTTGCCTGTCTTCAAAGCTTATAAGGCCTGACCCATGTCTCCAGGCCCTTCTTTCTGGCTTTTCAAATTGTTTTATAAATGCCTTTCTTGGTCCTTTCTTGGTTTCACTCAGGCCCTTACTGGGTAGGAGGACTGTCAGTGAGGGGTGTGGGCTCCTTTGTTAGGAGGCCCCAGCAGTACAGCTTTGCACTGCACGTGGGTTGTGTGAGGGCTGCACCATGTGCTGTGCACACTCACATGCTCTCACAACTCGTTCCTGCCAGGGGTGGCCTTACCTTGCAAGGGTAAACTGGTCCAGGCCCCGATTGCTTTTGTCCTCTGCCTCAGTCATGTCCAGACTGAAGCTGTCACTGCATTCAAAAGCTGCAGGGAGCTCATTGATGGAACCTGAAAGATCATCCTCGTGCACTGTGGTGTCTTCTTCCTCTTGCAGAGTGTCAGCCTAAAGGGATTGAAAAGAATCCTTCTACATAAGCACACAGACAAGATATCCTGTTGATCCATAGCAGAAAATACAATACTGAGAATGAAGACATCCTGTTGAAATAAAATGCTGAAAGTGACTGGTAGAAATGGACATTTGTTTTCTAGTTACAACACAATCGATTGCTAGAAGTAGGTTCAGAAATGGAAGTGCCATGTGTTCATTATCTTCCTTTCAGTCTCTTTTCAGGCCTCCCAACGGGCTTTTAGTAATTATCATATTGAACTAATGCTTATGGAGTATAAATGGTAAACTTGGAAAAGTCTGCAGAGAATTCCTGGGCCAAGAGACGAGCATGTGAAAAGAGGCTCCTTAATGTCGGGAGGTTGATAAGAGTGGAGCTAGGAAGAGGAACACGGCCTTTGGATTCAGAACTCCTCACGCTTGCCACCTGAGTTTTAGAAGCACAGGAAGTAGGATTTAGAATTACCAGTGCCTGTGGTACAGTAAATGCTCAAGAAATAACAGTACTGTGCTCAAGTGATCAAAGGCCTGCTCAGTTTTAATTAATTTTTTGGTGCTGTTACTGGGGCCTGGGTACTATCCCTGTGAGCACTAGCCTTGAGCCAAAAAAGCTATCACTTGAGTCACAGCTCCACTTCCAGCTTTTTGCTGGTTAATTGGAGATAAAAGTCAAGCACTTTTGTCCCCGATGGTCTGGCTCTGAATAAACATCCTCAAGATCTCAGTTGCTAGGATTACAGGCATGAATCATTGGCACCTGGCTTGTTTTTTTTTTGTTGTTGTTGGGGTTGGCACTGTACCACTTGAGCCACACCTCCACTTCTTACTGTTAATTGGAGGTAAGATTAATTGGATTTATCTACCTGGTCTAGTTTTGACCTGTGATCTTCAAAGCTCAGCCTTCTGAGAAGCTAGGGTTACAGGTATTAACATTAGCAATTGGTGCCCAAGCAGGCTTTTCTATATTGAAAATTGTAATGTCCACTTGCACATATAATGTACATATGGCTTCAAGATAGCATATCTGAATACATGCATGCTTTTGCTCTATTATAGCATGTGAATGAGTGGGGACAGGAAACAACTCTAGGGCAGACAGAACAGGGGTCAGTAACAGGCAGGAAAGAGACATAACCAGTAAAATGGACAAAGAGGCTGGGCTTGAACTTGGGCCAGGGGGAAATTAGCTGGAGAACCGATTGTTCTCTATGAGAGGAAGGAAGGCAACTGGTTACACACCACAGGAGAGGAAATATACCCGTACATGTTTGAGTCATTTTTTTAAAAAACAAAATGTGTATGAATTAGAGTTTTATCACAGGTTAACATGTAGCCACCCATTTAGTTTATGGCATTTTGAATCTATGTTTCATAGGGGTAAATTAACAAGAATGTTAATTAGCACGAAGATGTATTAGAAGAACAGGTTACCGCATGTGTTAGAAGGAACTGCTTATAACTGTTGCATCTGCTTTGCTGTTCAATGATACTGGCTTCTGCGAAGACTATTCCAGTTATTAGTGCACATGAATTTATTCAGATAGGGCTGAGTTCTCATAAAAGCACCTTCCCCCCCCTTTAGCATAAACACATATCAAACACCACAGAAACCTAGCTCATGAGAAAAATAGGAAAATGAGACACAACCAGCTGGACATGATGTTACATGCTTGTTAATTCCAGCTACTCTTCAAGTGGAGGGAGGCAGATGGAAAGTTCAAAGCCAGCATAGGGAAAATAATCAAGACTGCTTCAAAAACAAGAATATAAAGAATATATAAAGGAAAAGGCTTGGGGGAGGTATAGTTCTAGTGGTAGATTGATTTCTAGCATACATGGGGCCCTGGGTTAAAGCCTATAACTATAAAACAAAAACCCAAGAGTCTTATGGACTTTCCTGCCCAAGCTAGTTTTGAATCACAATCCTTAGGTCTCAGCCCCTGAGTAGCTAGGAGTATTTATAGACACCTAGCATGAAATTTAATTTTTTAGCCTTTAGGATTCTGATATTTTAACATAGAACAAAAGTTTTCTTTTTTCCTTTTTGGCTAAAAAAGGACTCTGCCTAATCTAAGAGTCCCGATTACAGTCCCATTCAAGGGGAGTGTGTGTGTGTGTGCGTGCGTGCGTGCGTGCGTGCGTGCGTGCGTTTGTGTGCGCACGCACACACGCACGCCCCAGTACTGAGTCTTGAAGTCAGGGCTTCACACTCTTGCTTGGCTTTTTTGACTCAAATTTCTATTTCCTGGCTTTTGGCTGGTTGAGGTACTATGTTTCTCAGATTTGTCTGTGCAGGCTGGCTTTGAGCTATAATCCTCATATCTCAGCCTTTTTTTTTTTTTTTTTTTTGTCAGTTATGGGGCTTGAACTCTGGGCCTGGGCAATGGCCCTGAGTTCTTAAGCTCAAGGCAAGCACTCTACCATTTGAGCCATAGCACTACCTCCGGTTTTCTGGTGGTTAATTGGAGATAAGAGTCTCCTGGATTTTCCTTGCTTAGGCTGGCTTTGAACCACAATCCTCAGATCTCAGTCTTCTGAGTAGCTAGGATAACAGGTGTGAGCAACTAGCCCCTGGAATATCTCAGCCTCTTGAGTAGCTAGGATTACAGATGTGACCCATCAGTGCCCACCTCAAAAATATGTATTTAAGCTTCTGCATTTTTAGGCAATTGCTTTTTGGTGGTTGCATGTAGGTTTTTCTCACTCTCAACTCTGTTTTTCTAATAACACCTTGTAAAATAATGTAGAGTAGAGAGTATTGTACTTTGTCTTTAGAAGTATCTGAAGAAATATATTTCTATAAGTTTTTCCTATTTTCTCTTTTGGAGTTACACAATCAAACTCAGGCTAAAGAAGATTTTATCCTAATAGCAACAGATTATTTTGGGATTTTTAATAGGACATAAAATTCTATATTGACAGGCATAGAAGTTTCATAGGAGAAATTAACAAGAAGATGGCTTTATAGACAGCATATTTTCTGGAAATTATGATAAAATGAATCTTTTTGTGTGTATGTGTGTGTTTGCCAATCCTGGTGCTTGACTCAGTGCCTGAGTACTCTCCCTGAGCTTCTTTTGCTCGAGGCTAGCACTCTACCACTTGAGCTACAGCACCACTTGTAGCTTTTTCTGCTTATGTGGTTGTAAGAACTCAAACCCAGGGCTTCATGCATGCTAGCCAAGCACTCTAATGCTAAGCTGCATTCCCAACTTTGTTAGCTTTTTCAAAAGAGGACATTATATTCATTAGTTAACTTTCCTACTTGGAGAGTCTCACTAGGAGAGCTTTCACATAGTACTGTGATTGACACTAAGAAATTCCTATAGCATGCCAAAAGGCTAGCACTGAATCAATGGGCAAATTGTATAATTGGTTCCTACATAAGAAAAAATTTTCCCCAAATACAGGCCCTCCCACCCACACCTTCCTTAGCATATTGTTTCATAAAAGCCAAGACAGAGAGCATTTCCTCAGCCACAGTGATCAATCGTAGACATATGCCACTTTGTTTTGACCTCCATCAGCAGGGTTCATGCAAAGCCTCTCATTTTACCAAGTACTTTCTGATCAGTTCTTTCAGCCAAGTAGATGGCTTCTTGAATTAGGCAGTGTAAAACAACGTGAAGCCATGAGTTCAGATGCACAAGCTTCAATTATTTCATTAACCAGACAGTTTAAAAAAAAGTCCTTCTACTTTTAAGCTCCTTTTCTCTAGTTCTCAGAAAATGAAAACTACTTTTTTCCTTAAGGAAACTGTCATAATTGCCCCAAATCTCACCTTTGAACTCTCTGAAATCTGCAGATTATTCATATCAGGCAAAGCAGCATCAAAGCTAGCCATTCTGGTGTTAAAGGAATGAGGGTCGGCGGGGGTGGAGTCGCATGCAGTGGCCAGCAGTTCCATGGGATTGGTCTCCTCCGAGGGCGAGAGGGTCATGATCTGTTCACAAAAGCAAAGGAAATAAAACAGTATGTGAGTGTCCCATTCTTTAGGAGCTCTAACTGTTCCTTTCATAAGACCTCACGCTGTTGCTCTCTGGTTGCTAGCTGACAGGTTTTAATTTCCTAACTTCCATATGTCACCATTATTGGACCTTAAACATAGCGACAGGTAATCTAGTATTAATCTGGTATCCTTAAAACACCAGTTGCTGCATTGTCAGAGAACCTCATTAAAATAACTATCATATTTCCTAAAGTGTTAGCTACTCGAGAAGTTAAAAAGAAAATACTGGCATCATAACAATTTGGGGAAAAGTAAGGCTGGATGGCTTTACTGGATATACAACATGGACCAAGACTGGAAAGCTTTCAGAGTATAACACATGGACGCCAGCAATTGTTTTTATCTGTCACCTCCAGAGAAGAATCTACTTAGAATCCAGGACCACCTGACAGCTGAGATTTTAGTTTAGCAATGGTGACAGGTTTCAAGTTTCTTTAGCTGGGAACTAGATTCAGAAATCCTTCCCTGATTACAGAAACCAGGGCTCCCAGTTCCTCCAGTGGGAGAGTTGCTACTTACTAGGTCTGAGTGCTCCAGGATCTGGCTAGTGGTGAGGTCTTCCTCCTCGGAGGATTCATCAGAATCCTCGTGGTTCATTTGATTGAGGCTGGGAGTACTTCCTGAGAGCTGGCGTTCCTCCAGAGTCTGCATGTCGCACTTGTCCAGGCTGTCCAGAGAACGCCTGCGCACGCCCCAGTTGAAATTGTCCATGCTCTCCCCCTGAAATCACAGCACAGCCAGCTTTTACACCCTGATTCTCCAGCATAGCTTTCACACAGCCGGTTTAGAAACAAATCTGATCCTCATCAACTCTCAAGCCCTCATCTGCTGGGGTATACACACTTGTACTTTACCTGATGTGAAAAGACACAAAAGCAGACTGTTGCCCTGTAGATGTGTGTTAAGTCAGAGGTAGAAGTGATTGTATCCTTTTCTTTGGCATGCTGGATATTATGTATTGTTTTGTTTTTTTAAAGTTGATTTTTGTTAACCCTAGATATGATCTGTGTTTTCCAAAATCTTCAAGAAAGAAAATTCTAATACCAAAACAAACAAAAAAGAAGTATGCTCTCTCCCTTCCCCCACCAGCCTTGTTTAGTAGTTTTTGGAAGGAAAGACATGTAGGAACTATGCTTGCAGCACATTCCGGAATCCTTTGGCTATGAAGTGGAAGAGCATTAGGTAAACATTCCAGCCGGTTCGGCCACAGCGATTTTCACAGATAAAATGCAGAGTTCAAAGACTGTCAGAGAATGGGGCAAAGTTGACAGATCATGCACTATGCAGAGGCCAGAGCAGCCATGGCTTTGCTTTTGCTTTAGACGTGTTTTTTAAAATAATTGTCCCAAACTTGAAACTAGTTAATTTCCTGAAAGAAAGATTATTGCCCAATTATACATTCTGATTTACTGACCACTGGTTGAAATGGCCATGTAAGTGTTAAAGCTCTTGGTTTCTTTCTCTATACTTCATCAGACACTAAACAAAGTTGCTTAGTATTAATTTTTTTTTTTTTGTACAATTGAATTTGGGTTTTTTCTCTGTTAGGAAAGAAATAAAGGAAAGGGGTATTCTTCATTTCACTGATAAGCAAATTTTAACCTAAAGAAAAACACAATTTGAATAAAATGTAGCTCTACAATCTTTCACTTATCATTTTTGTGTCTGTGCCAGTATTGAGACTGGGGGCTTGAACTCAGGATCCCACACTCTTGTTTTTTTTTTTTTTCCCAAGGATGGTACTCTACCACTTGAGCCACAGCAGCACTTCTGGATTTTGGCTGGCTAAGTAGAAGTAAGAGTTTTGGACTTTTCTGCCTGGGCTGTTTTCAAACCTTGATACTCAGATCTCAGATAGTCAGATACGCAGATCTGAGTAGTTAGAATTACAGGCATGAGCCACTGATGCAATGTTCATTTTTTTTGGGTAATTTGAAGCACAGCATAATGATTGACTGAAATAAGGTAACTTTCCTGATGAGAGTTCAGTGAACAGTGTAATCATATGAGAAATGGGAATGATGGTTAAATTTAGTATTACACTTGTTCCTTTTCTTCTGGTTTCAGTCTATTGTTTTTGGTTCCTAATAAAACATTTACTGTTATCACAGATCTGTGGTATCAGCTGCTTAGCTTTTCTAAAGTTTGTTTTAGCTGTTGGTGGGTGAAGGGAATAGGTAAGTATCCTAAACATGTTATTCTGGATAGTACCAAGGTTATCATTACTCCTCCCCATCATGACAGCTATCAGGGCATTTGATCACAAGGCCAGCAGACCCAGAAGACTTCATCCTCTGTATCTGCTGTCTCATCTTTATCTATAGCTTGACTTCAGGTTTCTGCATTCCAAAGTCCGAAGTCTCCCAAATCCAAACCATCTGAAGTACAATCATGTCTCAAGTGGAAAATTTCACACTGGATCTCATACGATCAGTTGACAGTCAGAACACAGAATACCTAAAAATACTGTAGAGAATTACCTCCAGAGGTTATGCATATGTATAAAGCATATAGGAAGTTTTGTGTTGATATTTGGGGCCTATCTCTAAGTTATCTCATTGTGTATGCAAAAATCCAAAATTTGAAACAAAACAAAAACCAAATCCAAAAGGAAAAAAATTCCTAAATCTGAAATGGTTATAAGCATTTTGGTTAAGGGACATTGAACTTGTGTTTGATTTTACCTTTGTTTGCTGTGATAAGTAATCATTTTTTTTTTTTTTTTGGGTCCGGTCGTGGGGCCTGGGCCTGTCCCTCAGCTCTTCAGCTCAAGGCTAGCACTCTACCACTTGACCCACACTTCCGGCTTTTTTCTTTTTGCTTATGTGGTGCTGAGGAATCGAACTCAGGGCCTCAGGCATGCAAGGCAAGCACTCTACCACTGAGCCACCTTCCCAGCCCCAGTAATCACTTTTTTTTTAAATGGTGGAAAAGACTAATGCTACATTGATTTTTATAAATAACTTACAGTAGAAAAATAGAAAAATATGTAAGAGTAAGAAGTCTTTGGAAAAAAGGAAAATTCAATATGTGAAGAAAGGAAAAAAAGATAAAAAAGACATACAAGAATGGAAAAAAAATCACTGCAAGAAATATACAAAGTCACAAAATAGATATCCTTGTACTAAATGAACTGATGGGTTGCATTAACTCTTAAGCAACAGTTTTCTCTTACAATGATCTAAAGGCACAGTCACAAACCTCCCAAACAACATAGATGTCTAGGGTATGAGTACATTGTGAAGGACACAGATGGTTGCTACTGTTGACTTGGAGGAAGCTCTAGTGAGTGCTCATTGAGCATGATGACAGGGAGACAGGGAAAGCAGTTCTTGCAGGAATAAGATCTGTTCTGGTTGAAAATACAACAGCCTTGTTAGAGGCAAAGGCATCAAAACTGTCCCTGGTTAACTTTCCTGAGCTAGTGTAGATAATATCACTCTAGTTTCAAGTCCCCGGTGACAGGGGCTGGGGTGGTGGTGGTGCATGGTTAGAACTTATGTGAGGCCTGGTTCAATCCTGAGCACACCTCAAAAAAGTCTATGTTGATGAAGTCATAGGCCAGGCTTTGGTGAATGGCACAGGGACACACCCCTGATGCAGCCACCCTCCATCCTGCCTTTCCCCAAATGTCAGATTTGCATTTTCATTCATAAAAAGTTAAAAGTCAAATAGTGTTTTACTGAGAATGGCAGATACTATGTGAGAAAATGTAAAGGATGGCTGGGTGTACATATGGTTATCAAGCTAAAATGTAGCACACAGGACTTACACTGGGATAGACATTTATTAACAAATACTCTAGAAATGTTAGAAATATTCAAATAGAAATATTCAAAAAGAATTATCTTATGGGTGGTACTAAGGATGGAAGCCAGGGCTTTATGTAGGCTAAGGATGCATTCTACCACTAAGCCATACCCCTAATCCAAAAGGTATTGTTGAAGGAGTGTATGTGATCAAGTACGTTCCCCCAAATGAAACTTCCTGGAGTTGTTTCTGATATGACAGCCATAGAGTGATTATAAGTCAATTTTCTAAGGCTGGCCTTGGTTTATGCCAATTATATCTAGGTGTTCATTATTATTTTACTCTTTTTGGTTTAGATGAAAATTTATCTAGTCACCATACGGAGATATTTTCCAATTTTTAGAAAACAAAAAGATTTCATTAAAAGCAAATATGGTATATCATTAGCCTCAGGCTTCAGATGTATGTGTGTGTGTGTGTGTGTGTGTGTGTGTGTGTGTGTGTGTGTGTGTGTGTGTGTGTGTGTGTGTGTGTGTGTGTGTGTGTGTGTGTGTGTGTGTGTGAAAGAGAGAGAGAGAGAGAGAGAGAAAGAGAGAGAGAGAGAGAGAGATTGGGCTAGAACCTAGGGTCTAAGCACATATAGGACCACTGAATCACACCCCTAGCCCAGTTTCACTCGATAAAATAATTTAGCAACCAAACTCATCCAGTTTTAGTTGCTTCATGAGAAAATGTAGGATTTCCATGAATTACATTGGAAACACCACTGTTTCTCAAGAGATATCATCATGCAACTTCCAGAACTATACATATGAAGACTTTTTTTTTTTAAATCCTGCATTTCTAGTTTTTAGAAAATATATCTATACTAGAGCAGCCAAGAACAAATATCTCAAATCACACACATCTAAACAGAAATATACACGCAAATAAGCATATGCTTGCTGGAAGGAAGGAAAAAAGCAATTACATTGTTATAAATCTGCAATGATGCCAAACATCTACTAGCACATCAGAATTAAAAATAGCATCATCTTACCTGGAGTTCCTGGGGAGCAGACAGAATGGGCAAAAAAACAAATAAAAGGTCTATTTAAAATGATGACATAAGATATTCAAATGCATTTGTCTTAGCTTTAACACAACAGTGCTAACAATATATACTTCAGTAGATGCAAATTCTGAAAAAGGTGAAATATGTATTACCTCCAAAGAGAAAAATTATGATTAAACATCAGAAATGTTGCACTTCTTAATGGTGAGTGATATAGTCGGGATAATAAATCATAGACACAGTTTCTGAAGTAGCTTTGCTTTCTGTGACTACTTTGTCCTCAATACTTTTGCTTTTGAATGCCTAAAGAATTATTCCTGAGGAAACTGTTGAATGTCACAAGTAAATGAAAGAGGGTCATCAACTAGAAAAAAAAGGTGGGAATCACCTGACGCTTTTCACAAAGCTCAAAGTGTCTGTAATCACAATGCTCACTGTGGATGCGCAATTAATAGCAAAGACATGACACCTTAAAAGATTCTGAAAAGTTTAAGGGCAAAAACTTCTACAGATATTACCCATGAACTTCCCAGACTGTTTAGTGAATAATAGACACGACAAAAATGACTCATATTTCTTTTTTGACAATGGTGCTCTTCTTGAGAAGTTCAATATACTTGATTTTCTCCAAGAAGGATAAAACCTAATTCTTTACCGATGTGAGTACAAGGGCTGGAGAACACCAGTCATACTTCTGACACGATACTAGAAGCTCTGCAAGGCTTTATTCGTGTTTCAGTATGCTTGTTGGACAAATGGGCACGTAGAAACCAAAAGGAACTAAACCCATGCTTAAGCCATATGGCTAGATCACTTGCAGAATTGGGAGTCAAACTTGGAGCTGATGGATTCTGAAGCTCAAATGCTTTAAATTGTACTGCTCTGGGTATCATTTACTATAATGTTTAGAAGTAGTAAGACATTCTCAACTGGTGTGTCTACCATCTATCATCATGTATGTATGTATGTATGTATGTATGTATGTATCGGTCTATCTCTATTATCCATCCATCCATCCATCCATCCATCCATCCATCCATCCATCCATCCATCCATCCATCCATGCATGATGGGCAGTCTTGCTCTGCTATCTCAGCTTAACTAGAACTCTGAGGGCCAAACAACTATTCTGCCTCAGCTTCTTGTTTCAAGCCTCTAAGAATACAGATGTGCTCTGGCTTTCAAATTATTTTATTTGGATAAAGTGCACTCTCATTCCCTTGAGTTTCTTACAACAGCTTAATCACAAAAGACAAAATGATCTCTATTTGTTCTTACTTGTACCTGGAAAATACTAGTATACTTGTTGTTGTTTTTTTTTAAAGAAAGAAACATTGTTCCTCTTTCCAGTCCCTCTTTCCCTTTCCACTGGGCCAAACCCCAGCCACCATCTGCCTGTTTGCTTTGTATTTTTTTCTCTCTCTCCCCTCTATTTTTCTTCCCTCCCTTTCTCTTCCTCACTCCTTTCTTTCCTAATCCTCCTTCCCTTCTTTCCTTCCTCCCTTCCTTCCTTCTTCCTTCCTTCCTCTCTCCTTTCTTACCTTTATTGATGGACTGATTTTTAAAAAAAAAAATTATTGTAAAGATGTTGAGATGGAATGATTTTTAGTAGTTTGTTTTTGTTATGCTAGATAAATAGGAACACAGGTGCTAAGTTACTCTATCACTGAACTACATCAATCCTAGCCCCACCTTCTTTTTTTTCTGTGCCAGTATTGGAGCTTTAACTCTGGGCTGCTTGCCTTGACATTTTCTACTCAAGGCTGGCACTCTACCACTTTAACCACATCTCCCTACGACATTTTTTTGCTGGTTAATTGGAGAAAAGAGTCTCATGGATTTTTCTGTTCAAGGTGGCTTTGAACTGCCATTTTCAGATCTCAGCCTCCTCATCAGCTAGGATTACATGCTTGAGCCCCAGATGCCTCAGATTAAGCCTCCACCCTTAATAGAAATTATGTTTATTAATTGCTCTGAAATTGATTCCTCCACTTTGTATCATTCCTGCTAGGTTGCTCAGCAGAATGTTTTCATCTGGCTGAGACAGGAAAATTATATATTTCTTATTCTGTCAGTTTTCTTCTCTAGTTTAAGTTTGGCATGAAGAGGGTGTTTGGCATGAAGAGGGTCATTTCTAGCTAAGAACAACATTTGGTCAGCTACAGATCAGAGAACTATCTTTTAACCTTAGCTTAGCACTCAGCTCTGGCTCAGAAGCACATAGTAAGTATTTAAAGCAGGTGCATATTTTGCTTTAGATTGTTGAGCTCCTTTCCCCCTACCCCCGCCCCACTGCCCCCTTTTTGATGGTGGTACTGAGGCTTGAACTCAGGGACTTATGCTTGCTAGGGCAGGAGTAAGTGCCCTTACTGAATGTTTTCTCTTTTACTAATTATGGTCAATAGAAACCTCTGCAATCCTTTTTATTGGTTCCAGAACCCTCTAAAGTGAAATTTAAGATGGTCCTTATTTGAAGCATGCCTTGCTCGCTCTGCTTTTAGCTGTTTGTTATTCTTTCTGTTTTCTAGTGCTGGAAATGGAACCCAGAGCCTTGCCGATGCTGGATGTGTACTCTATCATGGAGTGTGACCCCTGCCTCAGCCAGCGCTTTTATGCTCTTTACAAACTGGGTCTGATCAGTGTGACTTCCAGTGGAATAATCACGGAAGAAACACTGTTCATCTGCAAACATGGGTACATCTCGCCTACTGCAGACATCAGGGTACTCATAGCTAGGGAAGGTGACAATAGGCAGCTCTCAAGCCTCAGCTACACAAAGCTAGCTGGTCAGCAGCCATATGCTTTTCCTTTTTTTAGTGCCAGTCCTCGGGCTTAAACTCAGGGCGTTGGTGTTGTCCCTGAGCTTCTTTCTGCTCAAGGCTAGTGCTCTACTACTTGAGCTCCATGTCTGTTTTTGTTTTTTTTGTTTGTAGTTTAGTGGAAAATAAGATTCTCATGGACTTCCCTGTCTGAGCTGGCTTCAGAACCATGATGCTCAGATCTCAGCTTCCTGAGTAGTTAGGATTAGAGGCATGAGCCACTGGCATCTGGCATGCAGTCATATACTTTTGTTATTTTCTTGTTGATCATGGGGCTTGAACTCAGGGTTTAGGAACTGTCCCTGAGCTTTTTTGCTTAAGGCTAGAGCTCTACCACTTTGAGCCATAGCACCACTTCTAGTTTTTTTGGTGGTTAACTGGAGATAAGAATCTCATGGACTGCCTGGGTTGGCTTTGAACTGCAAGTCTCAGATCTCAGCCCCCTGAGTAGCTAGGATTACAGGTGTGAGCCTGTGGTGCCTGGAGAAGTCATGTACATTTAGGGAAGCTATTTGAAGTATTGTTTCTCCACAAACTTATAGTTACAGTAGGGTTGACTTCCTGCCATAAGATATAATGAATCTTGAATTGAAGCTTCTGTTTTAATTATAAAACCAGTAGAGGCCTAGCAGGCATTGGTGACTCATACCTGTAATTCTAGCTACTAAGGAGGCTGAGATCTGAGAATCAGAGTTCAAAGCCAGCCAGATTAGAAAAGTACTTGCAATTCTTATCTCCAGTTAACCAGCAAAAAGCTGATATTGGAGCTATGGCTCAAGTGGTAGAGCAATAGACTTGAGTGCAAAAGCTATGAAACAGAACCCAGGCCTTGAGCTCAAGCTCCAGTACTGGCATGCAGACATATAAAAAAGACCAGCAGAAAGCCCTTTGGAAAATTCAGCATGTTTAGTTGCACAAAATCTGACCAAGGTTGTATGCCACCACCATGTGCCAGGCTCAGTACCAAGCACCTTTATATGAGCCAATCTCACCAAAAGTGAATTGAGTTTTCATTCATGAGAAAATGACTGCTTCTTTGCTGCAGTAAGCCCCTGAGCTATAGAAATGAGGGTAACTGACAGCATTGCTACTCCTTCCAGACACTGTTTCAGACACATGATTCATAGCAGAAGGCATCTTATTACCATGATTATCATTCAAGATCAACACATCTACATGTGCCTGCTGAGACTTGAATTCAGCCACTAAAACAGAGCAAAGAGCTCCTCTCTCTCTTTCCTCCTCTCTGTCTTGCCCCTCCTGTACTTTATATTTTAACTGCTAATCATTTCATCAAACGTAGCACAAAAATCTGATCTGATCTCATGTTGAAGCAGGCAAGCTTTGAAATCACTGAATTAGAGCAACTTTACATTTAAAATAATTAAATGCCTAGCATATTTTAGCTAGGTGCCAGTGATCAGGCTAAGATCTTCAGTGTTTTTGAGTTCCCTTCTGGAGACTCTCTCTCTCTCTCTCTCTCTCTCTCTCTCTCTCTCTCTCTCTCACACACACACACACACACACACACATACACACACACAGTCTTTGTGTGGTCATTACAACTCAGATCTTTGCCATTTAGTAATAAGTTGGCAGCTTTTGCCATGGGTGCAGACAGGAAGGGTGTGGTAATTTTTGCTATAGCTAAGCAGCTGTACTCTGAATAAAAGTTGATTCTAAATACAGTTTGCAGTTTTCCAATTAAAAACCTTGCTCCAGAATCAGCCATGGTTTGGTTAGTGAAGAACATGCTGAGAGGATTATTATTATTATTATTATTATACAGAGAATATGCTGTACCTCTCCATCTTCCAACTCCACATCGAGGAAATCAAAGTCCCTGAAGACTCTGAACTGCTGTTCGCTGTTGGTGTCATCCATGTTCTCCTGCTCCCGGGCTCCGTCCTCTGAGGACACCAGGCTCGTCTGATGCTCCAGCAGGTCCAGGTCCCCACACGAGGAAAAAATCACCTGTGAATCAAGAGAGCTCTTTCTTGAGACATCCGTCTCCCTCTGCTTGTTTATGTTAGGAGAAATGTTAATTGGCTTCTTGTAGCACTGAATTTCCAGTACACACCTAATTCCTTAAGTGGATATTTTTAGAATGTTCTTTCATTATTTATGTTGGACAGGTGCCTTTGGATTGAACTCGTCACAGACACGCAAGTTCATGCACCAGGAAAATGTTCAAAAGTTTGACTGGTTGCCTCTTAATAGATAAGATGGGACCCTGTGTGTGTGTGTGTGTGTGTGTGTGTGTGTGTGTGTGTGTGTGTGTGTGTGTGTGTGTGTGTGTGTGTGTGTGTGTGTGTGTGTGTGTAAAACAAATGAGCATGCAGTCACAAACTGGAGTAGCTAAAATTTTCCACTGTTCCCGAGATGACTGAGATTAGAGATTGTACACATTCACACACACAATCAAATTTGTATTTTAAGGACTATGCCAATAATTTTTTTTGTCCGTCCTGGGGGCTGAACTCTGCGCCTGCGCACTGTCCCTCAGCTCTTTAGCTGAAGGCTAGTGTCCTACCACTTGAGCCACAATACCAGTTCTGGCGTTTTTCTGCTTATGTGGTGCTGATGAATCGAACCCAGGGCCTCATGTATGTGAGGCAAACACTCTACCACTAAGCCACCTTCCCAGCCCAATACTTTCTTTTTGTAGTATAACCCAGGAGAGCAAAGGATTTAAATCTTTTTTTTTTTTTTTTTGGCTTGAACTCTGGGCCTGGGCACTTTCTCTGAGACTCTTTGTGCTCAAGGCTAGCTCTCTACCACTTGAGCCACAGCGCCACTTCCAGCTTTTTCTGAGTAGTTTACTAGAGATAAGAGTCTCGTGGTCTTTCCTGCCCCAGCTAGCTTTGGACAACAAGATCTCAGCCTCTTCTGAGTAGCTAGGATTACAAGTATGAACCACCAGCATATGGCTCCTTCCTTCCTTCCTTTCCTTTTCTTTTTTCTTTTCTTTTCTATAGAGATAATCCAGGAACTTGCAAGAATAAACCAAAGCCAAATTATACTGTATGCACATATGGAAATATCACTGTGAAACCCCCTCACACTACAAATATAATTTAACAACAACAATAGTAATAGTAAGTAGATATTAAAGCCCAAAAGTACAAAACTAATGTGTTTAGGTTCTTCCCACTGGGCCATTTAAATATTTCAGAAATAATACCCTGTGAATGAAGTGAAATATTTTCTTTCCTAGCCAATCTCCACCAGACATGGGTATGAAATAAAATTAACATATGGCCTCATCGTCATTGAAAAATATGCAAATCATTGATAAGAATTAAGTAACAAGACTGAATGAACTTCAGGTGTTGTATTGCTGCTCTAGTGTTGACGAACAATCATTATACATACAACATAGCCTGAGTGGCCCAGAAAACCTCTGGAAAAAAATCCAAAATCTGAAAGGCTCTGAAATTGGAAACTTTCTCAGTGTTGACATGCTCAATAAAAAAAAGTTTAAAAATTTTTGGGAAAAAAAGTTTTAGAGAATTCTGGGTTTTTAGATTGGGGATACTATCTCAGTCTATGCAACTATATCCAAATCCCCAGGCTGAAATCTGAGATACTTCTAGTCCCAAGTATTTCAGATAAGGGCTACTAAACCTGTATTGTCATGAGACTGTCATGGCAGAGTCTGGAACTAGGATTGGACTGGGATGTGAGACACAGAGTCCCTGGAGTAGTCAAGGCAAGAAGACAGGCTAGAATTCCCATTTCTCATTTCTAGTCAGTGCTGCCTGTCTTATTCATAAAGTGCTCTAGGAAAGTATTTCTAGTGGGTGAGGCCTCAGTAGAGGAGCAGACAGTATGAATCTTTAGGAGGCTGCTACCTACAAAGGCAACAAAAGAGAGCCATGGCTGGCTGGGCCATTGCAAGGCAAAAGCCCTGAATTCTCTTCATTATGGGCTTCGAAATGTGTCTGCCCCTCCTGCCTTGGTCCCCTGCCTGTAGTAATATCAGAGGAACAGCAGCAAACCCCACTCATCAATACCACCAAAAGGATGACTCATAGAGAGGCCAAATTTAGCTGATGGCTAGTTGCTTTCCCAAAAGAAATATCAATTTATACTTGAACTATTTAGGAGTGTCTACCCACTCACGAACTACATAAATAGATACATTTGGAATTTTACAAACAGATCCACAGAGAAATCTGTTAATTCCTAATTTATTTGGCCAATTACTTAGTTTGTGATATTTTTTTGGAAATTATAAAGGTGCATTTCTAGGAAAGAAAGACTAAACTTGGTTTCAGTGTACAGATGAAACCTTACTGATCTGTACTGTTTTTTTCCCCTCCCTCCCTCCCTCCCTCCCTCCCTCCCTCCCTCCCTCCTTCCCTCCCTCCCTCCCTCCCTCCCTCTCTTCCTTCCTCTCTCCCTCCCTCCCTTCCTTCCTTCCTTCGTTTTCTTTTCTTTTTGTTGTTACAAAGTCTCTCTTTGTGCCACCTTGTGCCAGCAATGGAAGGACATCATGTTCCTGGCTTGCTGTGACCTTAACCTTTCTATTTAAAAGTGAATTTTTAGCTGGGTGCTAGTGGCTCACACCTGTAATCCTAGCTACTCAGGAGGCTGAGTTCTGAGAATCACAGTTCAAAGCCAGCCTGGGTAGGAAATCTATGAGACTCTCATCTCCGATAAAACCACCAGAAGACCAGAAGTGGCTCTGTGGCTCAAGTGGTAGAGCTCTAGCCTTAAGCTGAAGTGCTGAGGACAGCGCTAAGGCCCAGAGTTCAAGCCCCAGGACCAACCAAAAAAAAATTTTGTGGGTGTGTGTTTACTTTTTTCAGTATTGGAGTTTGAACTCAGGGCCTTGCATTGCTAGGTAGATGTTTACCACTTGAGCCATATCCCCAGCCCTTGGAAAAGTTTTAATGTGGAAAATTAAACAATTGCACTATATAGTGAAACCAGACCCAAGAAGCTTACCAATTCTGCTAAAACATGCTAGGAGATGCTCACACTCACAATTTGAGTAGTCTGAATTTTACAAGTTTCAGAAACATATATACATCAGTCTTTGGTGTAGTCAAAAGCTTGGTGTTATTATACTAGTGAAATTTATATGAGAAAAAAACATGACTAATCTATCATTTAATAGTATTTTTGTTAATAGTCATTTTGTTAATAATAGCATTTTTGTTAATTTGTCATCATTTTCTTTTCTCTCTTTTCTGTTAGTACTGGGTTTTCAATTCAGTACCCAAGGCTGACACTCTGCATACCCCAATTCAAGCGTTTTACTGGTTAATTGGAGATGAAACTTACCGAGGGGTTTTTGCTTAGTCCTACTTCTTGGCCACACAGAGAAAGGACGTGCACCAACTTTTCTTTTGTTCTCTTCTGGAAAGGAAACACAGGCAAGTTTTCATTTTCCATTATGGGGTTCTGGGAGCAGACCTGCCCCAATACTGTAGGCACTAGTACAGAAGAAAGGTGACTGCTGGAAGTGGGGCCATGGTGAATTGAGTTGCAGAATACACATGTGAAACAGGTCATTGATAAAGTACCAAGACCATGCTGAAGCAGTATTTTAGACTTTGTAGGTTAACTATAATGGGTTTTTTTTTGCCTGTTTTCATTTTTTTCAAGCCATGATTATTAAGAGAATCCAAAGTCAGGCTCACATTCATTGTGTTTGTACTAAGGCTGATGAAGCACCGTAGAACTGGTTGAAAATGATGGATAAGTTATTTGGAGATAAGATTCTGAGTGGTGGAAGGGCAGGATTTCTTTGAAGGGCTTTCATATGAAAGATCAGATTTTCTTTCTCTTTTCTTTTTTCTTTTTTTGTTGGTTGTGGGGCCTGAACTCTAGGCCTGGGCACTGTCCCTGCACTCTTCAGCTCAAGGCTAGGACTCACCACTTGAGCCACAGCGCCACTTCCAGCCTTTTCCATTTCTGTGGTGCTGAGGGATCGAACCCAGGGCCTCATGCATGCGAGGCAAGCACTCTACCCCCGAGCCACCTTCCCAGCCCCAGATTTTGTTTTCTTTTTTCTTTTTTTGTCTTGGGGCTTGAACTTAGGGCCTGGGCATTGTCCCTGAGTTCATTTGCTGAGGGCTACTACTGTTCCACCATGAGCCACAGCATCGCTTCTAGTGTTGAGGTGTTTATTTGGAGATAAGAGTGTCACAGACTTTTCTGCTCATGCTGGCTTTAAACCGTGATCCTCAGATCTCAGCCTCATGCGTAGCTAGGATTACAGGCGTGAGCCACCAGCACTTGGCAAAAGATCAGATTTTTCTAAGTGTTGTGAGAACTCCAGCCAGTGGGGAGAGGCAACAGAGCCAGCTTTCAAGTCAACACAATGAGCTGTCCAAAGATAAAAGTGAGTGTGCTTGGGATGCTGTGAGCCCTCATGGAAGCACTGTGGTCTAGATGGTCAGTGGGATGGTGGGAAGGGAGGGATCCAGAATCACATGGGCAGTGGGGCTCTATAGATCCCCTAAACTCCATTCCAATGCTCCATGCCTACAATTGTCTACCTGAGAATACTGGGGTCTTTTCCAGCTCACAGGAACAAGGACGTTGGAGTTGGAGCCTGAAGAGGTGGATGATGCACTCCTGGTGACTGCCATGGCCCTGGGTTTCCCATCATGCCCAGAAGAATTCTGGAGTTCATCATATCGCCTCCCAATGATTGGTGTCTTGAGAAAGGAATGCAAAAGCACACATTATTCTGTCTCATTAATGACTTGATGGTAGCCACGTATCAGTGGCTCATGCCTATAATCATAGCTACTCAGGAGGCTGAAATCTGAGGATCTTGGTTCAAAGCCAGCATAGGCAGTAAAATCTGTGAGATTCTTATCTTCAATTAACTATCAAAAAGCCAGAAATGGTACTGTGGCTCAAAGAGATAGAACATTAGCCTTGAGCACAAAAGCTGAGGCACAGTGCTCAGGCCAAGTTCAAGCCCCAGTACTGGCAAAGAAAAAAAATTCTGTGGTATACAGAAATAAAAGTGTGGCTTAAGTGGTACAATGCTAGTGTTGAGAAAGCCTTTGTGAGGCCCTGAGTTCAAGCCCCAGTACTGACATATATGTATGTACACACACACACACACACACACACACACACACACACACACACACACACAGAGATCTGTGGGATAAGGAATCTACATAGAAGAAACCAAAAACTGATGGAATGAATAATACTCAGGTTGGAGAAATTCATTGCTATTCATAGACTGGTTATTCCCCACATCCAAATAAATACTCTGTATCATTTTGCATTTCCAATGTTTTCCCATACTCCTTAAGCAGCAGGAAGCAAGTGTAATGACTTATCTTTCAATATGTTTTGTAAGCCACTGGTAATGACAAGAAAACATTAGTAAGGTTTTAGGTGTTTAATCCTGAGAGAGTTCCTTAGAACAAAGGATTAAAAATTCCATCTTACCTCTCCTACCTTTAATCATCTATCTATCTATCTATCTATCTATCTATCTATCTATCTATCTATCTATCTAGTTTTATTTTTCTGTCAGTAGTGGGCCTTGAACTCAGAGTCTGGGAAATGTCCCTGAGCTTCTTTTGCTCAAGGCTAGTGCTCTACCACTTTGAGCCACAGCACCATTTCCTATTTTTTGGTAGTCAATTGGAAATAAGTATCTCACAGATTTTCCTGCCCAGGGATGGCTTTGAACTATGATTCTCAGATCTCAGTCTCCTGAGTAGCTAGTACTACAGGTGTGAGCCACTGATACCTGGTTTTATATGCTTTCATTAATTGAAAATTTTACTTAAATAATTTATTTCTTTTCAATTATTTAAATAGATGAGGTCATGGCAGGGGGCTTGGGTAGCACTTAAGAAATCTCTCTTTCTTTCTGAGAGCAGGGTCGGTGGCCTGGTAGGCAGCATCTCTTAAACTTTAGCTCCAAGTTGGTCTCTCCTTGAGACATCAGATCATAGGGCCTTGAGGGGGCAGAGAGCAACCAGCAGTTCTGCAGTTCTCATCCTGGCTCCCAAGGCCCCTCCCTCTGGAGCAGTTCTGGGTCTCTGAGTTAAGGAATGTGGTTCACTGCCCACACCATTTTTATACTTGTTTTAGAAGAGAATGAACTCAAGAAAAACAGCTTTCTCTCCTAATGGTGTTAAAACATAATTTATATACAAAGGGGTGAATCAATACATTAATATCATTTTTTTTGGGGTCCGATCATGGGGCCTGAACTCTGGGCCTGGGCACTGTCCCTCAGCTCTTCAGCTCAAGGCTAGCACTCTACCACTTGAGCCACCTTCCCAGCCCCATTAATATCATTTATATACTAAATATAGATGCTGGTCTGGCCTTGGGTAACATAGAATCTGATTTGATTCAGTATTTTATCTGTGAAAAATCAGTGGATACTATTGGATAACAAAAGCCAACCTATTTAATAATACAAGTGAGTTCCATAGTAAGCAGCTCTGTGTTATTTCTTAGTGAGCTTATACATTTGTTAGTGCTTCAGAAATATATATTAGTGATCCATGCACCAGACATGGTACCACCAGGCCTTGATTATAAAGTCCAATAAGGTACAATTTGTTTTTTTTTTCTTCCCTTCCCTTCTCTTCCCTTCCTCCCTCCCTCTCTTTTTTTGGTCCTGGTCTGGGAGCTTGTGCTCAGGGCCTGGGTGCTGTCCTTGAACTTCTTTCTGCAAGGCTGGCACACTATCACTTGAGCCACACCTTCTATTTCTGGCTTTTTGTTTGTTGGAGGTAAGTCTCATAACTTTCCTTCTTGGTCTAGCTTTGAATCACAATCCTCTGATTGCAGCATCCTGAGTAGCTAGTATTATAGGTGTGAGCCACTGGTGCCGCACCAGCCAATTTCTTTTTAGGTATCATGAGGGTAATAAAAACTTGGAAGCCAGGTTATTTTCTTCCTTAGACTTACAAAATGCTTAAATACAGACTGCCCCAAATCACCAATTTGGTGACTTTCTGCTTTTTCTTTTCTTCTTGACTTCTTAGTTTGGGCTGCTAGGATCTCTCTTTCTCACTTAAGACAATAACCTAATTTTATATGTTTTACAAGCAATGTGCCAGTAGCTCATGCTTGTAATTCTAGCTATTCTGGAAGCTGAGATCTGAGGATTGCTGCTTGAAGCAGGCAGGAAAGTTGGAGAAACTCTTATCTCTAATTAATCAACAAAAATGTCAAGGTAGGGGCTGGGAAGGTGGCTCAATGGTAGAGCGCTTGCCTTGCATGCCTGAGGCCCTGGGTTCGATTCCCCAGCACCACAAAAGCAAAAAGAAAAAAGCTGGAAGTGGCATTGTGGCTCAAGTGGTAGAGCGCTAGCCTTGAGCTGAAGAGCTGAGGGACAGTGCCCAGGCCCAGAGTTCAGGCCCCACGACCGGACCCCCCCAAAAAACAAAAAAAAAAATGTCAAGGTAGAGCTGTGGTAGAACATTAGTCTTAAGTAAAAAAGCTAAGGGACAGTGCTCAGGTCCTGAGTTCCAGCCCTAGTACTGGCAAAAAAAAAAAAAAAAAAAAAAAAAAAAAAATCACTGTGGCTTGGGGAAGCCACCATATTGCTACAAATTTCAGACATTTCTTAGTCTAGTGATAGTTCATGGAAATAGATTGTGCATAACAAGATATGATACAATAATTATTAGACAAATAATGAAGGAAGGTCATGCTTTTTTCCCCTTCATATAAGATCTCAATTTTTAGCCCATGCTAGTCTTGAATTTGAGATTCTCTGGGGTACTGGGTACAGACTCTGAGCTTCTTTTGCTCAAGGTTAGCATTCTACCATTTGAGCCACAGTAATACTTCTGGCTTTTTCTGTTTATATGGTACTGAGGAATTGAATCCAGGGCTTCATGGATGCTAGGCAAGCACTCTACCACTAAGCCACATTCCAAGCTCATCATTCTATTTTTAATTATTATTTTTGTTAAATAACTGAGGTCAGTTTCTGTTTTAAGTTCCCAACTGAAAGCTCAATACTCTAAGCATTCTCTGTGTATGTGTGTGCTGGTCCCTGAGTTGTTTTTTTTTTCCTCAAGGCTAACATTCTACCACTTGAGGCACAATTCTACTTCCAATGTTTTGGTGGTTAATTGGAGATCAGTCTTATGGACTTTCCTGCACAGGCTAGCTCTGAATCATGATCTTCAGAACTCAGTCTCCTGAATTGCTAGGATTACAGGTATGAATCAGTGGTTCTGGGTTCTCAACACATTTTTAACCTAAAATGTTCTGTTAAAAGAACATAACTTAGATCTCAGAAGTATTCATTTACAATAATTAGCATTTGTCCAGGCAACTACTTATAACCTTTTCCACCACCAATCTATGTTCAAGTGCACAGATAGAGTTCACCCAGCCAAGTACCTCTGAAATGTCGAAGTGGAAATCCAGAGTCTTTCCTGGTAGCTCCTTAGAGGCACTGGCCCACACTCGGTGTATCTCTAGCTTGGACAGGTCGCTGTGCTGGTAAGAAGGCAGCACCAGACTGGCCGATCGAGAAACAACCAGCTTCAAGATATTCAGAGCTTCTCTCCAGTGAACACTCTGCATGAAACAAAATATTTGAAGTCATTCAACACAGTTATTTCATTTTTGTAATCTACTGGGCCACTATTGAAACCTCTCATGACCTGTCAGAAGTCAGTGATAAGTAAAGGGCAAATATAAAAATTATATAATGTACATGTGTACATGTACTAATACATATATTAATTATATATTCTATATGTATATATATACTATATGTATATACACATATGTATATAAATATTTAAACACACACACACACAAACACACACATAAGCCAGATGTAGGAAACAATCCATTTTGGCCACATTCTAGTAAATTGGGGTTTCAAACAAGATACCACTTTTGCAAATGTGCTCACTGTCTCCTTAATTTGATTTTAAAAAATGTTCCTAAGAGCCAGGATCTGGCAGCTCATACCTGTAGTCCTAGATACTGAGGAGGCTGAGATCCAAGGTTCCAGTTCAAAGCCCATACAGACAGGAAAACCTATGAGACTCTTATCTCCAATTAACCAGCAAAAAGCCAGAAGTGGAGATGGCTCAAGTAGTAAAGTGCCAGCTGTGAATTAAAAAGCTTAAGGACAGCACAAAGCCTTGAGGTCAAGCCCCAGTGTGGACATACCCTCCCACAGATATCTCTAAGGCCTATTATGCTGGTGACATTGCCTCTTACTCAACGTTCTTCCTACCTCCAGGTCCCAGTCTTCTTTCTTCCTTTTAGTTTTCTGGGTCTCCCTATTCCATTTGTTTCCTGCATATCTTGATTTCTTTTCCTCCTCACCTTTTTATCGTCTTCATTACCCAATCCAATAATCTGAAAGTCCTTAACTTGATATGGTAGAGGAAGTAAAGATGGAATATAATATTTGACTTGGATTGTGTAAAATGGATAATGAATGATTTGAAGATATAAGTGTAAGTGTGCTGTGGATAAGACTTCCCTGGTAACTAGCCATTTTAGCTAGTAACTGTAATTGTAACTCTGTAACTCCATTTCTCTGTTTTCTGAACAATGTGAGCCCTAACCCTAACCCAAAGTGAGCTGAACCGTCACCACCCTTTGTTCTATTCCCCTGCTTCCCACCAGCAAAACCTTGGCAGGAAATGTAAACTTTAGGTGAGAATTTCTTGTAACAATCATTGGCTAAAACCAACACCCAGCCTGCCCCTTTCCCCGCCCTAGCCCAAAATGCTTAAAAGCCCATGTGGACTGGCACTCAGGACTGTTTCCTGGGATCCCAACTCCAGGTGTGGTCCAGGCGCATCAGCACTTTTCGCTCAATAAAATCATTTACATTTTCACCATAGACTGAGTGGTCTCACTGCCCTCCCCACTACAAACTCTTCTCCTACCTTTTTTATTTTTATTTTTTATTTTTATTTTTTTAGTGTGAGAATACCGTACAGAGGAGTTACAATTACATGGGCAAGATAACGAGTACATTTCTTTTTCTTTTTTTTTCGGGTTCATTCTCTCTCTCTTTTTTTTTTTTTTATTGTGAAAATACTGTACAGAGGGGTTACACTTACATGGACAAGTTAATGAGTACATTTCTTATCAAGCATTGCAGCCTCCTCCTTTGTTTCTCCTTCCCATCCCTTCCCATCCTCCCTCCTACCCCCACCCAATCCTCCCCCCACTCCCCCAACAAAGTTGTAAAGTTCATTTTTCTTTTTCTTTTTTTTTTTGGGTCCAGTCGTGGGGCCTGAATTCTGGACCAGGACGCTGTTCCTCAGCTCTTCAGCTTAAGGCTAGAGCTCTACCACTTGAGCCACAGCGCCACTTCCAGCTTTTTTCTTTTTGCTTATGTGGTGCTGAGGAATTGAACCCAGGGCCTCAGGCATGCAAGGCAAGCGCTCTACCACTGAGCCACCTTCCCAGCCCCGTAAAGTTCATTTTTCGACATAATGACTTGTACATCTCATTGTTGCAATGGGTCCACCTGTATCTCTGTTTTAACGATTTGTTTTTTCCCTTCCCCTCCACAAATTATACCAACATCCCATACAGTAAAAGCAGGGGTTATACCGGGGGGGAGGGACATACAAAGCAACAAAGAAATCATCTTATAAATATGTTAGAAACAATTGCATGAAAGGAAAAAAAACAAAAAAACATTTGAATATTTATCTTGGGGTTCATTCCCCTAACATCAACTTATCTGACCTTTTTTGCTTGACTCAGACATATACTAGTTATTGCAAATAAGGGAAACCATGGGGCCTATGTTTCTTTAGGCCTGGCATACTTCACTTAATTTTTCCCAAGTCTTTCTATTTCCTAACAAATGGGGCAATGTCATTCTTTCTGATGGAGGCATAGAATTCCATTGTGTATATACACCACATTTTCTTGATCCATTCATCTACTGAGGGGCATCTGGGTTGGTTCCATATCTTAGCTATGGTAAATAATGCTGCAATAAACATAGTTATGCTGGTAGCTTTAGTGTGGTCTTGTTTGTGATGATTTGGGTAAATGCCCCAAAGTGGGATTGCTGGGTCATAGGGGAGCTCTATGTGGAGTCTTTTGAGGAACCTCCATACTGCTTTCCAAAGTGGTTGAACAAGTTTACACTCCCACCAACAATGCAGTAATGTTCCCTTCTGTCCACATCCCCTCCAGCATCTGTTGTTATTAGAGTTCTTGATTTTAGCCATTCTAACTGGGGTGAGGTGGTATCTCAATGTTGTTTTGTTTTGCATTTCTTTTCTGGCTAGGGAGGTTGAGCATTTCTTCATGTGTCTATTGGTCATCCTTCTTTCCTCTTCAGAGAAGTTTCTCTTTAAGTCTTTAGCCCACTTATTTATTGGGCAGTTGTTTCTTTGAAGATTTGTTGTTGGGGGATTTTATTTTTTAAGTTCCAGGTATATTTTAGATATGAGACCCTTTTGTCCCAGTAATCTGTCCCATTCTTTCCATTCAGATTTGCAACTCAGCTGAATCTTCTCCTGGTTGGCCTGGACTATATCAAGGGCCTTGTAACAGGCCTCAAGACCCTAGCCACAGTGATCTTTCAAGAACTTGGTAGACCAAGCCACCTTTCTGTTGAAATCTCTTAATGAGCACCCTCTAGTGGAAAGGGTATAGTTCACACTCAAAACTCAGAGTATCCTAAACCAGGCCAAGTCTCTTCAGCCTGTATGCTTGTCCTCATGCTATTCCAGAATCCTGGATGGCCTTTCCTTTTCTTAGTGCTTATCAAAAACTCAGTTTGTGTTACCTTCTTTGTTTCCCTGAAAAGCCTCAGTCTGACCAGGCCTTTGAAGTAGGTCAGACTGAAATTAAAATATTGAACATAGGTAAACCAATTTGTTGAAAATTATAATTTTTTCTTTTCATGAATTTTTTATTGTTATTATAAAGATGTATAGTGGGGTTAGAGTTCCATTAAGTCAGATAGAGTACATTTCTTTTTGAAAAATGTCATCCCTTCCCTCCCTCTCAGTTTTCCCTCCCATCCCCACCCACAAATTGCATAGTTCTTTTTTCCCCCCCGGTCATGGAGCTTGAACTCTGGGCCTGGGCACTGTCCCTCAGCTCTTCAGCTCAAGGCAAGTGTGCTACCCCTTGAGCCACAGTGCCACTTCCAGTTTTCTGGTGGCTAATTGGAGATTAGAGTCTTACAGACATTCCTGCCCAGGCTGGCTTTGAACTGTGATTCTCAGATCTCACCCTCCTGAGTAACTAGGATTACAGGCCTGAGCTACGTGCACCTGGAGCCTGGTTCATTTTTAATATAGTGTCTAGTAAATACCACTGCTACATTTGTTCACCCTTTGTCCTACCATTTCTGTGTCCCTGTACCCTCCTAAAGACAGATAAATGAACCAATATGACAAAAGGAAAACAGAAAACAACAGCAAAGAAAAAATCTTGTTCCATTTCCTCTTCATTTTGATAAATATTTTATATGATCAGATGCACATAGATTTTTTACACTTATATATTTCTTTCCTTGTTAAATTATGCACAAGGAAGATTATGTTCTGAAAATGAAATTAATCATTGTTCAAGGCAAAACACTAAGCATCAGAGATGATTGGCAGGCCTAAGGCAATGTGGGCATTGTCAGATCATAGAGAAATGGACCACATACTATAGGACCACGGAAAGATGTGGTCACCAGATGCCCACAATGTGGCCCTTGAAAAATGAAAAAGATAGTTTAGAAATCACTTTAAAAGTTAAAGAAAAAGTTCTGTAAGTCATATGGCTGGTGAAATTAAGATAAAAAAGGAATATCTAAGATCTGGAGAAAAAGGTGTCGGTGTTGTTAACTGTGGCCTCCTCCAGCTTCAGTCTGAGGTTCTGTGTTTCAGATTAACTTCCAAGTTTCTAGAAACCTTTTGTAGTTTGGGTTGCTATTTTAAATTTCTGGTTTTATCTCAGGGTATGACTTTAGCAGTGTGCAGGTGTTTATTGATGTTTACCAGAGTCCTGATGGGAAGGTGGCTGCTACAATGAAACTAAAACCGCTGGCTTTGGAGCCAGCTTCAAATACCAGCTCCACTCACTACTAATTGAGATCCTAGTGTTAGTATCTTGGGTTATTTGTTCCTAATTGTATTAAAACTTTTAGGCTATTTGGTATGGAAATAGAGATTAGCAATAATGAACCCCATTGTACATCATCAATTATTTATACATCATGAATAATTTTTTTCTAACTATTTTTTTGGTTGTTTGACAGAATATTTTCTTTTTCTTTGGCAGTATTTTTTTTTTTTTTTTGCTGACCCTGGGGCTTGAACTCTAGGCCTGGGCTCTGTCCCTGAGTTTGTTTTACTCAAGGCTGGTGTTCTGTCACATGAGCCACAATTCCACTTCTGGATTTTTTGAGTAGTTTATTGGAGATTAGAGTCTCACAGACTTTCCTGCCTGGGCTGGCTTCCAACTGCCATCCTCAGATCTCAGCCTTCTGAGTAGCTAAGTTTATAGGCATGAGCCATCAGGCAGTACTGGGGTTTTGAGCTCAAGGACTCTCACATTCACTAAGCCAGTGTTTACTACTTGAGTCATGCCTCCCCTCCAGCATTTTGCTGATTAATAGAAGATGGGAGTTTCATGGGTGTTTTCTGCTTAGGCTAGTTTCAAATGGAGACCCTCTAGATCTCCGTCTCTTGGGCTGTTGGGATTACAGGCATGAGCCACTGGTACCTAGCCTGCTTGCTGGAATATTTTCAAGTACATTTATCCAAGTTCCTTCACTGCAGTTTCCTTAACCCCCAAGTGGAAATTTTCACCACAGAATAACCAGCCAGATCCTCACAATAATGCACAGCCTGTGAGCCCTAAAAAGCAGAACTTTGTCCTCTGAAGAAATAAGCATGCCAAGGCCGTATTCTGCCTTTCTCCTCAGGAATGTCACTCAGGCTGTGATCCTGAACACTGATGGCATCAAGGAATGAGTGTGTAGGCCGGTGCCCATGTGGTTGGGTACCCAGTCTTCCCATAGTTCTGGCTAACCAGTGCCACTATCCAAGCACTCACCTGCACATATTTTTCAATGGTCTTGAGAACTTCCACATTGAACTGCTTCACAGGAACAACAGAGAGGTCCATGTAGCTGAGCAGACTGTAGATCACTTGGAGGAGTGGCTGCTGCATACTGGGGAGCCCTTTCTCCAGAAGCTGTGGAAAGGGGAGCCAGCGGTCAGCCCTAACCCCATTTTCCCTGAGAAGCACCAGGCTTTGCAATGCTTTCACAAAACAAAATCCTAACTATGGAAGCCATGAAGAGGCCACTGAAGGCAATGTGAAAATTCTGAGGACACAGAGAAAAGTCACACGATAAAATGTAAAAAACAAACAAAAAAATCTCAAAAGGAAAGCACCCAACAATACTAATCATCAAATATTACAAATTAAAAGTTGGACACCAGTGGCTCACACCTGTCAATCCTATCTCCTCAGGAGGCTGAGATCTAGGATCATGGTTTGAAGTCAGCCCAGGCAGGAAAGTCTGTGAAACTCTTATCTGCAGCGAACTACTCAGAAAAATCCTGACAAAGCTCAGCGACAGTGCCCAGCCCCTGAATTCAAGCCCTAGGACTGGCCAAAAACAACAACAACAACAACAACAAAAACCCCAAAACACCATACAAAAAATTACAAATTAAAGCAAAAGATATAATAATTTGTCAATCATTAAACTGCAAAGAGTAGCAACTGATAATATTCAATATTGGTAAGAAGTTAAGGAAATGGGTAGTTGAATATCAATAGAGATGTAAATTGGATGATTCGGCAACTGAGGTCAGGGCACTATAGAGCATCATATCTGTGTGTGTGTGTGTGTGTGCGTGTGTGTGTGTGCGCGTGTGCACACGTGTGCCAGTCTTGGGGCTTGAACCCAAAGCCTAGGCACAGTTTCTGAGCTTCTGAAGTCCAGGATAGTGCTCTACCACTTGAGCCACAGCTCACCCAGTTTCACTTCTGAACTTTTGGTAGTCAATTAGAGATAGGAATTTCACGGGCTTTATTGCCACAGCTGTCTTTGAACCAAGATCCTCGGATCTCAATCTCCCAAGCAGCTAGGATTATACCACCGGTGTCCAGCTGAGGGTCACACATTTGAAATAGAAATTACACTTTGAGGAATTGTTTCCAAGCCAGAAATAGCATAATTTATCTACAAGATTTTTTTGCCAAGACATTATTTATATGGTAAAAAATCATAAAGCAATTGAAATGTTCAATTGTAGGGAAATGAATGTGTAAGTTAATGTTAAATTACATGCTGAAACTGGGTGCTAGTGGCTGATGCCTGTAATCTTAGCTACTTACGAGGAGTAGTAAGTGGCATGAGCTTCTGGTGATAATGATTATTTTTAACCTACTTAGACTTGGACTGGTGACATAACTAAAAGAAAAGCTAGGACAGATGTCCCCATTCTCTTTGGAAATGCCATAACAAACTGTGCAAACTCTTATCGCAGAAGGCGAAACAAGACTAAAGTTGTTGAAATAAGTTAGTGGTTACCTATCACCCATGGATCCCATAGACTTCAGGACCTTGTGTGTTCATGGTTGGGACAGAAGGTGCTAAATGAATACATTTCATCATCTTTGCTGCTATGTAGTTTTAGCACCAACACACACAGAAGTCAGAGAAACAGGCTTGTGATTAACTTGATAGAAACTCATTGGTGTGATGATAAAAGTTTGATTCTGGCTTTGTAAATACAAAAGATAATTATAGCAAGCTTATTTTAGAATAAAAGTAAGCTGTGTTATGTAATTTGGAATAAATACCCATTTAACATCTCAAGCCACAAAGAAGTTCTGTAATACAATCTGAACATTCAGGCTAACATTTTCTCATCTTTACCAGGCACTGACAGAAAGCTGGAGGCTTGCTCTGCTGCCTTGAAAGTGGGGTACATTGTTAACCTGGCTGAACCTCAGATTCTGTATTATAAAAGAATATAATGCACTCATGGATTTGTTGCAAGGAAAATGATTGTTTTAGTATCTATTATAATACATAATTAACAATAAAAACAAGTGTCTAGGCTGGGAATGTGGTTAAGTGATAGAGTGCTTGCATGCATGAAGACCTGGGTTTGATTTCTCAGTACCACATAAAGAGAAAAGGCTGGAGTGGCTCTGGGGTTCAAGTGACAGAGTGCTAGCCTTGAGCAAAAGAACCTCAGTGCCCAGAGCTTGAGTTCAAGCCGCAGGACTGATTTAACAAAACCAACCAACCAACAAACAAAAACCAAGTGTCTAACAGGTGGATGATGGAAGCTATGAGCCAGGCTATCCTTAGTTGAGGACTTACCTCTGCAAGGTAGGTGATCATGTTCAAGGTTATGTCGGCATAGGCTTCGTGAAGATAGCGACAGACCACATTGACCCACGTGGCACAGTCCCTTGTGTAGCTGTGTGTTTTATAAAGAGTCATCACATGTGCAAGATTTGAAAGTTTGGGGTTTTTCTCTTCCAAGCAAACCTTTTAAGGCAACAGAACCAATTAGGGTGACAGTCTTCTGGTGATTAGAAGAAACATCAACAACTTTGCTATATGTTCTGACAGTCTGCAAAGTCGACTGGCATACATTTTTTTGGTCACTACAGAAGTGGTTAGCTAAGTAATTAGCTAATGCAATTTTCAAAAATTCTTTTCCCTTGTCTTAAGAATGTAGGCAAAGATGACAGCTAGATTAGCCACTCAGAGATGCACTAGCAGTTTTAGGTGAGGTGATCGTTGCTTCTCTAAGGTGGTAATTCCTACCTGGCATGGCCTTCCTGATGGCCTGAACATAGAACCATAAGACATACCTGAGCAATCCTTTCTGCTATGTCCTTACAGAACTGATTGGGGTTTTCAAAATGCTGGATCAGTTGGGGCAGGAGACATAAGACATTCAGAGGAAACCCTGGATGAGAGAAGACACAATGGAGACAGCGGAGTATAGTACGCTTTAACTGGTGTAGTGGAAGGTATTTCACAGATTTTATTCCCAGATGAGGCTAAACAGTCTTTTGAAGAAGCCTAAATATGATATGACAAAAATAAATCTGTGAAAATAATTATAAAATTTTAACCACAATGGCAACAATTGCAAAGGAGGAACTGAACCAGACATACAATTTTAACAGACACTGGTCATCTTGCCAGGGACTGACTGAGAATAGGGACTATGGGTACAGTTTCATTGGCACAGACAGAAATGAAACAATGATGCACAGGCCAATTATTTTTAAGTCATAGTCACATGATTATTTATTTATTTATTTACTGCTATTACAGGAGCTTGAACTTGGGACCTCACACTCTCCATCCCTTGATTTTTACACGTAAGGCTGGTGCTCCACAACTTTAGCAACACCTCTGCTTCCACCTTTTTGCTGGTTAGTTGGAGATAACCATTTCAAGATGGCTTCCAACCTAAAACCTCCTATATCAGCCTCCTGAGTAGTTAGGATTATAGGCGTGAGCCATCAGTGGATAGCCACATAGTTTATAAAGAGAAAGAATTGCTTGATATATCTGAGTTAAAATCTACTTCTTGGTATGATTCTGGGCTACTTACTATGGTGTTAAAAGTTGATCTTCCTTAATTAAAAACAAATTTCAAGAGGAAAAGAACAGCAAAGAAAAAGAAGAGATTTAGAAGTTAAGTAACGTACAAGAGTAAGGCAAAAATAAACAGTATCTGAAACTTGATCTGGAGAGCATAAAAATAGCACTAATATCTTATATATAATTTCTGTGACCTTTCTGATATTACCTTAAAGTATTTTGTATAATGTAAATAAAGTTTACATATTTTTTTTTCAGTACTGAAGTTCAAATCCAGGGCCATGTGCATGTATCTGTGCTAGGCAAGTGATCTACCAATGAACCATATCACAGCTCATCATATAGAATTTTGAAAGAAAAAAAAAGTGAGACCAAATACCTGTAATCCTCAGACTGAATCCTGTAATACTCAGGAGGCTGAGCTCTGAGGGTTTTAATTCAAAGCCAGCATAGGCATGAAAGTCCATGTGACACATTTATAATTAACCACCAAAAAGGCAAAAGTGGAGGTGTGGCTCAAGTAGTAGAATACCAGCTTTGAGCAAAAAAAGCTTAGGGACAAATTTCCAAATCTTGAGTTGAAGCTCTAACACTAGGACAGAAAAAAAAAAAGCAAAAAGACCAAAAGCAAAACACTGACTACCAAACATACCTATATTCCCGTTAGAATTGTTAAAATCACCTAAGTCCCTATCATCTTATTCCACTGGAGACAAACTATATGAGGGAATGATGTTGGACTTACCAATAGCTTGTGATGAATCCACCATGGATACCTTAGACACTGGTGTGAGCAAGCTGAAGAGCTGCAGGGTAAGGTCTGTGGTGGTGAGGGATGTGAATCCTTTGAGCAGCAACTGCTGTAACCCTGAGAAGTCAGCCCACTTGAGCTGTGCCTGGAGCTTCTCAAGTTTTTCTCGATTCTCAGCTTTATCGAGTGGCATATGTGCCAACAGTCGATTCAACAGCCTCAAGGCCATGAGGTATTCGAATTCAAAATCAGACTCCATCAAGGCCACTGTGACCCAGAATATGGTTGCCAAGAGATTGGTTGGGTGGTTTATGTGGGATGGGTCTGTAAGACTGTCCTTCAAGGAGGAGGAACTTCTGGTTTTTGAGGAGAGGCCCTGTTGGGTACAAGCCTGAATTCTATCCAATGTGGCACTTCGAGGTGGGTCGGAGGATCGGTCCACAACTCCAAACTTCTTGGGCACAGAGAAGCTTCTTTGATGTCGACTCCTCTCTGTGGTCGTGGGGTTGCCACTGGTGGCTCCTGGGTTCACATTTAGTTGTCCTGTGCTCTTCCTGCTTGCTGTTAGTTTAGCACTGGAGCTTAAGTCTGGTGATGAAGAGCTGGGTATAAAAATAGGTAAGTTCAATAGATTGCCAGCATGCTTCCTAAAAAGCCAGTCCTCAAAAATCCACCGAGAAAACACCAGAGTGCATACTGTTTCTACCAGCTTCCTTTTCCTTATCTTTAAAGCTATGAAAAATAAACCTCAGCAGAGAGTTTAACAAGAACTGGGCATGGTAACCCATGCATGTAACACCAGTTACTAGAAGTAGAGGCAATAGAATTGAGATTGTGAGGTCAGTCCCAGCAAAGTTACTTGGATGCCCTTCTCAAAAACAAAACACAAACAAAAGTGGTGCTGGTGTGAGTTACATGGTAGAGCACCAGCCCAGGTAGGCTCTGGGTTCAGACCCAGTATTGTCAAAAAAACTAAAAGAAAAACTTTCTCTTACAGAATAAAAAACAAAACCTAATTTTGACTCTACTTACTGAAGGCCGATCTCAAACAATCAGCATTTTTTTGGTTCAAATTTGGACAGGAGTAATTATGGAATAAAATTTACCTGATGAGCACACATTTTAATATTCTGTTAACTGATCAGGAATCTCAAATATAGAGAGCAAAGTAAATATTCGTGTCAAAGGTATTTTTTTACCTATTGAAATTTAGTGAAAATTATTTGTCTACTTATGCTGAAAAGTCAATTCTAGTTCAATTTTTACTGCCTTAGATAAGTTTGTAGGTTCATTTAGAAAAATATGTTTGATAGTAGTTCAACTTGCCAGGCATGGTGGCTCATACCTGTCATCTTAGCTACTTGGGAAGCTGAGATCTAAGGATCCAGGTTCAGAGCCAGATTAGGTAGGAAAGTCTGTCAGACTTTATTTCCAACTTAACTATTAAAAAGTTGAAAGCGGAGGTATGGTTCAAGTAGTAGAACACTATAGAGAAAAAAAACTAAGGTACAGCACATAGGCCCCAAGTTTAAGCCCCAGTACTAGCACAAAAAATCAATTTAAGAATAAAACAAGTTACAGCTGAGCATTAGTGGTTCATGCCTGTAATCTTAACTACTCTGGAGGCTGTTATCTGAGGATCATGGTTCAAAGCCAGCTTGAGCAGGAAAGTCTATGAGACTCTTATCTCCAATTAAATGCCCCAAAAGCCTGAAGTGGAGCTGTGGCTCAAGAAGTAGAGCACTAGCCTTGAACAAAAAAGCTCAGGGACAGTACCCAGGCCCTGAATTCAAGCCCCAGAAATGGAATGCATGCATGCGTGCACACACACACACACACACACAACTTCCAAAAGGCATAATATTTTTACTGACTCAGTTTCTAGGAAGATGATCTCAGTTGTAAAATCATGAAATAATAAATTTAAAATAGGTTATAAAATATTGTCAGGAACAAAAAAAGATATTAAGGTAGAGATTTCTTTAAGTTAGCATTTATTCCAACTATTTTTTTATGGTTCAGATAAACTTGTATCTATCCACTTAAAAATAATATTTAGGGTTTTGTTTGGTTCTGAGACCTGCTTGGCCACCTAACCACCAGAAAGACAGAGGTCAACAACTTTGGACCTGAAGGCTTGGAAAACAACAGAAACAATGGCTAGAAATGCCCAGCCCTCACCACTCTCCGAAGGCCTAAGGGAGGCATCTTAACAAAGGGCCTCCACATTCTTCCCCCCGCAGGGGGAAAAGTCACTGCAAGTCCTCAAAGGACTCCAGGGAGAAGGCAGCAACAACCCTCACCACCATGCTTAAACTCTCATCACTGCTCCTCATCATGATGGAAATCTGTACCTACAGTGAAGGGCCTTCACAAACCCTGAATCCAGATGTATAAATCACAGCAAGAGATATCACAAAATTCACAAGATAATGTGCCATCCTCAAAAACCAACAACAACACGTGGGAGGACTTCACAGATACCAAAGACTCATTAAAGCAATGATGAAAGAAGTGCCTAACAAAATAAGAGAGCAAATCCTTAAAAAAACTAGAATACCAAAACAAGTCGGACAAACAGTGGGATGATATAAAGAAGAAAATGTAGGACATGGGGCTGGGAATGTCGCTTAGTGGTAGAATGCTTGCCTTGCATGCATGAAGCCCTGGGTTTGATTCCTCAGCACCACATAAACAGAAAAAGCTGGAAATAGCCCTGTATCTCAAGTGGTAGTGCTAGCCTTGAGGAAAAAAGTGCTTAGATTCTGAGTTCAAGAAAAGAAAGAAAGAAAAGAAAATGTAGGATATGAGAGGCGATATCTATAGAAAGCATGAAGAGCTCTATGAAGGACATGAGTAAAACCATCAGTAAAGAACTAGGATGCATGAAGGGATCTATCTCCCTATTACAAAGCACAGTAGAAAGCCTTGGCAGTAGAACAAAAGAAGTTGAAATCAGGACATCAGAGGTTGAAGATAAAGCAGAGGAGTTAGAACAGTCAAAGGCATTAAAAAATATTCAGAACAGACCAAAGGGACATTCAAGAACTACTGGAAGGCTGGGAAGGTGGCTTAGTGGTAGAGTGCTTGCCTTGCATGCATGAAGCCCTGGGTTCAATTCCTCAGTCCCACATAAATATAAAAAGCTGGAAATAGCGCAGTGGCTCAAATGGTAGAGTGCTAGGCTGGAGCAAAAGAAGCTCAGGGAGAGTGCCCAGGGCTTGAGTTCAAGCCCCAGGGTAGAAGGGTAGGGACAGGGGGGAAGAAAGGGGGGGTAGGAACTAGAGGACTGCCAAAAGGTCAAAACTACATATAATTGGAATAGATGAGGGAGAAGAATGAAAAACTAAAGACACTGAAAACATCTTCAGCAGAATAAAAACAGAAAATGTCCCCAAATTCAAGAAAGAGAATCTTAACCATCTGACAGAGACATACAAAACTCCAAGCAGAGAAGACTAGAGAAAAAATACTCCCAGACACGTTGTAGTAAAATCTTTTTTTTTTTTTTTTTTTTTTTTGCCAGTCCTAGGGCTTGAACTCAGGGCCTGGGCACTGTCCCTGAACTTCTGTTGCTCAAGGCTAGCGCTCTACCACTTGAGCCACAGTGCCATTTCTGGCCCTTTCTGTTTATGTGGTACTGAGGAATGGAACACAGGGATTCATGTATGCTAGGCAAGCACTCTACCACTAAGCCACATTCCCAGCCCTGTTGTCAGATCTTTTGACTTTCAAAATAAGGAATTAATTTTAAAGGCAGAAAAATCAAAGAGAGAACTTCACTACAATGGAAAGAAGATTTAGAAGAACTATAGATACCTCAATGCAAACTCTAAATGCAATAAGAACCTGAAGTGACATAATTCTGGTTCAGAATGACAACTGTCAACCGATACTAATATACTCAGTAAAGCTATTATTCACAATTTACAGAGAAACTAAACCTTTCCATGATCAATAAAAACTAAAGAAATTCATGAACATGAAACCAACACTAAAGAGGACTAAAAAGAAGCATGTATCAGGAGAAGAAAATAAAAATAAAAGAAACAGCATGAATAAAAACCACTAGAGGATTAGTTTAGTAAAACAGTAAGAGGAAAGAAGCAAAAAACACAGAAACAACAAAATAGCAGGATATATGGTATATATCTCTATAGTAATTTTAAATATCAAAAGGCTCAATTATCTGGTCAAAAGACATAGAACAACAGCCTAGATTAAAAAAACAAAACCCAAACATTTGTTGTATCCAAGAAGCACATCTTATGGCCAAAGATAAATGAGTGAAGGGATGGAAGAAGATCTTTGAAGCAAATGTATCCTGCAAGAAAGCCGAGTAGCCATACTGATATCTGATAAAGTAGACTTCAAATCAAAATCAATACGAAGAGATATAGAAGAACATTTCATATTAATAAAAGGAATGATCCATGAAGAAGAAATTACACTGGTCAATACATATGTACCAAATAGTGGAGTACGTGAATATATTAAACATTCTTAGATTTACAAAAACTGATAGACCCCAATATGATAATAGTGGGAGGGTTTTACACCCCACGGTCACCAAAGGACAGGTTAACAAAAGGTCAACAATGAAACCTCTGATTTAACTGGCACTATAACCCAAGTAGACTTAATAGACGACATCTGCAGAATATTTCACTCCGCATCCACACAATATACATTTTTCTCAACAGTCCATGGAACTGTCTTCATATTCTAGGATACACATGCCTGGGAAAATTTCAAATAAGTTGATAAACTTCCTGTATTCTACCTGATCACAATTGTATTAAATAAGAACTCAACAGCAAAAGAGACCGAATGATACATAGTTAATAACAGCTGGTCATGAAAAAATAAGGGGAAAAATCAGAAAGTTCCTGCAATCCAATGAAAATGAAAACATACACCGGAACTTCAAGGATACAGCAAAGCAAATGTTGAGAGGAAAGTTTATAGTTTTTAGTGCTTACATACAGAGAACAGAAATTGCTCAAGTACATAGTCTCATGATACAACTAAAGCTAGAAAAATACAGAAAGGTCTATGAAACTTTCATCTCCAATTAACCACCAAAAAGCTGGGAGCGTAGGCTCAAGTCGAATAGCACCAGTCCTGAGTGATAAAGCTAAGGGACAGTGCCCAGGCCCTGAGTTGAAGCTGATACTCAGCCCAAATTTAAAAAATAATTATGCATACTTTTTTCAGGTCAGAAGTAAACTTCACAAACTAGATTTGTTGTTGGTATTCTGCTCAAATATTCTCCCAAATATTCAGTATAGTGAATTTGATTTCAGAAGGTCAATAAGAAGATTCTCACCGAGATAACACGGTTAGGAGGTCGCTGTTCTTCAAGCAGTCAGACAAGTTATCCACAGCAGCTTCCAAGGTCAGGAGCGCTTCCATCACGTATCCCTGCCAATCACACAGAGCATCAACACTCTTGCACGCTTATCTCCACTACCAACTTCCTGAATACCACTTCAATGAAGGCAGACTTTATTTTAACAAGGTTAGTATTTCTCAAAGCTAGAGAATAATTGTTGCATTAGCGAAGGCTCAAAACGAAATGGAAAGGTGGCTTAGGAGTTAACAGATTTATTTCTCTAAGTCTGACAGCCTCAAGAGGGTCTGATATTTGGAGGTGGTGGGGATAAGCCAGCCTCCTGCTGAGAGCTAGGGTGAGCAAGTAAGATGCAGAGCACCGATGGCTGACAAGTTGAGGTACAGCCATTAATTGGGCCTCAGTAGCATCTCAACACAGATGGCTAGGAGGTGAGGAGGAAAGAAAGGTAGAGCCTACAGGTGTACAGGTTTCATCCACTTAAGTTGCACCCTTAGCACAGGTGTGCAGGTTTCCTGAGATACAGGAACAGTCTGATGGGTATTGGCCCTAGACCCTGTAATGGGCCTTGTTTTTCAATCTGCTTAGTTCCCCAGGGTTCTTCCTGCATGCTCTTCTAGGGACAGCTCGCCTCCATATAGGGTAATGCTTTGTACAGAGACTGTGGAGGACAGATGCCATATTCCTTACTCTGGGTGGGAACATGGCATCACTGCATCTATAGTGGTGGGAGAAAATCCAAACAATATAAAGTAGTCTATCCCCATATCTACCAAAGAAAACCACTGACAATCCAGCTCAAGGTCAGCAAATCCAGGTAAAAAAATTCAGCCAACAGCTGGGCACAGTGGCTGTGCCTGTCATCGTAGCTAGGACACACAAGGATAGATTCAAGAGTCATCTTCAATCCAGACTAGCCCAAGCAAAAAACATTCATGACATCTCATTTGAACAGAAAAAAGATGGGCGTGGTAGTGTGTGCCTCATTCTAGCTACAGAAGAAAGAATACATAGGGTCACAGTCCAGGATGGCCCAGGCAAAAAGGGAGACCTAACTCAAAAATAACCAGAACTAAAAAGGACTAATGGTAGAGCACCTGCCAAATACACTCGAAAGGCCTGAGTTCAGACCACACATCACCAGACCCCATCCCAAATCAAGAAAACAACAACAACAGACCAAAACAAGCTCACTGACAAAAACAACAAAAAAGATCTCCTGAAAGAATTTTCAGTTTTGTGTATAAAACAGAGCAGTAGCTATAGAATTTCTACAACCATGATTCTTGAAGTTGTGAGACGTCTGGAAGTTTTTCAAGTAAAGAGAAAGCGGCTTACTCAACGCTTGAAAGGACAGAGAGAGCATTCCTTCAGCCTGACCTCAGAGGGCTTCCCTCCGTTACCTGAATCTCATCTCCATGCTCTCCGATCACCTCCACCAGTCTGGACAGGAGGTCCGACAAGGCGTGTGCTGACAGGGGTTGCTTGAGGGCCCGGAATATCTGGAAGGACCGACCTGCGTAGTGCCGTGAAGAACTGGCCAGGGCGGTCTGCAGTGCGACTTCGCTCAAGTGCTGCTCCAGGTGGAAACCTAGAGCCGGAGGAGACGGGGAGTGGGTCAGCATCAGGGTCATCTGTGGGTTGAAAACAGGCCCAAAGCCCAGAGCGACCAGGAAGTGACACTTATTTAAAAGTCAATTATTTTAAACAAAAGATTGTTCAAATGACAATAGACCTGAAAGCATTAAATGTCTCCACGTGAGACAGCAGGGCTCTACCCCTGAGGGAACAATGTCCCCATTTCCCATTTCCCTTTGCAGTTAGGTGTGGCCAGGTGCCTTCCTTCTGCCAGTGGACTGTGGGAAGCAGGGTCCAGTGCTTCAAAATGCATCCTGAGTACTCTGCTTCTCACCCTCTCCTCCACTATCTGACCTGCTGGCTGGGAGCAGAGCATTGAGGCTGGCAGATGCAGAGCCATAGGTTGTACAAGGTTACCTGCCCCACACCCAAAAGGACCAAGGACTAACCTTCAACATGTTACACTCTCAGCTTAGAATGTATTTGTGTTAGCAGCTAAGCAATTCTAATACACATGCTTCTAGGAACACATTGGGTGTGTGCAGCAAACACAGGCTGAGAGCTAGGATGTGCAAAGACATAGAAGGGGTTAAAAAAAGACAGACTTGAAATGGCCTGATGTATCTTCTGAGAGTTCAGGACAAGGCGTTCATATATTTTTTCATTTTTCGTATAATCAAGTATTTTTGACAGTGGCTCACATATAAATTTTAGGTGTCTTCTTTCGGGCTACCTTCAAAATTAAGTGGCTTTTGAAGTCCTCTAATTATTGTTGGTGTTTTGGATTATTATTGTCAGTACTGGTGTTTGAACCCAGGGCCTTCTGTTTGTTAGGCAAGCAGCTCTACCACTTGAACTATGCCCTTGGCCCATGATCTTAATACTTCAAATGAATTCCAAAGGGTAAAATCAAAATGCCAAGTCTGACTTTCCAATTTCAGCTTGTCAGAAATTTTTATTTTTCAGTAGGTACCCTCTGATAAACAAGTATTGTTAGCAAACACTTTTAAAGCCAAAATGTTTAGTCAGGCATTGATAACTCATGCCTATAATACTAGCTATTCAGAAAGCTAAGATCTGAGGATCTCAGTTCAAAGCTAGCCTGGGAAGAAAAGTCCATGTGACTCTTTTTTTTTTTTTTGAACTCTGGGCCTGCCTGGGCTGTGCCTCAGCTCTTCAGCTCAAGGCAAGTGCTCTATCACTTGAGTCACAGTGCCGCTTTGGTTTTCGGAGTGGCTTATTGGAGATAAGAGTCTCACGGACTTTCCTGCCCCGGCTGGCTTTGAACTGCGATTCTCAGATCTCAGCCCCTTGTGTAGTTAGGACAACAGGTGTGAGCCACTGACGCCAGGCTCCATGTGACTCTTATCTCCAGTTAATCAGCAAAAAGTTAGAAGTGGAAGTATGGCTCAAGATGTAGAGTGCCAGCATCAAGCACAAAAGCCACGCAAGGGTGTGAGCATCTGAGTTCAAGCTCTTACACCAACGCAAATGAAAAAATAAAGCCAACAATTTTTATCATCGATTCATTTTTTTAAAATCAATTAATTTTTGATACTGGAGATCAAACCCAGAGCCTTACACATTCTAGGCAAGAGCTCCATTCCAAACTTTCATAATCCTTAAAAAAGGCAAAACAAAACAGTTTGATCCTTTTAACTAGCTATTAAAATAGGAGAACTGATATTTACAGTTGAGACAAAATGGCCATGAATGAGTTGTGCCTCATGATTTTATAAAAAATTAGTAGTATGGGTATAGTTTAATCTAGTAAGGTAAAAGAAACAGAAAAAAACAGGGTGAGAAAAGTACTTAACAGACCATAATACAAGTAGTGATGTCCTGGCCATTCATGTACTCAACTATGATTCAGGTACACAGGCAGCATCTGGAAACTCACCCATGAATGAGTTTATGACCAGGTTGCAGGTGGTGTCCTCATTGATAGAGGAAATTCCATAACACAAAAACAATAAAGGAGGGATTGGGGCAAACAGAATAGAATACCTGATTTGGAATCTTTAAACACAGATACGACGTGACGTAGAAAATTAGTCAGCTGTTCGGCACTCTTGGAATTTTGATTCTTGGGTGTGATGTCTTCATGGCACCAAAGTGGGCCAAATGCCCTTAAAAAAAACACATGCACACACACATAAAATGTCAAAACTCTAATTGCCATTCTGTATTTGTGTGTGTGTTCATGTGCGTATGTGTGCTAGTGTTGGGGCTTAAACTCAGAACCTGGACACTGTCCCTGAACTTTTTTTTTTTTCTCAAGGCTAGTGCTTTACCACTTGAGCTACAGCTCCACTTCTGGCTTTTCTTTTTGAGTAGTTATCCTGCTTGGGCTGACTTGAACTACCATCCTTAGATCTCAGCCTCTTGAGTAGCTTGGATCACAGGCTTGAGCCACTGGTACCTGACTCATTCTGTATTTTAAAATCCATACATGACTCAGAAGTATATTATAGTTTCCACCACCACCACAACAACAATAACAACAACAACAACAAAAGGTCAGGGACATCGCCTAGGCCCTGAGTTCAAGCCTCAGGATCCATTTACCCACCTCACCCTCACTCCCTCACACACTCACACACTCATACACACACACACAAACCTGAGAAAGGAGAGCATATGTCCTGACCACCTGCCTTTACTGGACCCCAGGGTGCTAAACATTCTAAAGCCTAACAGTGAACTTGAAGAACTGGAAGATCCAAAAGGACAAGCTCCCTAGCAGCTTTCCTTAATGCTGACCTCTGCTTAGTTTGATGCTTTCTCTATCATGCTTGCCATGGTTTCTGGTTTCTGACTCCTGATCCCAAAGGACTCATGGGAGCATGTGAGCAACCAGTGCTTTGCTAGCAGCCGCTCCTGGGTTGACTGTGGCTAGTATTGTTGGTTCTCAGAGCAAAGTTCTTGGGCAAGAGCAATCAGATCTGTACCTCTAAGAGATGATTTTAAAGTCATACTCATGGCAGGGTGCTGCCATCTCGTCTGCTATATCATTTTAGCCGAATGTTCCCTGCATATCTGTTGCCTATCAACATTACTGTCAACAGGTGGGGCCCAAGAGAACCATTTTCCATTTCTTTTATACAGAGTTCAGCAGATCCAAGGTAAGAGAGGACAGAGGAGTTGGTTAGAACTCTAGGATCACTTTTCTTTGTGTTTTACAGTGTTGGAACTTTTTCCAGAAGAATGTCCTGAAAACAGCACTGTTGACTCCTGACACTTGTTACCTGGTGGTCAGAAACTCAATGAGCTTGTTTGCCTTCTCATCCGCTTCTGCAGCTGCATCAGTGTCTTCGGCCTCTTGGGTCATCTGTGGGAGGTTCCCACTGCTGCCGCCCAGACTGATGCTGGAGGAGGTGGAACTGGAGCTCAGCCCCGAGTCAGGCACTGGTGATGACTGGTCCTCTCTCAGGAAGTCAAAGCCACCTAGTGGAATGAGAAAGAGAAGGAAGGATGTAGAAGAAGGGTAATTATCAGCATGCTTACGGAGACCTGAGGAGAACATAACAGAAATGTGATCATACTTAAATTTGAGGAGAAGCTGGATGTCACTGGCTCAGGCCTATAATTCTAGCTATTCAGGAGGCTGAGGTATGAGCATTGTAGTTCGTAGTCAGCCAGAAGGAGACAAATCTGAGACTCATCTCCAATTAACCATATACTTGCTGGAATACATCTTTGTCCTGGAGAGTTTGAACTAGAACTTTTAATAGTCTTTGAATTAGCATCTATTGAAAAGAACATTGGGTGTCTCTCAGAGGCCACAGAGGGGTTGTTTTCAATTGTGTAGCTTGGCTCAAAATATAGAGCTTAAAAATGGAGATCAGTAGACTTTATACCGCAGAGTTAATTATGACTTCATATTTATTTTCTGTTAGAAGGCAAGACAGGCAAGACAGTTGAATGGCAGGTCCATTCCCTTTTAAAGGAATGAAGTACCAGTGACATGTGAAATGCAGCCAGACCCACTGCCATAATGTATAACATGTATAGCGTTTTTACATAAAACTCTATGAGATGGTAAACTTCATCACCATTGTAAGATATTTCAAATATCATTTTTCTAGTGTTGGAAAGTGGGCTCAAGCAAGCCCAGCAAGCACAAAGTCCTGAGTTCAAATCCCAGTACCACAAAGAAAAGAAAGAAAATGTCAAACACTATTGTTCTAAATGGCAACCACTGACCGATTCTTTGGGGGAAGTCTTCATGAGTAGCTCTACCCGTGAAAAATCCCCGGTGAAGAAAAAAAATCTCATGGCCACCTTATATAGCTTGACCTACCAGAGTAATTTCTCTAGCTCAGCCAATGCTTTCTCCCCTGCTCTTAAAAGGGAAATGGTTTCTAATAGACTTCCCTTAAACACCAACGGTTTTTAATAGGTTCTCATTAAATAGTACCTTCTGGAATAGACTCAACTATTCTGTGAAGTGAAAACACTTTCATGAAACCCAGAAGCTGGGCACCCTAGCTGTGGCCTATTCTTCACTGGGGGACCAACCACCATCCTGCCTTCTCTTCACCCTTCAGTATTCTAGACTGATGCTCTTGACCAATGGAACGATATCAATTTCAAGGCACCGACAGGAGTCTCATCAATAAGAGCAGCAGTCATAATTATAATAATGATATAATGATGAAAGTACATGTAAAAGTAGTCAGGAATGTCAGGCGCTGGTGGCTCACACATGTAATCCTAGCTACTGCCAGAGGCTAAGATTTGAGGATTGAGATTTGAAACCAGCTTGGGCAGAAAAGTCCATGAGACTCTTATCTCCAATGAACTAGCAAAGATCTGCAAGTGGAATAGCTGTGGTAGAGCACCAGTCTTTAGGAAAAAGCCAAGTGAGAGTATGGGGCCCTGAATTCAAATCTCAGTCCCAGCACAATAAATGAATAAATAGATAAATAAGTGATAAATAGATAAATAGATAAATGAACGTGGCTTTTTTTTTTTGGCCAGTGCTGGGGCTTGAACTCAGGGCCTGGGCACTGTCCCTGAGCTGCTTTTGTTCAAAGCTAGCACTCTACTACTTGAGCTACAGCACCATTTCTGGCTTTTTCTGTTTATGTGGTACTGAGGAATCAAACCCTGGGCTTCATGCATGCAAGGCAAGCACTCTACCACTAAGCCACATTCCCCAGCCTGAAGGTGGCTTTTCAAGAAGCAAATTCACATCAAGTAAGATAGTTCCTATCCCTTATACTTTTATTCACTCAATTATGTGGAAAGTTGAAAGCAATAGAGTGAAGGGAGTTACTTTGGCCTCCATGGTCACCTCTGTTACCTTCCCACCTGTGACCAGGCTGCCTGCCTGCCACTCCTTCTCCTGTTACCTGTATATAGGTATTCCGGCTGGTAGGCTGGCTGGACGGTTAATGTCTTGGCCTCACCCATCTCTCGGGTCTGCAGGAGCACAGAGGCAATGGCATGGAAATTGCTGTTACAAGAAAGGGCTATCAGGAGATGAAGAAGCAATTTTTTGCTGTGTTCAAAGACTTCAGGCCGGTAATGGTCCAAACCTGGAACAAAACAGTGGAATCTTTTTAGTATAAACATATGTGAAATGCCTTTAGATTCCAGGGATAGTAAAGATTCCAAAATACTCAGCAGGAACAGGCTGAAAGAATGTTTAGTGTTTCTTTGTAATTGTTTGGCACACCAGCATATGGACCCTGGGCTCAGGAAAAATAAAATGCTTTACTTTTGAAATAAAAGGTTCCCATGAAATGTTGATGGATGGATCATTCTTGACCTCTCTGACCTGGAAGCATCTGATTGGTCGTTCATATTCATCCTTCCTGAGAAGCGTCTCTTCCCTGGATCTCCTTGGTACTGAAGGATCCTAGGGCTTTTTTTTTTTAATTTCTAACAATATTTACAATATAACATTAAAGGCAAATTTGTTCAGGCACACATATTGAACAGCATCACCTGTCCATATGAATTTATTTCTGTGCATTGTCTTGTTGGTGTTTGTGTGTTAAATAAGCTCTGCATTCTTTACAAAGACTGTGAAGTTATTCAGAGAAGATATGGTAACGTTATTCACTAACAAATGCGGCTGCCTTCCTTTGCTGGCATGCCTGGAAGAGGGATGGATTTCTCAGAGCTGATCTATGGATTAAACTGTGGCTACATAAGGACAAATGAACTGTAATCTGTGGCTATGTTAGGAAGAAGGGCCATAGATAATCACTGGAGAGCCAGGCGCTGGTGGCTCACACCTGTAATCCTAGCTACTCAGGAAGCTGAGAGCTGAGAATCATGGTTCAAAGCCAGCCTGGGCAGCAAAGTCCCTGAGACTCTTTATCTCCAATAAACTACCAGAAAAATGGAAGTAGTACTGTGGCTCAAGTGGTAGAGCGCTCACCTTGAGCTGAAGAGCTGAGGGACAGTACCCAGGCCCAGAGTTCAAGACCCACAGCCAATTAAAAAAAAAAAAAGAATCATTGGAAGAGTTTCCTGGAGGGCCCAGCCCAGAGCAGGATGTAGTATCGTGTGCATGCATCTCATCTCCCCAGAAGAAGTATGGTGCCTACAAAGGAGGCAATTTATTTTGAGACATGGTCTCACTATGTATTCTAGGATGGACTCAGACTCATGATCCTCTTGCCTGAGTCTTACAAGTGCTCTGGGATTGCAGAATGCATCATCAGGCTTGCTTTGAAAACTTTTTCTTTATATCTCTAACTGATCTTTTGTCTGGGTTCTTCTTCCAATATTTTATCCTCTACAACTTGGGCAGTTGAAGCTCAGTGCTTGGCATGTTCCATGTTATTTCTCTCCTTCCATCTGTCCAGTGATTGTACTGGTTGGCTCACTACATGGCTTTCAATGTATTTCCTCAGCAAAAGACTCAAACCTCAACTTACATTGGATGGCTTTATAAAAAGATATTAGGATGTGATGTTGCATTTATAGTGTGGAAATATGACATTTTCAAACAATGACTGGACAACAGATGTCTGATTTAGTGGATGTCCCAAGAGCCATGAAAAAATGGAAGAGACTTTCTGAAATGAAAAACATTAATGTCAATCTGAAACGGACTCTCAATGAGCAGACCCGGGGACTCCCACTGAGCAGACCTAGTCTTACCTAAGAAGACAGCATGAAGTAGTAATGGAAGATGAAGAGCCCAATCTTCTCTCACACTGTGATCCACCACCATCTCCGTCATAAAAATCACAGCGATGTTGCACCTAGTGAGCAACATGACAGAATTAACGTAACTTCTGAAGAGAGCAGAAAAATACCAATCGATCACGAAGTCATTGTGAATGGCAACTATTAAGGCTTGGTGAGGAATTATGGTCAAACTTTTATTCCAAAGAAACAGAGTTAACTTGTTTCAAAGTTCCGAGTCCCATCACAAGAGGAAAACATCTGTTTAGCTCATTTCATCACAGTGTGCTAGTCACAAAACAATAGGAGCTAAAGAATGAGGAGGAATTGAAGACAAGTTCCTCTTGAATATTGGTGCACTGTCTAAAGTTTGTTATAGACTACACACCTTAGAAGTGGTGCTGTAGCTCAAGTGGTAGAGCACTAGCCTTGAGCTAAAGAGCTGAGGGACAGTGCTCAGGCCCAAAGTTCAAGCCCCATGACCAACAACAACAACAACAACAACAACAACAAAAAGAATACACATTTATCAAGGTCACGCTAAGGAGACATTCAAAGGGCCACAGGCAGCTTAGCATAAAGATTGCTATTTAACAGAATTTTGCTAATGTACTAGGAGCTGGTGGCTCATGCCTGCAATTCTAGCTACTCAGACAGCAAAGATTTGAGGATTGTGATTTGAAGCCAGCCTGAAGGCGGGTAAAAAAGTCTTTTAGACCCTTGATCTCCATTTAACTAGCAAAAAGCTGGAAGTGAAGCAGTGGCTCAAGTGGTAGGGAGAGGTAGGCTCAAGTCTTGGAGAAATAAAACCACATGAGAACATGAGGCCCTGGGTTTAAGCCTTAGTACTGGCAGGCAGGCAGGCAGGCAGGCAGGCACATATACTCTCTCTCTCATCTAATTTGGTGGGATCTCTATATGTTTCTCTCTTCTCATAGGGAGAGAGGTCTCACAAAGCTACGTGGTTGTCTCTTTCCACTCAAACATGCTGCTCACCTGTGCAGTGGCCCCCGTGGAGTGATGGTTTCTGGGAGATAGTCAACCAATGGGGCCCAGCACCCTCCAGTGCATGGCATGGGTAAGGGCTGTGGCTGTTTGGTCTCTGTGATAGTCAATAACCAGCCAGTATAGGGAGAGATTGGATCATCTGTAGGGCCAGAAAGACAAGTGTGCTTTATTTCCTGGGAGAGAAGACGTGTGTTTTCTCTACTTCGTGTTTTTAGGAAGGATCTTACAAATGCAAGCTTGTTAAAATAACTTTCTAATCACCCGATTTGGTGCATATGAATGACAGGATCAAATAAGTCAGAATCATTAGACAGTTACTTGATTAGTTGTTTGAAAATGAATGGTTACCTACTAGACGGCAATACAAGTTGAATGTTAAAGTCATGTGAAATGTGAAATCACGTGGGTTCCCCTTCCAATAGTAAAATGCAGTTCTATATTTACAGTTTGTTCTGGGCAAGAGCTTGCGTCACCCCCTCACATTCCACAGCCAACTCTCATGAGAAAACTACAGTAATAGCTGGGCACCAGTGGCTCACACCTGTAATCCTAGCTACTCAGGAGGCTGAGATCTGAGGATCACAGTTCTAAGTTACACCAGGCAGAAAAAGTCCATGAGACTCTTATCTGTAATTAACCAGCAAAAAAGGCAGAAGTGTTGGAATAGCTCAAGACATAGAGCTGTAGCCTTGAGAGAGAAGGCCAAATGAGAGTGCAAGGTACTGTTTAAACCCCAGCACCAGCACAAAAACTAAAAAAAAAAAACAAAAATGAAACAAAACCTAATGACATTAGGGACTGAGTACTCTGTCAGACAGGCACTGTTCTACGCACTATACCCATGAAGAGTTCAAAATTGCCTCTGTCTGCCTGAGCTCTATCCCTGAGCTGCTCTGTGCTCAAGGCTAGTGCTCTACCACTTGAGCATAGCGCCTCTTCCAGCCTTTTCTGTTCATGTGGTGCTGAGGCATCGAACCCAGAGCTTCATGTATACTAGGCAAGCACTCTACCACTAGGCCACATTTGCAGCAAAAAATTAGTCTTTTTTTTTCTTTTTTTTTGTCTGTTGTGAGGCTTGAACTCAGGGTGTGGGTGCTGTCTGCGTGCTCTTTTGCTCAAGACTAGCACTCTACCACTTTGAGCCACAGTGCCACTTCTGGTTTTCTGGTGGTTTCCTCTGTGTTGGTTTTGAACTGCAATCCTCAAATCTCAGCCTCCTGAGTAGCCAGGATCACAGGCATAAATCACCAGCACCTGACTTGCCTGTTTTATTGAGGGGAAACTGAGACTAATTATTATTAACAGATTCAGTGTTCTACCTCCACAATAAATCCGGCATCTGGTACTTGTCCCTATCCCCATCAGTAAGACTCCCTCCTCTCTCAATAGCTCCTTCCTGTCACCTTGCTTCCACCTTTGACCCTGCCCACACTCTGTGCTCTAGAATCACTCCTTTAGTTACATCCCTTTCTTTTCTCCAGTCTCTGGAGTGGATCCACTGGATCCGTTTTAAAGGAACTAGCTACTCTTTAATAAGACTTGAAAAGGAAGAAGAGAGAGGGGAAAAAGGAGAGGGTAGAATACGAAAGACTTTTTTAAAAGTGAGATTCGTATGTCTGGGTTTTAGTGATGTCCTTAGGATATATATGCAGTCAGCAAAAATATGCCAAGAAAGATTATGATAGTGTAAGGTTGGTTTTCTGCAATTACCATTCAGCTGATACCCAGCTTAACTAGACATGTCCTTAAAATCATCCATATTAGCTCAGGGCCTTGGAAAATAATCTAGATGTCTAAACTAGTTCTGAAGAAAAGCTTGCATACTATTGGTAGAATGCTATTTCATAAACGTTGGTCTAACTTACTTTGCTTGTCCTCCCAGGAGAGTGTCTATAATGTGTATTTGTAAAATGCAGTTTTGAGGCTACACATACTCCATCCTTTTGGATAAACCCAGATTATGAAGCACTGGGTTGATAGATCTCTTCTGACACCTTCTTGATCCTTTCTCCCTCTGAAGATCCCCCCAGAAATCCAGGAATGAAGCAATCTACTCTTAACGCTCACTCAGCTTGCTGGCTCACAGATGACCCACATGGTCCATGCCTCCAGTCCAACATTTTTTGCCAGTCCTGAGGTTTTAACTCAGGGCCTGGGCACTGTCCCTGAGCTTCTTTTGCTCAAGGCAAGCACTCTACCACTCTAGCCACAATGCGACTTCTGACTTTTTCTGATGTGGTACTGAGGAATTGAACCCAGGGCTTCATACATGCTAGGGAAGTACTCTACTACTATGTCACATTGCCAATCTCAGTATTTTTTATGTGTGTGCTGGTACTGAGGCTTGAACTCAGAGCCTTGCATTTTCGGTTGACTTTTTTGCTCACAGCTGGTGCTTCCCCACTTGAGCCATGCTCCCACTACGTCTGGATTTTTGTTAGTTAACTGTAGATAAGAATCTTGAGGGCTGGGAAGGTGGCTCAGTGGTAGAGTGCTTGCCTTGCATGCATGAGGCCCTGGGTTCGATTCCTCAGCACCACATAAGCAGACAAAAGCCAGAAGTGGTGCTGTGGCTCAAGTGGTAGAGGGCTAGCCTTGAGCTGAAGAGCTGAGGGACAGCGCCCAGGCCCAGAGTTCAAGGCCCATGACTGGCCAAAAAAAAAAAAAGAATCTTGAGGCTTTGTCTGCCTGGGCTGGCCTCAAAACTCAGTCTTCCAGGTCTCAGTCTCCTAAGTAGATATGAGTTATAGATATGAGCCACCTGTGCCTAACACAGATACTTCTATTACATTATTTTTTTTGTTCCTAGTCAGTATGAAGGTCTTCTATAATGACATAATTAATGCATCATTTTCTTGTAATTATCTTCTCAAATTCTCTACTTTCACAAATTAAAGAATTTGAGGCTTCAATGCCAGAGGACTCTAAAGGTTACTTTGTTTTTTGAGGTGTTGAACTCAAGGCCTTATGCTTACTAGGCAGGTACTCTACCATTTGAGCCTGCCACCTTCAGCTCCTTGCCACTTATTTATTTTTTTAGGCAGGGCAAGAATAGTTAAATATGTAATAATTCATACCTTACATTTAGTTAAGTATAAATATTTGAGCTGGGCTCATGCCTGTAATCCTAGCTACTTAGGAGGCTAAGATCTGAGGATAGCAGTTTGAAGCCAGCCCGGGCAAGAAAATCCACGAGACTCTAATCTCCAGTTAATCACAGAAAAAAGCTCTAAGTGGTGCCGTAGCTCAAGTGGTAGAGTGCTAGACTTGAGCAAAAGGAGCTTAGGGACAGTGCCCAGGACCAGAGTTCAAGCCCCAGGACCAGCAATTTAAAAAAAAAAGATAATTTATACATAAAACTGCTCTCAAAACACAAAACTAACAAATGTTTTAGTTGCACTGTTTAGCTTCTCGTAATTCCCAAGGGTTAACTTTTCTTAGATTGCGATCAACTGTTCCCTAGAGCACTGTTTAGTTTATGTCCTAATAAATTCAAACCTTTAAAAGTCCCGTCACCTAATGCATAAATATATAAAAAATCGATTCCCCTTTTCAGACCCTCTATTTTCAGGGCTGGCCTGGACTGCAGTGTTCCTACTTGTGCTTCCCCTGTAGCTGGGATGAGGGGGTGTGCTACTGAACCCCACCATTCATTGGTTAACGTGGAGTCCTGAGAACTTTTTTTTTCTCCTGAGCTGGTCTGGAACTGTGATTCTCCCATGTTCCCCTCTCAAGTAGCCAAGATTACAGGCTTGAGCCACCATACCCGACTAAAGATGTTTTTTCAAAATGTTTGGTATTTCCAAATATGGTATTTCTACCCAAGTCTATGTCCTGTATGCAGAACACCAAGGTACACTTTAAGGAAGCAACTGGCCAAAGAACAGCAGTTTTCCTCTGTGTCATCCTCACCACCACAGCCTGGCAGACATTGTCACACCACACCAGACATCCTGGGGGAAATCAGTACTAGGCAGTTTAACATCTTCACAATTCAATTTTCATGTCCCTACATTTTGGGTAACTATTGCCATAGAAACCAGATTTCTTTGGAACCAACAACTTTCTATTTCTCAAGTGCAACCCGTCATTCATCTGTAAAATTTGGTCCTTTCTTCAGTTTTTGGCAAAGAAAAGAGATAAATACACATGGCTTTTTACTTCCCATTGATGAGTTCCAGTACACAGTTTTGCTTGTATTTTTTTGGCAGCACTGGAGTCTGAACTTATTTGGCAGCCCCTCTACCACTTGAGTCATACAGTCCTAGCACAATTTTTTAGGGACAGGAGAAATGGAACCTATGAGAATGACAATCATATATGGATATTTAAACATTCCTTCTATAAGAATTTCAGAGAACCAAGAATACCATTAGGAGGGAGAGCAGGGCATCTAAAATGTGGTGTCACAGGAAGAACTCTGCTCTGATCTGACACAGCAAACTTCCCATAAAAACAGAACAATTGAAACTGGTTACAAGTGGCTCACACCTATAATCCTAAAAACTCACGAGGCTGTAAGCTGGAGGATTGCTGTTTGAAGAAAAACCTGCGAGACTCCATCTCCAGTTAAACAGTAAAATGCCAGACTGGAGGCATGACTCAAGTGGTAGAGCACCAGCCATAAGCAAGAGAAACAAGCTTGAATTCAAGGCTCTGAATACACAAAAATATTTAAAAGGCAACCACAGAGACCTTGCACACTGACATACAAAATGACTCCAACTCAAAATATATTCATACTTAACAGTTTTTACCAAAATAAATCCCACCAGATAGTTTACTGGTTTCACTAGCATACTGGGAGTGTTCTTTAGTTCCAGAATTTCTGTAACTTGTGACCAATTAGCCCTCTACCCAGGCTCTATATTGACAGTTGTCTAGATTTTACACAAAATCAATAAAGGGGGTTTGGGGCATGGCTAAAAGTTGAGAGTTGAACTGCAATGATTTTTTTCCAGTGGGACAATTTCTTATTCGTCTTTCCCCAACTCTGAATCACCATAGAAAGTGCCACAAATATAAAATATGAGATTATATAACAGTTAACTTTTGATTTGCATTCTTTGGTTTGCTTATTTATTAATTGTCAGTACCGGGGCTTGAGCTCAAGGACTCCTTTTCTCTCTAGGCTCTCTTGTGCACAGCTGGTGCTCTACTGCTTAAACCAAGCTTCTAGCCTTCCTTTGTACTGGATAACTTGGAGATGGAATCTCATGAACTTTTTTTCTGTCGCTGGCTTTGGACCTTGGCTCTGGCCTCCTGAGTAACTAGGATTATAGTTATGAACCACCTGTGATTGATGCTTTTTCTTTTTTTACATTTAAGATGCCATGTGTTGTCTTATCCTCTCCCCCCCCCCCCCCCCATGGTGCCTCCCACATGAGCAGCTGCTTCAACATGAAGCTGAACATCTCCTTCCCAGCCTCTGGCTGTCAGAAACTCATTGAAGTAGATGATGAACGCAAACTCTGTACTTTCTATGAGAAGCCTATGGCCACAGAAGTTGCCTCTGATGCTCAGGGTGAAGAATGGAAGGGTTATGTGGTCCGAATCAGTGGTGGGAACGACGAACAAGGTTTTCCCATGAAGGAGGTGTTTTGACTTATGGCTGAGTTCACTTGCTACTGAGCAAGGGACAAAGAAAAAAACGCGAATCTGTTGGGGGTTGCATTGTGGATGCCAATCTGAGTGTTCTCAACTTGGTTATTGTAAAAAAAAAAAAAAAAAAAAGGAGAAAAATATATTCCTGGACTGACAGATACTACTGTACCCCACCATCTGGACCCAAATGGGCTAGCAGAATCTGCAATCTCTCTAAAGAAGATGATGTCTGCCAATATGTTGTTTGAAAAAACCCATGACCAACACACCCAAGGTTCAGCATCTTGTGACTCCATATGTCCTGCAACACAAACGCCACTTTATTGCTCTGAAGAAACAACGCACTAAGAAAAATGAGGAGGAAGCTGCAGAATATGCAAGCTTTTGGCTAAGAAAATGAAGGAAGCCAAAGAAAAACAGCAGGAACAGATTGCCAAGAGATGAAGGCTGTCCTCTCTGAGAGCTTCTACTTCTAAGTCTGAGTCCAGTCAAAAATAAGAGTCTATAAATAACAAATGAATAAGACCTTAATTGTCAAAAACAGAGATGCCACGTGCACTTCAGAGGTGAATAATGCCTTAATGATTTGATTTGTAAACCCTTTGTAGCAATCAGACTAAGAATCAAAATAATGCGTTTCTCCTTCTCCATGCACATGCATTCCCTCTGAAAGCCCAGAACCTGTTGCTACTTACTTTTGTCCTCATCGTATGATCCTCCTGAGCTGTTGCTGTATCGTGACTCAAGGCGCGTGTGTGCTCGGATGACATTGCTAAACCTTCAAACACGAGAAACAACAGTCACACAACAGGAATGTGGAGGTATACACGCAGCTGCTCACAGGCAGTACTGTTAGTGGGTGATTGTTTGGCAGCTAGTTCAAAGGGCGATGCTTTCTTGAAAGAGTATTGTAACAATTATCCCCCACACTGGCAAAAGGATAAACCTTGAAAAGACAGTAATATTAAGGCTAACATCAGTTTAATTGAACTAGAAAATTAGGACATTTGCTTTGGAAAGAAAATATGCATGATGCTCAATAATAGTATTCTTTTATTCATAGCACATGGCACATGGCCAATAAACATTTGCTGAATGAACAAATAATGGATAGAGTTGGAAATGGACAAAATAAGTTTGTGTGTGTGTGTGTGTAATATGTCTTGAACTCAAAACCTTGTGCTCTCATTTGACTTTTTCACTCAAGGTTGGTGTCTTACCACTTGAGCCACAGCTTTACTTGCTGCTTTCTACTGATTAATTGGAGATAACAGTCTCAAGGACTTTCTTGGCCAGGTTGGCTTTGAACCACAGTCCTCACATCTTCTAGGAACAAACTACCAGTGCCTGACTCAAGATAATTTTATAACACGTCTTAGACTATGTCCAGTTTGTGGTTAAATTAAAATTGTCTGAGAACTTTCAGGAGAAGCCACTAGGTGGAGCGTAACAGAATAAATCACATGATTGAAGTGACTTGTGTTTGTCTCCCTTGTGGCATATGGTATAGTAACTCCTCCTGCATCATTCCATTTCATCTCCTAAAGTTTGAGTTAAATATTATTTTACTCAAGGCTGAGGAAGATTAAACAACTTGACCAGTGATAACATGTTATTCGCCCAAGACCTGCACGGTGGGACAAAGGGTGTGGTTCAGGGGATATGTGCTTGTTTATTTTTATTTTTGTGGTGCTAGGGATGGAATCCAGGGCCTCACATATGCCCGGCATCCATCCTACCATTGAGCTATCCCATGCACAGTATACATATACAGGTATTTATTTTATATAAAATATTTTATATAATCAATCCACTTAATGTATGTAGCCACGTCAAAGAACTAAAATGATCAGAAACCTTCCCAGGTGCCAGTGGCTAATGCTTATAATCCTAGCTATTCAGGAGGGCTGAGATATAAAGATCATGGTTCAAAGCCAGCCAGAGCAGACAATTCTTATAAACTCTTATTTTCAATTAATCAGAAAAAAGCCAGAAGCAGAAGTAAAGCAGAGTACCAATCCTTGAGAGCTTGAGGTCCTAGGCTTAAGACCAGTACTAACACACAGATATGCACAAACACAGACACAGACAGACAGATACACACACACACACACACACACACACACACACACACACAAATATGAGAAAACAGATGTGTCCTTCTAAATTCTTGTTGGGTGTTCTGTCAGTGTTTAACAGACCAGCACCTTATTGGGAGATGCAGATGTAGCTGTCCTCATGAGGATTTGTAGAAAAAGGCTTCAGGAAAATGTATTGGACATGTACCTCTTTGATGCTACCTTGTCCTGCACTTATGATCTTACAATACAACATCAGTAGTGAACTATAGAAGTGTAATCAGCTATAATGGTGTGGGGGTGGGGGGGGGGAGGGAGACTGGGACTGGGGCTTAAAGCTATACCTGGGTTTTCTTCCTTAGCTTTTTTGCTCAAGACTACTGCACTACAAATTTAGACACAACTCTGCTTCTGGCTTTTTGGTGGTTAATTGGAGTCTCAAGGACTTTGCTGTCCAAGCAGGCTTCAAATTTGGATTCTTAGATCTCAGCCTCCTGAGTAGCTATGATTACATGTGTGAGCCACTGGCACAGGCTGGCTTTGGTTATGTTTGCTTCCTGGATGTTTATGAAAGCCTACTTTTCTGCTGCAGACACTGCTGCATATCCAGTGCGTACAAATATTCCTCAGTGTCGTATCATTTGGGGTTATGACTTTGTGAATGCATATAACAGAATATTTGGGTCATCTGCTTAATTTCTTATAACTCAGACCACACAGTGGTCTGATTCTGAGATTAGAAAAGCAATATACCCATTACCCTCCGGAGACGTTTCTTAATCATATTCTTCTGATAAAGTAATGTTATAAACAGTGCACGCTAAGCCCAGACATTCAGAAAGGGAGGAAAGCAGATTGGGGAAAGAACTCCACATCTGGAGATTGGCAGGAGGGGAGAGCTCCATCACCCCTGTGGTTACCCATGCACTGGAGGCAAGGAGGCAGGAACTAGAAAGCAGATGGCCATTCTTCCCTTTCCCTTTTGGGATCCATGTAAAGAGACTGTAAGAAAAAGCTAATCCCACATCAAGGCAATTACTCTAAGAAATCATTCAGTAATGAGATGTAACCATTTCACATGTCAATTTCCCTTTAATTCAAAATGGTCTGTGCCAATCACAGAAAAAGGAATGACATATATATGTATGTTTTATGTATACTATATATGTATATATGTATATATATCTCCAGGTTAATTCTGGAAGTTGGACTCAGAGCCTTGTTCTCTTGTTTGGCTTTGACAGGCCTTTATTACTTTAGACACCCTTTCACTTCTGCCTTTTTGCTGGTTACGTGGAGATAAGAGTCTCTTGAATTTGTCTACACAGGCTGCCTTTGAATCAGGATCCTCAGATCTCAGCCTCCTGAGTAGCTAGGATCACATATGTGAGTCTGTGATGTACAGGATACAGGGGGAAAGCCTGCCTATGTTGCTAAGAATAAAGAAAGATTTTGGTGTGTGTGGGAAATGTAGGAAATACCATAAACTTGTATCTGTTCCTCGTTTGTAGAGGCTAACTGCTGAAAGTCATTCTGAATAGTGAATGCACACCCACCTTTCGTCAGATTCTTTCAGAATCTTGCTCTCCTCAGCATCTGGGAAACTGTCCTGGCCGGCGACCACTGTGTTGCTGCTGGAGGTCGTCCCTGAGGAGCGGATTAGAGAAAAATGCACGGGAGAGGTCAAGCTCAAGCCTCAAGTTGTTTTAGGAGAGGATTTCCTGTCAAAGCCCATGTTTGAGAGTCTTTACATCTTCTGTACAATCTCAAACATTCTAAACAATCTTACAAGTCTACAGCACTGAAACAGGAGAATTTTAGTCATCTGTGATGGCCATACTAAGTTCCTTAACTCCCTTGTAAAAGGTGAAGCTACAACATCTTACATGCTTTTCTCTCTTTCTCTCTCTGTGTGTGTGTGTGTGTGTGTGTGTGTGTGTGTGTGTGTGTGTGTGAACTAAAGGCTTTGAGCATTTTCTTGCTTATTAGCTTTTTCTGCTCAAGGCTGACACTCTACCGCTTGAGCCACATCTCCACTTCTAACTTTTTGCTGGTTCACTAGAGATAAGAGTTGAATTGACTTTTCTGCCTTGGGTTGGCATCAAATTAGGATCCTCATCTCAGCCTCCTGAGTAGCTAGCATTACAGGCTTGAACTTAAACTAGTGGCCAGTCTTACTGTTGGGTTTACCTCATCACATTCCTTCCTTTCTCTCTTCTCCCTTTCTTTTCCCTCTTTCTCTCTTCCCACTTCTCCTTTACTCTCCTCTATTCCTCTCCCCTCCCTTTCTCTCTTCTTTCCTCTCCTCCTCTCCCTTATTTTTCTTCCCTCATCTCTTAGCATTCCTTCCCTCTTCCGTACTTCCTCTCCATCCCTCCTTTTTTCCCTTCTTCTCTGATCTCCTCCTTCCTTTCCTTCCCTTTCCCCTTCCCTCTCCTCCTCTTCCCTGTCCTCCTTTTTCCTCCCCCCCCCTTCCTTTCATCTCCATTCTCCTTCCCTCCCCTCCTTCCTTCCCTTCTAAAGTAAAAGAAGTCCATGGCATGGGAGCTACACTTTGTTGCTTTTTTTGTTTCTTGGTTCTTTCACTGATTCTTTGTCATCCTTACAAAGTCATTCCATTAATCTAATAATGTCAGAAGAGTCTGAGGCAGCATCTCTCAAAGCCATCTTTTTTGTTGTTGTTGTTGGTTGTGGGGCTTGAACTCTGGACTTGGGTGCTGTCCTTGAGCTCTTCAGCCCAAGGCTAGCCCTCTACCATGTGAGCCACAGAACCACTTGCTGTTTTCTGGTGGTTAATTGGAGATAAGAGTTTGACGGACTTTCCAGTCGGGGCTGTCAAAGCCATCTTTTAAGTGCATGGATCCACAGCAATAAGAAAAAAGCAACAGACACATAGTTTTCAGCGTTCTATTCTGTACCGGAAGCGGCTGCGGAGGTCTTGCTGCTGGCGGTGAAGCGGTAGAAGGGCGGGTTGTCACAGTGCTGGACGATGGGGTTCACTGGCTCTGTCTGCTGCAGCTCGAAGAGAAGCTCCTCCATGGTCTGAATGGTGTTGTTACGGCACAAGTATATCGCCACCTTCTTAATCTGGGAAGAAAACAAACAGGGATACTCTCCAGAGCCTTGTCCTGCTGGGCTGGAAGCCGGGACTTTAGAAAACATGTCATCTTCCTGGGTCATCCCGGTCAGACATGCCTTCCCATTTTTCTAATGGTTTAATTGTAGAAAGTTACCCCTGAGGCACATTGATTCCAACTAACCCAAAAGCCTGTCATGAAAGGATGGGTCTTAGCTGGGCATGATGGATCATGCCTATAATCCCAGGACTCCAGGGCTGAGGTAAGAGGATTGTAAGATTGAAGTCAACCTGAGAGACAGAGCCAGACACTGTCTAAAAACAAAAACAAAAACACAATGGAGGGACAAAGGGTGAAAATGCAACAATGGTACTCACTGTACACTATGTTGAAAATGAACGGTGCAATTTATGGGCGAGAATGGGAGGGAAAAAGTGGGAGAGAGCTAGTGAAAAAAGAAATGTGCTCATTACCTGGCTTCTGTAACCGCAACCCCTCTGTATACACCTTTATGATAACAATACAAATTAACAACAAACATGTCTTGTTTTCAGAAAGAATTTTACTGATAAGAACCCTGAGATAAACCTTGCTAGCTGCTTTTGTTTAAAAAGGAACCTATTGCCTTTCTTTCTTCTTCTCCATTAGAAATGAGACATAGCTATTTAAGAAAAACATTGTGCTGGTCCTAGGGCTTAGACTCAGGGCAGTGTTCCGTCCCTGACTTTTTCACTCAAGGCTGGTGCTCTACCACTTGAGCCATAGCTCCACTTCCAGCTTTTCTGGTGGTTAACTGGAGATAAGAACCTCATGAACTTTCTTGCAAGGGTGTTTGAACCTGATCCTCAGATCTCAGCCTGCTGAGTAGCTAGGATTGTAGGCATGAGCTACTGGCACCCAGTTTATTTTAAAAATTCAAAAAATTAAAAATAATTGGATTATTGTTCTTGATGGCTCAACATGAGCTGTGTGTTGGGATAGGTCTTATGTGGCTCAAAGCACCCACAAAAACAGCCACATAGAAATACCGAGTGAGTTTGCACCTTTAAAATGCTGTTATTCTCATGATTTTATATCTTTAAATATAATGTCTCTGCTTAGTTCTTCCCTTTATATATTAATTTTTTTTGTGCTTGTCCTGAGGCTTGATTGAACTCAGGGCATGGGCACTGTCCCTGAGCTTCTTTTGCTCAAGGCTAGCACTCTACCACTTGGGACACACTACTACTTCTGGCTTTTTCTGTTTATGTGGTACTGAGTAATTGAACCCAGGGCGTCATACATGCTAGGCAAGCACTCTACCACTATGTCACATTGTCGGTCCTGTCCCTTAGCTTTTGTGTTCCAGGCTATTACTCTACCACTTGAGCCAAAGCTCTCCTTCTACCTTTTTGGTGGATTCTCTGTATTTTTTGTTCTGTTTTAAAAACATCAAGAAGTAAACCAGACACTTTTGGGGCATTGGTATAAGGGTTTGAATTCAGGGCCTCTCCCCTCATTCAGTTTGTTTTCTTAATCTATACCTCCAGCCTGGTATTTTGCTGGTTAACTGGTGATGGAGTCATTTTTCTGCCTAGGTTGGTCTCTAAATGTGATCCTCCAGATCTCAGTCTTCTGAATAGCTAGAATTACAGTCATGTAGCACCATAATGCAGCTCAGACACATTTTTATTAGCAATAATGTGATATTTCCCCTGGTATTTATTATATATTGGCACTAATGTTTACTCACCCCATCTGAGTAGGTTCCTATACTTCATAGTATATTGGAAGAAGACAAAAGTTGTTACAAGCATCCATAGTTTAGTCTTGCAGATAGAGGGAACCTTTTATTTTTATTGTATATATGTATGTATGTATGTATGTATGTATGTATGCATACATGCATGCAAAAATGTCCTGGGGCTTGAACTCAGAATGTGGATACTATCCCTGAGCTTTTTTTGCTAAAGACTACCACTCTGAGCCACAGCACCATTTCCCGTTTTCTGGTGATTCATGGGAAATAACTCTCATGGACTTTCCTGCCCAAACTGGCTTTGAACCACAAACCTCAGATCTGAGGCTCCTGAGTAGCAAGGATTACAGGTGTGAGCCACTCACATAGGGTAGGAGGACGGTGTCACTGCTAACCCCACACAGGCTGATCAGGAACTGCAGGGTGATCCTTAGGTTGTTGCTCCATTTCTCATTGTTGGCTAATGCATTCCACGCATTTTCCATTTCTGGTCCAGGAACTTCATCTCCATACTAAAACAAGCAAACAGAAATGAAACTGGGCTCCCATGATACGCATGAAGGGCGCAATGATGCAAAAGCTGTCTGAGGGAGAGCACTTTTGGAGCTTGTGGCCATCTCCAAATTACAAGAAGGGGATAATGTGGTCATTTATTAGACATGTGCCATTTTTCAGGGGATAACGAGGTGACATGCACATCAATACCCATGCATGTTTTTTTTAATGTTAGGCTTATTATCTTCTATTTTTCCACTTGTGATTAAAATACATATAGCATCAAGTTTGCATTCATCAAATTATTTTATCCCCCCTGGAGGTCCTGGGGATTGAAGCAAGTCTGGGATTGAACCCAGGGACTCTGTGTATACTAGGTAAATGCTCAGCCATGGAGCTTCATTTCCCACTCTTACCATAACTGTGTGTGTGTGTGTGTGTGTGAGCATGCGTACGCATGCGTGCGCATATTACTTGGGCTTCACATTTGCTTAGCAGGCTGTCTACTATTTAAGCCAACCTCCAGCCCTCATCATAACCCTTTCAAAGTTAAGATTTAGTAATAGCAAATCTGGTGCTGGTGGCTCACACCTCTAATCCAAGCTATTCAGGAGTTTGAGATCTGAGGATCACAGTTAGAAAGCTAGCCCAGGCAGAAAAGTCCATATAACTCCTACTACCAATATTGAAACAAAATACCAGAAGTGGAGCTGTGGCTCAAGTGGTAAAGGACCAACTGTGAATGAGAAAGCTAAGACAGGCTGTGAGTTTGAGTTCTAGTACGAACACACACACACACACACACACACACACACACACACACACACACATTTACTATTTGTACACTGCTGTGCAGCCATCCGTCTATGCCTATCCGTGTGACTTTGTGATAAACACCATTGTCCCTGGGTTTGCAACATGGATTCAGTCCCAGTGTTTTTCTGCTGATGGAGCGGTGCTTGTCATGGTTACCTTGGCTGTCATGTACATGAGGTTATTCAGGACCAGTGACGTGGCTTCTGGAGAGCCCCAGCCACTGCCCTTCAGTCCATGAGAGGCTGTTACGTCTCCTTCCCGGTCCTTCACTTCATCCTCTGGGCTGTTAGGGCTTGAGCCAGGGAGGAGGAGCCTGCTGTCCACCAGTTCGATGTTGTGTAGCCAGGGTAGCAGGTAGGTGAGCATGATCTGACGCCCATTTGGATGTGTGGTGGGGAATCGCTGGCTCACCTCTAAAGAGAATGGCAGCAACAGAGAGTCATAGGTTGTTATTTGATCAAAAGAAAATAACAATCCTGGCACTGGTGGCTCATGCTGGTAATCCTAGCTACTCAGGAGGCTGAGATGGGAGGTTTGTGGTTTGAAGCCAGCCCAGTCAGAAAAGCTCATGGGATTTGTATTTCCAAATGGTCCTCAGATCTCAGCCTCCTGAGTAGCTAGGATTACACTCATGAGCCACCAGCAGGCTCAGCTATTAGTTTACTTTTATAAAAAGGCTTTCTTACGTCTCTCTCTATTGTTTCAGATACTATGTGACTAATTCTGGCTCAGATATACAGTAAGGGCCATCCATCAGAGGCAGATTTTCAATAAGATCTTTAGGAAGGTTAGAGTCAGGAGGAGGAGGAAGGAAATCAGTCCCAGCAGAGGACTATGCAGTCATATATAGAAGCAAGGATTACAAGAGGGCCTGGTCAGATGGGACTGGAGTAGAGGGTTTGTGGATGAAAAGAATAAGAAAAGAAGGACTTTAAAAATAAATTCAGAAGTTCCAATCTTATAACACTGGCTTTGGAGAAAGAACTACATTTAATTTTGGCTTAATTACTTTCTGTCTTGTCTTGAACAAATTATTTAACAACTCTAAGCATCAGTTTCTCATTTGTAAACTAGGGATGATACTAGTGTTGGTATTGGTGACAATGGTGGTGGTGGTAGTGGTGATATAGCATGTTGTTGGTAATGGTAGAAATACAGTGGTACTGATAATGGTATTAGTGATGATGGTGGTGGTAGTGGTGATAGTAGTGACAATGGTGGTAATAGTGATAATGGTGATGGTGTTAGTGCTGAGATTAATGGTGATATTGGTAATGGTGGGGATGGTGGTAGTCCTTGTGGTAAGGACCATGGTGATAATGGTGGAAATGGTGATGTGGTAATGGTGTTGGTGATGATGTTGGTAGTGGTGGTGATGGTGGTGTTGATAGTAATAATGGTGGTGGTGGATTGTAGTAACTGCATGCTAAGACTAGGTCAACACCTTGCTTAATTAGCTCATTGTCATCCTTAATCCCTCTGTGGTGGTTCTCATTATTATAGATAAGGAAATAGAATTTAGAGTTTCTGTGATCTGCTCAAGGCTAAACAGCTAGTGAAATGCAGGGTGAGGGGGGGCAGGCTCTGTGTGTAACCCTTAAACCACATGGAAGTTGAAAAGAGTAGATGAGAAATAGCATACACATAAAGGGTTTAGACAGGAGTCTGGTATGTGTCAAAAAGCTTATTAAGTGGAAGCTATTATGGTTAAAAAATATTTTAGGGCAATGGGGCAGGGAAGTATTTATAGAGAGACACTGTATCAACTTGGGTTAGCATACAGGCTGAATTGCAATGTAGAGGATGGGTTGGGTCAGGGGTACAGAGATAGGGAAATGAAGAGACTACAATCTGCCTTTCAGTAAGGGAATACACATGCTAGGGAAAGAATTTAACTAACAAAAGTTACTCATGAAGATTGTTTTAAAAATGGGCCAAGAATTCCATTGTAGGCAACATATAAGCTGCAAAACATCATCACCACCATAACAACCATCACCGAACAATTCCCTGCTATTATATAAGCCAGCATAGACATTCTAAGTTATACTGCCATATTTAATCCCTTTGAGCAATTAAAATGTAAATATACAATGTAAATATAATGTATATTTGTGTGAATCTAGCCATCTTTGTATTTGTTGTATGTGTAACCTTAGAGTAACATAATCAATTTTTAATTGACATTTAAAATACAACTAGAATTGACTTTCATTTGTAACTGGATTTAGGCCACAACGATTGTGATACACCAATTTAGCAACCTATGTTGGAATTTAGAGCAGAAGAAACAATCACATACGTCACTGTTGACAATAGCACTGTACCTGAGAAGAGAGGGAGCGTGAGCTCGGGGTACATCCTGGCCAGTTCACAGGACAGGAGGGCCAGGGACACACTGTAGAGAGGAGGCAGTGGGCCGTGAGTTCCATACAGAATACTGCCAGGCCTTTGCTCCGCAACTTTCTTCGAGTATACAAAAAGCTTTGCTTCAAGGATCTACAGAGAGGTAGGACACTGTGTGAAAAAACCATAACTGGGTAGGGTCAAAGGGCGAGGGGTAGACACATGAAGAAGAGAAGTGGTATAGATTTCTCTTCTCACTCGGCATGTATTCACTCATGATATGCAGATACAAACAAATGGATTCAGCACTCAGGATGGAAAATGTCCATGACTATAAGTCATACGTGCCTGCATGAGCTGCATGGCGATTTCATAGATTTCTCTGTTGGTGTCAGAGGCCTTGAAGAGAACAAGGTTTAACAGTGTGACTATGTCGAAGGGATAGTTCCTAAAAGAAAAAGAAAAGAGAAACACCAGCATACTTTATAAGATGGTGTGCTAGCAATGGTGATAGATTATTACTTCTCGCAACTTTAGATGACACGCTGACCCTGGCCGCTTGCTAGTAACATTTTTATGCCCTTTGCCCATTTCTCTCTCTCACTCTCCACAAGAAATGAAAAAAAAAACCAATTTTTTGTTTAAAGTAGAATACTATAATGCCACAGTAGAAGAACACAAAAATCAATCTAATGCAAATAGATTTTTAATGAAAACTAAACACAAATAAGAAGACAGGAAAGAGAATTTATGCTGCATTTCTCAGTAATTCATAGAATTGATGATTTCATCTGACCTATTTATTCATTCATTCATTCATGTAGTGCCAATACTAGAGCTTGAACTCAGAAGAACTATACAATCTTTTTTTTGCTCAAGGCTGGTGCTCTACCACTTGAGCCACACGTACCTACTTCTGGCTTTTTTGGGGGGAGGGGGAGCTGGTTCATTGGAAATAAGGTGTCTTATGGACTTTTCTGCCCAAGCTGGCTTCAAACTGTGATCCTCAGGTCTCAGCCTCCTGAATAGCTGGGACTGATCCATATACATTTATGAAAAAACAGTCATTATGAACCATGTGTGAAATATAGATGTCTAAATTAGTAGGACTGGCTTCCAGTTTGGTTAAGGGAAACAAAGGAGCAGTGTGGTTTGAGTGAATGTTCTAGAAGGAGTATCCATAACAGGTGACAAGAACCCCAACAGATATAGGCTTGGGAAGGCTTTTCTTAGAAGGAAATAAAGAAATCAAGTTTTGAAGTGCTGGCAGACTATGGTGGCTGTAGATCAAAGAGGGTTCCAGGCAAAGAGAAAAGCATTTTGAAGGATTATAAGAACAAAGCAGTAAGACAGCTTCTGTAAAAGTCACCAGTGCTTGACTCTACTTTTTTCTTTTGAATATTACTTAAATATTTACGTTTGGATACTAGTGATACATGCATGCATTTTTCTTCTAAAACATTCAAACAAGACCCAGGGCTGAAGCATGGACTCTGGTTGTGGAGAATTGACTGGAAGATAATATGGAAGTACCCTATCTCCCAGCTGTTCCCCCCCACCCCATTGGCCACCCCCTCCCAAAAGAGGACAACCACTGTGAGTGTTTTGTCTCTTTTCTAAGTATACATACATATTCGTGCATCTAAATACCCTTCCCCAAACGCACAGGAAATTAAACATGAATTTTATTTTTGCGATGCTGGGAAAGAACCCAGGGCCTCACAAATGTTCTACCATTGAGCTCCACCCCCAGGCTCCATAAATGTAATTATATTGCCTGTGTGTTGTTTGATGATTTGCTTTTATGTGATGAGGTCATTTCAGTCTTCTTAACAGCTGTGTAGACTTCTACGATGTGGCCGTGTCATGAGCTACTACTATAATAGTGGGTGCTGTGGGGTGTCATGTGATGTTCTATAGTGTTGGTAGCTGACTTTCCTGAGTTAACTCCCTGTCTTTTGCCAAAGGGGTCTGCCTATGCCAATGCTAAGACTGATTCCCAGATGTCCCTTGGCTGAAAGGGATTTTTTGTTGTCGTTTATTTTATTTATTTATTTTTTGCCAGTTGTGGGGCCTGAACTCTGGGCCTGGGCACTGTCCCTCAGCTCTTCAGCTCAAGGCTAGCACTCTACCACTTGAGCCACAGCGCCACTTCTGGCTTTTTCTGCTTATGTGGTGCTGAGGAATCGAACCCAGGGCCTCCTACATACAAGTCAAGCACTCTACCACTGAGCCACTTTCCCAGCCCTATTTTATTTTATTTTTTGTCCGTCATGGGGCTTAAACTCTAGGCTTGGGTGCTGTCCCTGTGCTCTTCAACTCAAGGCGAGCACTCTACTGCTTGAGCCACAGTGCCACTTCTGGCTTTCTAGTGCTTTATTGGAGGTAAGAGTCTCATGGAGTTTCCTGCCCGGGCTGGCTTTGAACTGTGATCCTCAGATACTTAGCCTCTTGAGTCGCTAGGATTACAGGTATGAGCTACCGGCACCCGGCTGGTTGTTTATTTTTGTTTTTGATATTCTTTACTATGCCCTTCAAGTGTACATAAAACATCTATACCTAGATGTTTATAACAGGCTTAAAAAGGGAAAGGTTTATGCTCAGTATTATTATTCTACACAGGTAGTAAGCATATTAAAAAACAACAAAAAACACCACAACTGTGATCCTGCAGAATAAAATCAAATGATAAAATAAGTAGGAGAGGTAGTATGACACAAAAATTTCAAAAAGATGTAAAAACATTAAGAAACAAGGGATTAAAAAATAGCCTTAAGATGAAACAACTAAGCTCAGCCTGACTGAGGAGTTCTGAGGAGAAACAGATTTGTATCCACTGGTAAAGAGAATCACTTCCTCCAATAATTAGTGAATATTATTGGTGTTCACAGAGTGCCTCTTGGTCAATGGCCTTAGTCCAAGAGATGGGCTTTATGTATAAGCCTTATTCTACCATCATCACTATTTTGCAAGTGAATCAGCTATTTAGTAATTTGCTCAAGAACACACAACCTGACTTAGAGGCCAACACAAACTTTGAACCCAAAGCAGTCAACTTCTAGAACTCAACTCCCCAGCCGCTGTGCCAGTACCATACTGGGATCCAGGAATCTACCTTGTTCACCCAGGGATATTAAATCTGTAAAAAATGGCGGTCTACTTATAGCAATGCATTTTCTAGGTTTGATTTAAATTAGCTAATATACCAAATCAAGGCAAAAGAAACAAAAGAATAATATAATTCACCTCTGTAAAGAAGCTCAACAAAAATTAAAAATTAAAACTTTCCCAGATAACAGTGGTTCAGGCCTATAATGCTAACTACGAGGAGGCTGAGATCTCAGGATCATGGTTTGAAGCCAGTCTGGGCAGGAAAGCCCAAGAGACTCTTATATCCAATTAATCGCATAAAAATCCAGAAGTGGATCTGTGACTCAAGTAATAGAGCCTTGAACACAAAAGCTCATAAAAGAATAAAAACTTTAATCTTCAACAGAAGTTGAGACTATCTACTAAACATATTTTCATATATTGCAGGGTAAAAATAGAAATAGTTGAATTCTTAAGTACTTAAGTGGGGGAGTGGGGGGGGTGGGCGGGAACCCTCTCTGGCAAGCAAAGCTAGTGACTGGAAATGGCCCTGTACTTTTTAATAAGGAGTGGAATGTTTATCTTGATTCATAACCTTGGGAAGCCTTTTAGGCTTGTTTGAAATGTTCTTATCTGTTACATACTGATGTCAGTGGCAGTTAAAGGGAAGCTTACAAGCACAGAAGCTCAACAGTTATTTTAATTAAAACCGCCTGAAAGGTAAGCTATTCTTTTGTGCTACATTGTAACATGGTGCTGCTTTTCATAACTTTTTTTTTTTCCATTTTGTGCTGGTACTGGGGTTTGAACTCAAGGCCTCATGCTTTTGCATGGCTTTTTTTTTTTCCGTCTCTCAAAGGCTGGTGGCTCTATCTACTATGTGAACCAAATCTACTTCACGCATTTCAGTGGCTAAGTGGAGATGAGTCTCATGGACTTTCCTGCATGGGCAGGCTTTGAAACTCTTCTCCGATCTCAGCTAGCCTCACAAGTGTGAGCAACCAGTACCTGACTGCATTTCACAATTGTGAATGAAATGTTCATGCATATTTTCTGCAAAATTCTTCAAAATGGACATTGCTGGTTTTTCCATAAGTTCTGCCCTCATTTCTCCTGGTCTTATTTCTAAACTTGCTGGAGTCAGGGTGTAATCCAATCTTTGTATGGACTGGTTAAGTTCTCCAGCAGACACAGGTACAAGGTCATACATCTTCCTTTGCTTCTACTAAAGAAACCCAAAAGAAGAACGTAGAGAAACAACTCTTTCCCAGTGCCATGTCTGATGAATGCAGGGATTGATACCAATTATGCGAGATGGCTAGTCATATCGGCTAAAACTCAAGGTAGAAAACAGAATTTAACAAGGGTATTACACAAAATTCAATCTTTTAAGTGTTTTAAATTCAATTATAAGAGATCCTTAATAAACAAATCTGCTTATAAACTGTCATATTTCTCAAAAAATAAATTCAGTATATGATCATTCCCATTTGAAGAGGAGAAAGTAATTATTTATTTTACAAGAAGGGTTTTTTTGCTTCAGGAAATGATGTGTAGACATTTCTGTATAGATTATGAGAAATTGCAGATATGAGTCAGTTTATGTATAACTTTTCAGGAACATATTTCTTAAGATAAGGCAAATACCTTGTCTTAGCCAAGACAAAAACTAACCAAAACAGTGAAAGCTGAAAACTGCTGGAATTGCTCTTGAAAATAGAGGTTGAAAATGATTAAATACAGCTGGTGCTAATGGCTTATGCTTGTAATCTTAGCTCCTCAGGAGACTGAGATCTGAAGATGGCGATTTGAGCCTGACTGGGCAGGGAAATCCATGGGATTCTTATCTCCAATAAACTACTCAGAAAAAGAGGAAAGTGGTACTGTGGCTTAAGTGGTAGAAAGTTAGTCTTGAGAAAAAGAAACCCAGGGACAACACCCAGGTCTTGGGTTGAAGCCCTACAACTGGCATGCACATGCGCGCGCGTGCGCGCGCACACACACACACACACACACACACACACACACACACACACACACACACAAATAAACATTAAATGCAAAGAATTCTTAAGCCTAGCTTGGGACATGTCTAGTTTATCCAGGAGCTTGTGGTGAGAAATGATCTTAGAGAACAATAGTGGAAGATGTGACCTTAAAACATACACATGGGCCGGGCGCCAGTGGCTCACTCCTGTAATCCTAGCTACTCAGGAGGCTGAGATCTGAGGATCGTGGTTCAAAGCCAGCCTGGGCAGGAAAATCCGTGTGACTATCTCCAATAAACCACCAGAAAAAACTGGAAGTGGTGTTGTAGCTCAAGTGGTAGAGTGCTAGCCTTGAGCTGAAGAGCTGAGGGACAGCGCTCAGGCCCAGAGTTCAAACCCCACGACCATCACCACCACCACCACCACCAACAAAACACATGGAACACAGAGGGTTCTAGGACCTAAGATTTTCTGAAAATGAAGCTGAATTGCTATATTTGTAAGGCAGTTATTTGTTACCTAGACTTGTCAAAAGAGTGCAGTGTATTATTTTATGAGATGATCATTCAATGAAATAAACTTGCAATCGTTCAAGGTCATTGGGAGGAAGGGAATGAAGAGGGGACTTTTATTATTCTTATTTGTATTAAACACAGAGGGTTCAAAACATAGATTATGACTCTTTTAAGGGTCATGTGAATAAACTTTGACTTTTAGAGTACTGAAATATTTGAAATTAAAATATTCTAAGGAGATATTTGTAACAGCATCATTTCCATATTGTCCAAGAGATAGATAACATTTTAAAACAGGTTTATATCAAGTAATCAAACTTCGTAGAAAGTCAGATCAGTTACTGTCATCTGTTGTAACATTTTTTTGTCAGTCATGGGGCTTGAATTCAGGGCCTGGGCACTGTCCCTCAGCTCTTTTTGCTCAGGGAGCCGCAGCTCCACAGCTCTGGTTTTTAAGTGGTTAGTTGGAGACAAGAGTCTCATGGGGACTTTTTTTGCCTGGCTGTTTAGATCCATAAGTTCTGCCCTCATTTCTCCTGGTCTTATTTCTAAACTTGCTGGAGTCCTGGTGTAATCCAATCTATGTATGCACTGGTTCAGATCCTCAGACCTCAGCTACCTGAGTAGCTAGGATTATGTAATAAGGGGGGGGTGAGGGATGTCCCAATAATCAGCAGGGCCCAGTAGTCAGCATGGCCCTATGGCCCAGCCACTGGAGGGGGCGGGGCATCAAGAGGCGACCTCACTGCTCCTCAGACCTGGCCCTGGGACAGAGGAGGGCACTGAGAGGCTGACGTCACCGCCCCATGGGGTGTGGCGCTGGAGGCGTGTCATGCCACCGAAAGGGGTGGGGCACGCCACTGAAAAGGGCGGGGCGTGCTACTGGAGGGGTGGGGTGTCAAGTCCTAATGGTGAGCTGCCTATTGGGATTGGACAGTGGGCAGCTTGGGGGAGGAGCACGAATGGCGGTTTGAACCCATCAGTGGGAGAGGGGCACGGCCTATCTGGGTATATGTAGGCTGTGTGCTCCCAGGCCTGGGGAGAGGTTAGGGGAAGGTTAGGGGGAACACAGTCCGGAGCGAGGAGAGGGGAGTCCTGAGGAGAGGAGAGGAAAGACTGGGAGTCCTGGGGGAGGAAGGGAGAGCAACAGAGGAGAGGGGAGGAATGGAGGGGGAGACAGCAGGAGGGGAAAGCCTGCTGGACCAGAGCAGGGCAGGTCTGTGGAGAGCAGAGAGGCCTGCAGAGGAGGAGGAAGGGCAGAAAGGGAAAAGCCTTCCCCTTTGGAGGTTTGGAGCTCTGGAGGTCTGGAGTTGGAGGTTTGCAGACTAATAAAGGTGTGTGTGTGTGGGGGGGGGGGGGGGGGGGGTTGAAGGCTGCCTATTGGAGGTTTGGTGGTCGAGGCTGCTCTTGGTTCTGCGTATCTAGCCCAGGACAGGGTAGTCGCAGGACCCTTTTCTGGTGTAAATAGTGTAAATGAACTTCTTTTGTTCACTTTTCACTGTCTGTGCCTGATGGATTGTCTCCCTCTCCGGAGGTCTGAAGTGGATTACACATATGAGCCACCAGCACCCGGCATCTATTGTAACTTTTATGGAGATTCAAATACATAACACAAATTCCACTACTAACATTATAGGAAAAGCTTTAGTCATAAAAAGTTACAACTATTGTGATACCAGAAAGGTAAACATTTTATAGAAAAGCCTGTCTCTTTTAAACAACATGCTCATTTTATGTTTATTGAAAAATAGATGCCCTCAAAGATATTGTTCATATTAATCTAGACCTATAATGGACTGGAATTTTTTATATTAATTTCCTTTGATTCTCTTGATCTAGGAATTCAAGATAACTGTTTAAAATGCAACATTTAATTAAAAGGTAAAAAATATCCACAGCCTACATAAATCTGTTAAAATAATGCTCCAGCTGTATTTTCCAAATATTCCTAATATGCAAATCTTCCTTAGGGACAACTTGTGAAATCTGAGGAATCTTCATTAACTCTTTCACCTTGGCTATGAAGTTATTTCACTTAGTAGGTCATAGTGCTGAATCAGCTTTACTACATTCATTATATAGATCAGAGGTAGAAAGCAAGGTCGGCTTGCATGAGGTCCTGTATTTAATCCTCAACACCTATAAACATCTATAAACTCTAAGGTAACTCATTACCTTTTATTTTCCTTTCTAGCTTGATACGAAGGGGACTTAAACAGTAGGCTATTTCCTGCATTGATGTAGTCTACAGATGGCTGAGTGGTTTTTCATTCACACCTGTCACAAACATTTTAAGTATTTATTTTTTATTTTTATTTTCGTATTGTGAAAATACCTTACAGAGGGGTTACAATTACATGGCCAAGGTAATGAGTACATTTCTTATCAAGCATTGTTGCCTCCTCCTTCATCTCTTCTGATCAAACAAGAAAAAATAATGTAACTGTAAACTTATGAGTAGTTTCTATGTGGGGCATTTTGTTTTCTCACAGCATGTACTCTGCTCAGACAATTGAAAAATCAGTTGGTTTGCAATCATTCATATACTCGCCATTCACCACTAGGCACAGCAATTCATACCTGCTTCCACACACAGTTGCTATGGCTTTGAAGCACCCAGATGCAAGCTGGAAGGACCCTGTGTAGCATCGGTCAATGGCCCAATTAAAAAGATTTATTTGGTCAGGATTAAGTTCCAGCAGCAAGACAACCACTTCACAACCAAGTTGATGAACCTGCACATAGGGGCAAAGGAATAATTGAGATTTAAATAAAGGTTGTTCTAGGGGAGAGGGAAAACATAAGATCAATTCTGGCTAACATATACTGAGTAAAACGTAAGGGGAGACTGAGTATTGGGATTAATTTTTATGCCATTCATTAAAAAGAGGCAATGTTATATCTGAAAATTTTTAATGTAGAAAACATATAGATTCTAAGTCTGTTATATGGGAGTCACTCATTCTCATGTTTCAACTCTGAAAAGATGGCAAAGGATTTTTTTGGCAGGTTTTTATTTGTATATTAAATGTTTCTGAAAATTTTTTTTGTGGGTGTGTGCCAATTTAATTCTTTTCATCTTTTCATTTTGAATTCACTGCCTAAGATCTGTTCTCTAGTACAAGGTTTAAAGAGGTGGTAAAAGTGGGTTTCCTTGGGTCATTCTAATCTCAGATGATATATAATCAATGTTAAATATTAAGTGTGATGTTTACTAAAGGGTGTTTTTAAAAAAATAATGATCATCAAGGAGTTGTACAAAGAGGTTACAGTTCCATATGTCAGCTTATTATTACCATGAATCTTGGTCAATATCACCCCTTCCTTTGTTCTTTACCATTAGTCCCCTTCCTATCCCTACCTTCAAATTATGTGGTTCAATTTTTACATAATGTACATTGACCATAGATGATGAATGTATATCAGAGTGTTTTTTTTTTTAAAGATACCTCTTATCAATTGAGGGACACTCTTTAATATTCTTTGTTTTGCAAGTTTCTCTCATGAATAAACAAAGAATTTTATCAGCTATATTTTCTGTATCTATTGAGATGATCACATGATATTTTCCCTTGATGATTTTATTCATATGATTAATGTACTAGTGAGCTGGCAGATACATGAATGTTAAGCTGACTTTGAAATTCTTGACTAAATCCAAGTTGATCATGAGTCATGTTTTTTGGTACCAGTATCTAACTGGGCGTGAATTCAAGGCTTTTCAATCTTGCTTAGAATTTTCAATATAAGCTATCACTCTACCCCTTGAGCCATACTGGCTAGAAATCAGATTTGTGTCAGACTTCAGTTTCCTGAATAGTTAGATTACAGGTGTGAACCACTGGTGCCTGGCTTCATCTTTAAAAAAAAAATTTAGCTGGGCACCAGTGGCTCATGCCTGTAATCCTAGCTACTCAGGAGGCTGAGATCTGAGGATCTCGGTTCAAAGCCAGCCCAGACAAGGAAAGTCCATGAGACTCTTATCTCCAATAAACCACTAGAAAACTGGAAGCGGTGCTGTGGCTCAAGTGGTAGAGCGCTCGCCTTGAGCTGAAGAGCGCAGGGACAGTGCCCAAGCCCAGAGTTCAAGCCCCACGATTGACCAAAAAAAAATTTAAAAAAATAAAAATAAAATTGTCACTGAATTTAATTTCCCATTTTATAATTTTTGTATCTATGCTTATTAATGAGATCATTTTCTTTTTTGTTGCATCCTTGTCCAGTTTGATTGTCAAGGTTAGTTGGTCCCATAAAGTGAGTTTGGGTATTGCTCCTTTTCATGTGTTTTAAGAATTGGTATTTAAGGGGCTGGGAAGGTGGCTCAGTGGTAGAGCGCTTGCCTTGCATGGCTGAGGCCCTGAGTTAGATTACTCAGCACCATATAAGCAAAAAGAAAAAAGCTGGAAGTGGCACTGTGGCTCAAGTGGTAGAGCGCTAACCTTGAGCTGAAGAGCTGAAGGACAGCACCCAGGCCCAGAGTTCAGGCCCCACGACCGGACCCCAAAAAAAAAAAAAAAAGAATTGGTATTTAATTAGTACAATTTGTTCCTTAAATGCTTGGTAGAATTCATCAGTGAAACCATCTGGTCTTAATATTCCCTTTCTTTAAGACTTTCAGTTTACTGATGCAATTTATTTATTATTTATGTGATCATGCAGATTTTCTTTTTCTTCTTCTGTTGTGTTTTCCTAGGAATTTATTTATACACATTTTCAAGTTTATCAGCCAAAGAAAGTAATGTATTTTCTTTCAGTTTTAATCTGAGATGTTCCCTTTCTATTGCCCCTCCACCATGAATTTTCTGTGGATGTATGAATTTTATTATTCTTAACAGATTTTAACGATTTGAACGTTTGGCTTTAGTATTACTTTAAAACTCATTACCCTTGTTAATTTCTGCTATTATTTGTATTTTCTTTGTTGTACTGTTTTGAGTTTGGTGTGCTATTATTCTTTTTCTAATTTCCTGTGGTAAATGCTTAGTCACTGATAATCATCAGCCTTGTTTTTAGTCTCTGTATTTAATTAAGTACATTTCATTCTAAGCAAGCTTTATTTATAGGCTACATACTTAGCATTCAGTATTTTCATTATTCTTTAGTAAGAAACATTTTCCAGTTTCCATTATTATTTATTGTCAGATTCACGGGCTATGTGGAAGGACATTTTTTAAAAATATCTTTTTATTATTTATTACTTAATGATGAATGCTACTTGGGGATAGAGAACAAAGCTTGCATGCTTTCAATCATGTGCTCTGCACTGAGACTTGTTCTAATATACCTTGATCTAATATACCTTCACCCCTTCTAGGACCCTCCCCTCCTCTCTTTTCTCTTTGTGCCCATCCTAGGGCTTGAATTCATATCCTAGGTGCTGTCCCCAAGCTTTTTTTTTACTTTACCAACTTAAGCTCTACTTCCAGCTTTTTGGTAGTCAATTGATGATAAAGAGTTTTCTGCTTAGGCTGGCTTTAAACTGTGATCCTCAGATCTCAGCCCCCTGAAGTAGCCAGGATTATAGATACCATTATTTGGTTTATTATCTTTCTTAACCACCTCCCTCCTGTTATAACAGTTTTACTGGGTTTCATTATGCTCTTCTTAAAAATATAATGGCTTTTATTCACTCCTGTCACCTTCTCCCTCTCCTCTCCCCTCCCCTTGCGATCTCTCACCCATCCCTGTATACAAGTATTACTTACTCTTAAATCTTGACAAGCCAGGATGTTGTCAAGCCACTTATAGAGGTAGCCATCTGGAGAAAGGCCCACATTGTCAAAAACAGGCCCGCAACACAACACCGCTGACATTGCCTGTAAATGAAAACAACAAAACATGGAGAGGAAACCTGAAACATCATGTATCCATATACAACTGACTTCACCAAACATAATTATCAGATTGAGAGATGGTGATGGCTCTTTTTTTTTTTTTTTTGTCAGTCATAGGGCTTGAACTCTGGGCTTGGATGCTGTCCCTCAGCTCTTCAGTTCAAGGCTAGCGCCCTACCATTTGAGCCACAGCGCCACTTCCAGTTTTCTGGTGGTTTATTTGAGATAAGAGTCTCACAGACTTTCCTGCCTAGGCTGGCTTTGAACCGCAATCCTCAGATCTCAGCCTCCTGAGTAGATAGGATTACAGGTGTGAGTTACCAGTGCCTGGCTGGTGGTGGCTCTTAAAAACAGATTTTCCTCCAATTTTTCAAAGAATTCCTTGGTTTAATTCTTAGATCAAGTTAAAAAAATCCCACCAGATTCCAATTTGTTTCTTTTTATAAAATCTAAAATCTCTTCACTTTAGCTTTGTGAATATTTGCTTTTAGGTTTATAACAAATATTTATGATAAAATTTACTTTAAAGCAAAGTAGTCATTTTACAATATTTCAAATAAAGATTCTTTCAATAGTTTCAAGTAACTGAGATAAATTCAGCTGTTTAAAACTTGCTGGTACTGGGGCTTGAACTCAGTGACTGGGCACTATCCATTAGCTTTTTTGCTCAAGGTTAACACTCTATCGCTTGAGCTACAGCTCCAGTTCTGGCTTTTAAGTAGTTAATAGAAGATAAGAGTCTCATGGGCTTTCCTGGCCTGGCTGATTACAAGCTATGGTCCTCAGACCTCAGCCTCCTGAGTAGCTAGGATAACAGGCATGAGCGACCAGTGCCTGGCTAAAATTTGCTTTTAGGACTAATAGTGAGTTCATGTATGAACTGACAAACTGTAAAGTATAGGGATAAAATCATTATGATTCTTCATCAAAAGAAAATAAAGTGTATGAATTTTAGTTCCTTTAAGGCAGGGAGGAATGAGGAAAAGAAAAGAGGATAAAAAGCAGATCTTGACTAACTTGTCCTTGGCAGATCCCTGGGCCTTCCAGGGCCCCTGTTAGTTACAGTTATGGATGACATCTTTGCCTGATTTCAGAGCAACTGGGAATACTTTCATTCTAATGCAGTACTCTTTATCAGGTTAAGAGAGTTCCCATATAATAATTTTGACAAATTTTATAGGCCCTATGGAGTCAAAAGCTAATCCCAAACAGCAACTTACAGTGCATGTGAGTAAGATGGCATGGTAGTCACTGTTCTAAAGGACATCATTAGGCTGTAAGACTATGCTGGGAGGATTTTGAACCATATTCATAGTGTGGAAATTCATTTGTGGTTGTGTGCTAGGGTAGGAGGTACTAAAACAGGAATGTGGCTTTTAGTTGATTTTGAACTTGAGGTGACATCTGTTTCTTTTTTTAGGATGGAACTTAAATGGCAAGGAAGCTAGCCACTTAAGAGTTAAATGAACAAAACCATATGGTTTACAGAGAAGAGAAGCATTGGCAACAAGTGGAAATAGAGAACACTGTTTTTTCAGTTATGAGCTCAAGTGGACTATTTACATATGCACATGTTCACTCATTTTTATTTATATGTTTGGAATTTCTGAAATCAATTTATGTCTATTTATGTGTGTTCTGAGGGGGTGGGTATTTGAGTTTCAGCACCTGCACTTACTTGTTTGCATCATGGCCTATTATTTGTTTTTACTTTATTTTGAAGGGATGATGTTTGTTTAAGGACGAAGAGCCTCAGGTTGGGAAATGAGTGAGGAAAACAAGCACCTACCTTCAATGCACAATATTGGTATCGTGTAATCTGATGATTTCTGTCACTGTAACGGTCCAGAGGAGTGAACATGATGCTGAAGGGTCCTGCCCACTGGCTGAAGAGGATGAAGAGATGGTGCCTCAGGCTTTGCTGAGGGAAGAGGAATCTTCGGTGGTGAACTAGGGAGAGCAGCACAGAATTGGAGAGTCATATCACAATTACACCCAATTCTCAGGCTTTGAACTGAAAAACAATTTCATTTACTAATTCTAATTTTTCTTACTTTTTCTTTTAGTGTTGAGAATTATACCTACCATCTGCAGGCTAAGCACATTCTCTACCATTTTGCTTCCCCCTTTCCACAGTTGTTCCATTTTATTTTATATTTTTGGGTCTTTTTTTTTTCCAGTCCTGGGGCTTGAACTCAGGGCCTGGGCTCTGTCCCTGAGCTTTTCTGTTCAAGGCTAGTGTTCTACCACTTTGAGCTACTGTACCAATTTTGGCCTTTTGGTAGTTAATTGGAGATAAGTGTCTCACAGACTTTCCTTTTCCTGGGCTGGCTTTGACCCATGATTCTTAGATCTCAGCCTTCTGAGTAGCTAGGAGTATAAGTGTGAGCCATAGATGCCTGGTCTTTTTAGGGGGATCAGTCATGGAGCCTGAACTCTGAGCCTGAGCTCTGTCCCTCAGCCATTCAGCTCAAGGCCAGTGTTCTACCACTTGAGCCACAGTACCACTTCCAGCCTTTTCTGCTTATGTGGTACTGAGGAATCGAACCCAGGGCCTCATGCATGCAAGGCAAGCACTTGACCACTGAGCCACTTACCAAGCCCCTGCCTGGTCTTTATTGAGAGAGGGTCTCACTGAACCATGAATATGTGCTTTTCCTGCCTCTGCTTCCCAAGTAACTGGGATTGTAGATATACACTGTCACTTCTGGCCCTACAGTTATTTCTTATTTGGGTAATGAAACCTGGCTTTTTAAGGTGTTTTAGAGTGATTATCCTTCCCATGTATGTGTTCTTTCTCTCCTCAAGTTGCAGCCAGTAACACCTTGACTCAGAATAGGGACCTTCCAACACTCTTTTCTAATTGATCTTTAGGAAAACTATGACTTCTCACTTGGGTACTATGTAAACAGAATGAGTTTTCTTGACTGTTGCTGCTTAGCTTGGCAGTGTCAGTTGTCCAATTCAAACAAAGGTGCCTTATTGGAAATGAAGGAATCAACACAAATCTCAATTTAGGATCATCAAAGATGAGAATGACTTGTAAGAAGGCTAATAACATGAAATAATAATGATATTAGTTGCATTACAGCTTGTTTTAATTATGCCAAAACCAATAGTTGTGTTCAGTTTTATTTTTCTGTATTTCCAGTACTGGGGCTTGAACTCAAGGACTCAAACTTGCTTAGCTGCTTACTCGGCTGGCTGGCCTCTACCAATCAAATCACTCCTTCAGCCCAGTTTTTTTTTTTTTTTTTGCTAGATATTTGGAGATGGTATCTCACAGAGTTTCCTAAATTGGCTTCCAGTCATGATCTTCTAAGTCATGTGAAAGTTCTTTCAATAATATAACTAATGAAATGTAAGGTGTTTTAATCAGTACAGAAATCTACCTAGTGTGCTAATGGGAGTGCAGTCAGTAAACAGTGCTGAAATTATGACTACACAGGCTAGCATAGAGACAATATGATATTTTTTTCTGAATTATTTTTTTTTGCTATGGAAATCACATAAGGACATATTTAGATGGGAATAAAAACAAAGTTAGAAGTGACAATTAAAGACAGGCACCGGTGGCTCACGCCTGTAATCCTAGCTACTCAGGGGGATTGAGATCGGAGGATCATGGTTCAAAGCCAGCCCAGGCAGGAAAGTGCGTGAAACTCTTATCGCCAATAAACCACCAGAAAACCAACTGGTGCTGTAGCTCAACTGGTAGAGCACTAGCCTTGAGCTGAAGAGCTGAGGGACAGCGCTCAGGCTGAGTTCAAGCCTCATGACCGACAAAAAAGAAATGACAATTACAAAATCAAATTTTATTCCTCTTGTTCTCTTTGTGTCTTGGTATGGGGTGACCGGTTCCCATGTGTATTTCTAAAAATCTCAAGATGCATAAAGCATCCTCTCCCAGACCTGCGTGCAGACCGCAAAGGACTCAAGAGGAAAGCATAATTATGAGGAACACAAATGTTTTTCGAAGCTCAAAGGTTAATTTGAAATGGCATAGCACTGCACCTGGAACACACTGAATCAAGTTGGCGACCATGGCACTAAAATGTGCCCGGATGTCTTTCAGAATTTCAACTTCCTTGTCATTTTCAGCTTCTAAGAGCATGCGAGTCAAATCCACATATTCCAAGAACAAAGCTCCAAGGGCTAAGGTGTCTCGTTCCAAGGCCCCATTTGTGCTAGAACAAAGTGAAAGAAATTCAGAGGATGCTGAGAATACCCACACGTCTTTACAGCAAAGTAGCCAGCATATGCTTCATGAAAAACAAGGATAGAATTTATACAATAAATTTGATCCTTATATGCAGTATACAAAGGATATGAAACAGAAAAGGCAAACTTAGATAAGTCGGGTAATAAGTACATTTCTTTTTGGATAATGTCACCCTTAAAAAAAATCTTAAAAAAATATATTTCAAGGAAAAGACAAAGAGAGGTTTAAATAGACAAGATGACTACTTTAGTGAGCTGAGATCAATTTAGCAGAATTTTGATCCCACCTGTCACTTATTACACCAGCATCAGCCAGAAGTTCAAATATTCGAAGTAGCTGTAGCCGTAACAGGTCTCGTCGTTCTCGACGCTTCTTGTTCTGTGTGGGAAGAGGGAACACTGCTTGAGAGCCATGGGCAAAAGAACATAAACTGTGTTTTGGGTAACTTTCAAAGAAGGGCATAATTTTTTAAACCATAAGACATGCATTTCCCCTTCTTCCTAACCATTAAAGGCATTGCTTGCTATTACTGGCTTATAAGTGATTATAAGGGAGATTATAAGTGGGTCAATAAATGTGAATAAGATGGAAATGTTTAGAAGTATAAAGCTTCATTTCCCAGCAACTCCCATTATCTGTTGAAAGGTTGAGCATCTGAAATGAGTGGAAAGAGAGGGGACTCAGAATATCCACTAAATGTGCTCACAAGATAATATTTCCTGTTCTAAAACTGCTAAATGTTTGTGACTGGATCATTATCTACTTATTTCATATCTACTATATAGGGAGCATTTTTTCACTCTTCTTATTTACTTATTGTAAAAGTCTTGGTACATTATAAATAAATTCTGAAATGGATTCACTTCATGGGAAATAATGTTGAAAAGGGTATTATATATTAAATGAGACAAATGATACTCTTGGCCATTGGCTCCAGGTTAAAAAAAGGTAACAAAAAATTAAACTTTAACGCCAACCTTGGTGAAAGAATGCAATAACACAGACATGCCCACATAAGTTGTTTTGTATTTGTACATTTAGGACTTAAAATCCATTAAAATAATAACCATATTATGCTAAACAAATGGTGAAAAGCAGTAAACATGACAGGAGTTAAAATTTTAAAATTTATTGTTAAAGACCTATTGAGGTGTCTATATATATATATATTTTAAATAGGGAACTGTCAAGTTTGATTTAATTCATACCACCACCAAAATAAGCCAAGCCTTCATTATTTAAATTCTAAATCTTACCTCTGGTCTTCTTTCTAGAGCTTCCTTCATTAAGGGATGGAGTTCTTCTACCAATTCTCTATTGAGGAAAGAGGTCACATTTTAAATTCATTGTTTTTGGCAGAAAATGTATCAGAAAATATACCCATTTACATCTAAATAGTTTTCATTCTTCACTTGTCTTCTGTCAGAAATCTCCCCTGACCACTTCCTTTCCCAATCCTATGGAAACTACAAACACACACTGACCTATACTTTCCATTATTGATCTTCATTCCAGTGCTATGAACATAGTTTTGGGTCAAAATACACTTGTTTATTTAATTCTGATTTGATGGTCTGGAGATCTCTGTGGCAATTAACAACAAAAACAACCTGTCTGAACAACACAATAGCATTTTCCAAGTAGCTACTAAATTCAAGGAACTTTACCATATGAAATTGAAAGTAAATAAAGTTGAATCTCTACACATGAAAAACTTTTGGTCCAATTAGAGGGAAAGAAGCATGTACTATGGAACTACCTTTGGGGTTCATAGTAATTAATTTCTGTCTGTTTGTCTGTCTGTCTGTCTGTCTGCCTGCCTGTCTATCTAATGTTGCTACTGGGACTTGGACCAGGCATGGATACTGTTTCTCAGCTTTTTCCGCTCAAGGCTAGCACTCTACCACTGAAGCCATAGTTCCACTTCTCGCTTTTTAGGTGATTAACTAGGAATAAGAGTCTCATAGACTTTCTTTCCTGGGCTGGCTTTGAACCTTGATCTTCAAATCTCAGCTAGATCTCAGTAGCTAGGATGATAGGCATGAGCCACTAGGATCCGGCTCAGAGTTGATTTTAAAAAATGAAATCTTGGGGGCTGGGAAGGTGGCTCAGTTGGTAGAGCACTTGCCTGTCATGCATGAGGCCCTAGGTTCAATTCCTCAGCACCACATAGCTGAAAAAAAAAAGCTGGAAGTGGTGCTGTGGCTCAAGTGGTAGAGCGCTAGCCTTGAGCTGAAGAGCTGAGGGACAGCACCCAGGCCCACAGTTCAGGCCCCATGACCGAACCCCCCCCCCCCCCAAAAAATGAAATCTTGGGATGGGATGAATGAAATGAAATCTTAGTGGCAGAGTGCTTGCCTAGCATGCATGAAGCCCCAGTTTCAATTCCTCAGTACCACATAAACAGAAAAAGCCAAAAGTAGTGCTGTGGCTCAAGTCGTAGAGTGCTAATCTTGAGTAAAAAAAGAAGCTCAGGGACAGTATTCAGGCCTTGAGTTCAAGCCCCAAGACTGCCCCCCACCAAAAAAAAGAAATAGTCTACCCAACAGCTACTACTTACCAAATATTCTATTCATGCACATTCCCATGTACTATGTCCTCTCAACAAATCTGAGATGGATTCTGTTAAATTATTTATTACAGAAATGTGGTATTTTTTTATTTGTTAAACCAGTTTTAGGGTTGAAAAAATTGAGGCCAAGAGACACCATGTTTTCCAGAATTATGTGGCTGTGGTCAAGTGAATGTTGCCTACTAAGGAAAAATATGCAAAAGAGCTTTGTATTCTTTGGAAAAGCATTTTAGGGATTTTAGGAATTGTCGTTACCTTCCTTAAAGTATGTCTATGTGATGTTTAGTTATAACAAATTAATAACACTAGAGTAAAATTCTGGCTGGATGGCACTCAAGTAATGAGAAGCCACGATTATTATACTTTAGAGGATAAAAATCTGACTCTAACAAGTGGATAATGCAATGGGAGCTTTTTTTAGTTGTGTCTAAAATATCTCATTAATCTTTATTTTTCAAATAGAGTTTCTTTCTCACAGACATTTGGGGCTGGCCCCTTTCTCTTTGCATGAAAAATGTTGTTCTCTCCATAGAGACTTTTTTAGCTGAGGTTATCAGACGCAACATTATATGATACCTTTCAGAAGGCTTTCACATTGTCTCAAATAGAATTTGATTGCAGGTACAAAATTCAGGATGGCAGAAAGCCATGATCCCCCTTTCAGAGGCTGTTGTGTAAATGGCTGATGATCACACACTATTTTTACTTCAATGTGATGGCCTCTGATCAGCCTGGCTAACTGAGGATGGATGAGGTATTATCCTAGTTTATAGTTATCTAGGACAGAGCTTGCAAGTGAAATCAAATCCGGGAGGTAAAATCAGAATGCCTAAAGGGAAATGTGAGAAAGATGTAAGGAATGTTTCTTTGTGTGCACGCACATGGACTGAGGAGGACATAAAGAGCTGGTGGTTGGCCGATCAGCTCTCCGGGCTCATGCTGACATATATACACAAGCTCAAGTTAAGAAAGCAACAACAGCAGCGGCATGGATGATTTAGAAGAACACGAGGACTACTGTACCTGAAAACAAGGGAATTTGTTCTCCCAAATCCTAGAACTAAGGACTCTGTGATTTCAATGCTTTCTAGTCTCATCAAAGGCACCAACTGCTTTAACAGAACGCCCACGGATGGGGTACCGATGGCCTGAAACAAGTTGATTAGAAGTGAAAAAGAGGTAACACAGCAACCGATGTTCCTTGTCATCATGCAATGATTCCATTATAACAGTTTCAAGGACTGAGCACATCCCAAGGGCACTGCCATCATTTTTTTTGGGGGGGGGAGGGTAGAGGAGGGAAACGGGTGGACACACAAAGTTCATACACAACAATGAAGGGATTTCACACCTTAGACACAAACTCTAAAGAAAAATAAACAGAACATACGCTTGTTTATTCTAACTGTTTAAGTCACCATCATTAACAAGGTAATTGAATCAAAGCACGGCTTAAAGGTGAGGTGGGAGAGAAATGGGGAATGTAAGACACTAATATGGACATCATCAGTCTGTGGTCTTCAGCAAGTTTCTCATCTTCTCTTTCTCTTCCGTGCCCCTCCTGCCAGGGAGGTGCAATAAATTATTCACACAAATGCTCAATGGAATTTAGAAATGTGTAGGATGAAAATCTGATCCCATAATACTCCAGATGGCAGGCACAGTGCAGTATGCACTGGGAACTCTAGACAAACAAGCTAAAAAAAAACCTTACAGAATAATTCTTCTGAAGCATGTCATGTCACCTTGTTATCGTAGCTCACTGTACCATCAGGTGTGGTCGCCATAATCTCTGGAGTAGAAGCTCTTAAGTGTCCTGGGCTCATAATACTGGGCTTTGCGACTCCAAAACAGAGAATGAGGTAATTTCTCCACAAGGTGACATAATTGTCTCCGCTGCCTGCAGTGCTGGTTTTCTTGGCATTAATTGGGCTGCTAGAAATATGGAGTCAAAAAATAAGAGGAAAACTAAGTTCTTAATTTTAAACATTTCTTACCTTTTTTTCTTTTCCCTTCTCTCCTCTCTTCTCTCCTTTTTCCTCTCTCTACTCTTTCCCCTTTTCCCTTCCCCTACTCCCTCTTTTGTGTGTGTGTATGCGTGTGTGTGTGCGTGTATGCTGGCACTGGGGCTTGAAAACTTAAGGCCTGGGAACTGTCCCTTAGCATTTTTTTTCAAGGATAGCAATCTACCACTTGAGTCACGGCTCGATTTCCTGCTTTTTGGTGTTTAATTGCAGATATGAGACTTTCCTGTCTGGGCTGGTTTTAAATTGTGATCCTCCCATCTCAGCCTCCTTAGTAACTAGGATTACAGGAATTAGTCACTGGTGCCCAGCTTAAGCATCGTTTTTTTTTAGGGGGGGGGGTGGGTTGCAGGGCTTGAACTCTGGGCCTGAGCAGTCCCTCAGCTCTTCAGCTCAAGGCTAGTGCTCTACCACTTGAGCCACAGCGCCACTTCCGGTTTTCTGGTGATTTACTGGTGATCCGAGTCTCACAGACTTTCCTGCCCAGGCTGGCTTTGAACCACGACCGCCAGATCTCAGCCTCTTGCGTAGCTAGGATTATAGTGTGAGTCACCAGAACCCAGCAAGCATCACTTCTTAATGGGAAGCATTCCAGTAAAGACAGCTGTCCAGCAAGGATGTTGTTCAAGTAATACCTACACTGAGTAGAAGCTGAATAGAAGAACTTTAAGGTTCTTTTCATCATTAAGAGTCTGAGATTCTAAACATAGACAGCCATATTTATTATGAAGGGACAAAAACTTGCTCTAGATAAAACTTTTTTTTTTGTTTTTGTTGTTGGTTGTGGGCCTGAACTCTGGGCTTGGGCACTGTCCCTCAGCTCTTTAGCTCAAGGCTAGCATTCTACCACTTGAGCTACAGAGCCACTTGCAGCTTTTTCTGCGTATGTGGTGCTGAGGAATTGAACCCAGGGTCTCATGCATGTTAGGCAAGCACTCTACCACTGAGCCACCTTCCCAGCCTTAGATAAAACTTTTTAAGATGAAGTGTTAAGAATCTTAGCTATGTGCTGGTAGTTCACATTGCTGGTAGCTCACACCTGTCATCCTAGTTGCTCAGGAGGTTGAGATCTGATGACCACGGTTTGAAGCCAGCCCATGTAGGAAAGTCTATGAGACTCGTATCTCAATTATCCAGCTAAAATCTGGAGTTCAAGCCCGAGTACTGGCACACACAAAGGAACGATTCGATAATTAAGAAATAAGAGGGTCATACTATTCTAATTTCTTATATAAAATTAAAATAGAAGCAGAGAAATATAAAGCCAACAAGACAGAGAAAAACATACAGGTGCCTTACTTTGGGTCCACCAGTGGCATCACTGACTGTAGCCTAGTGAAGGCATAAGGCCAGGCATAGCTGAGGGCCGTGGGGCAGTGCTTTGGCAAGTTCTCCTGCCGAAGGAAACTGAAGAGGCAGAGGACCCAGGGGTCTTTCACAGACTGTGCAAAGATCCAGACGTGGGAAGGGCTCTTCACATCATAATGACTGTTTACCAGGACTGCATTCCATTCCACCAGCCACTGAAGATCTACATTGTGGGTCAGCGGTAATGTTGCCTGCTGGCACAGAGGTAAGCAGTGAATCAAAGCTGAACTGAGATGACCCATCCTCACTAGAGCGCCTATCCTGACCATCAATGCCTTATGACAGCTTTGGATCCGAAATACCCCTCCTACATACAGCACTGGTAGTAGTCATCTGTGCACCCTGTGCATCGGCTGGTAAGAAGTGTCAAGTGCTCAAGATCAAGTTTTCAAAGTTCTGATCTCATATAGGACTGTGTATCAGTATATAGAAGATAGTCATTCAATATTCATTAGAACAACCCATAACATTAGCTAATTTATACTCAGCCACAGATTTACCATTTTTAAAACCTGAAGTGACTTATTTCTGAAGATAAATGTGTTTTTATCCTTTCCATTACTATGTTTATATGTGCATATTTTTGCTGTTAATTTCTGTATCTTTAGTTATACTATTATAGTTTTCCTTTGAATTAGAGAAATGGCTAAGCACAATCTCTTTTATGAATGTCATTCTACTGATATTTAAATATCTACTTATTCTTGTCTTAGGATCTAGCCAAAATAATATATTTCACAATCTCTTGAAATATATATATATATATATAGATATAGATAGATAGATAGATATTGATAGATATAGATATATAGATAAATTCTTAACATTTCCTTCTCTTTTAAGTCCAAATATCAATGTTTAGGGGACACTACATTTCAAGTAATCTTGGTGCGGTGGTAGGAAAGGAAATTGCCATCCTGTTTTTTAGGCATTTCAAGTGGTCCATTTTACCTATTGCTTCTACAAGCTCCCATGGGCACAGTACTACAGATGGGACCTTAGTGGTTATTAGAAGGAGCTAGAGCTTCAGAGTCTAAGTCACAAGATTGCATGATCTGGGAAGGCACTGAACATCACACTTTCTGCCTACTACATGTTAAGACAATGCAGGTAGAAACACCTGGCCAAAGCTAGCATGCCTCCCTTCTGTGCTGAGCAACTTCCGGAGGGCAGGATTGCTGACCTGGTAACCCAGCCTCAGGATTTTAAACTAGTAAACTGAAGAAAATCACATGCACATATATTAATAGCTGTCTGCAGGAAAGTAAGATACTCATGTAAATTGTTGACATCGACTATTTTATTTCATGTTACAGCAACCGAATTTCTTCACTATCAATGGTAAGAACTGTAGAGCCTCACTAATAATCTTAGTGCCAATCATTATTAAGACCATAAGCAAGAATAGGGCTGCCAAGGGTGGGAATGTACCTCAGTGGTAAGGTGCTAGGTCCTGGGTTTGAACCTCAGCACTGGAAACAACAAAACAAACAGAAAATAAATCCATTAAACACAGGGCTTTCTGTTTGTGTCAGGGAGAAAAGGCCATGAAGGGCTCAGAGGTGTCCTGTGGCTTTATATTCACCATTATATTTGATAAGGAGCTGCATCAGGAGCCAGCAACATGGATTCGGCTAGATGAACCAGATTGCCCTGCCCCTCTTTCCAGCTAGTCAGCGGAAATGAATCTGTTTCCTTAGTGTGCTTTTATTTTAAAAAGTCAGATAACTAAAATCAGTTTCAATTTCTCCTCTACTTGCTCAGGAAATTGAAAGCTTCCAAGAGGCTTTTTAAAAAGAATATATTGGTACCATAGATAAAGCAGTGCTAGATCCAAAGTCCAAACAGGGGCAAGTCTGAGCTCTAACCCTCCCTGCTCTCGGTAACTCACTATGTTTAGTGCTGAGGATGGAATCCAAGCTTTGTGTACATGAACCCTGAATCCTACCACTGAGTTCCCATCTAACATGTTTGTATTTCAGTAACTATTTGAGTCAGATGACAATACATATGAAAGCACCTTGCAAACTGTAAAGTAATACATGGACAGAAGATACATATTAAGAATTATAACAGGATATTGAATGTTTTTTATATTCTTTCTTTCTTTTTTTTATTGGGAAAATACCATACAGAGGGGTTACAATTACATGGGCAAGGTAATAGGATATTGAATGTTAAGTACAAAATTAATTATCTTTTAACTGTTAAATGTAATGATTAAGACCAATTAATTTTCAGAATGCTGAGCAATTGTTCTTGAAATTAAAATTAGAAAAAAATATTATCTATATGTCTAAGGCTCAAACTCTGCTGGAGACTTATCTAGTTGTCATCTATCATCTGAAAAACTAGACTTGTTTTCCTAAGTACTGTTGTATCACTAGATTAATCTGATACAAAACTCTTAAATTCCCCCATATAATATTTTCTTGGTGTTCTCTCTCTCTTGCTCTCTTTTCTATAAGTTCTAGAGTTTGTTTTGAAGAACAATTAGTCATCAGAAACAAATATGTCCTTACCGAATCTGAAACTGCGACATGAATGAAACTCTCGAGAATGGAAGAACTTAGCTGGTCCATGACATCAATCATTGGCCTTTCATCCTCCTGTACAAATGGGAGGTGATTACTATCCATGGGAAAATGAATCCTTCCCACCCACCCCACTGCCTTATCAGTACATGGAGCAGAATTGGTTGCCAATAGTGATAACAGTCTTCTCACACAGAAGTGAGGGCCAAGATGGTACAATGCAAAGAATAGAACTCCCCAGGTTTCTAAGCTTGGTTTTTAAGTTTCAGTGGAATATGATTAGAGCTCCAATTTCACATTGCTGTAAAAAGACATATCTTTGAATTTCACACTGGAGTGTACATGAGAATCTAAATCACTATCACAGTCAGAGAACCATTGCTGTTGTCATTAATCTTCAGAAATGGAGACTTGCAAAGAATGTTCTTTGTCAGGCCAGTAATATGCAACTTATTTTAAGCCAATGGCCTTTAAAAATAACTGATTGATGCTGACTGTCACTGAATTTTGGTCCCAAAGAAAACACAGTGGAGACTAAACACACATACTCATGAGGCTATAACTATGTGTTACACAGTTATGTGATTTAAAAGAACAACAAAAAAGCAAATAGAAAAGAACAGTAATAGAGAATATCTTACAGAAATTCTTTTACATGAAGTATGTGCATGTGTGTGTGTGTGTGTGTGTGTACCAGCACTGAGGCTTGAATTCAAGCCTTGAGCATTGTCCCTAGTTATATTGCTCAAAGCTAGTGCTCTACTACTTGAGCCATAATTCTACTTCCAGCTTTTTTTTCTGGAGATAAGAGTCTCAAACTTGTCTTCCTGGGATGGCAGGACAGCTAGGATTATTGACATGAGCCAGTATCCAGGTTAAAACAACAACAACAACAACAACAAAACTCCCACTTTTCACATTTTAAAACTTGCAAGCAAGTAAAAATGTGCACACATAAATGTGTATGACTTGTCATCTCTTATGAAGAAATTTTGAAAGATAAAATAATTGACTTAAAAGCCTCATTATTCATTTATGAATGAATTTTTTTTTTGTTGGTCATGGGCCTGAACTCTAGGCATGGGCGCTGTCCCTCAGCTCTTCAGCTCAAGGCTAGCGCTCTACCACTTGAGCCACAGTGCCACTTCCGGCTTTTTCTGCTTATGTGGTGCTGAGGAATCGAACTCAGGGCCTCATGCATGCAAGGCAAGCATTCTACCACTAAGCCACCTTATTAGTCCCTGGAAATTGTTTTTTAAACAAATTGTGGCTGGAGTTGGGTGCCAGTAGCTTATGCCTGTAGTCCTAGTTATTCAAGAGGCTGAGATCTGAAAATTGTGCTTCTTGGCCAGCCTGGGCAGGAAAATCCATGAGACTCTTATCTCCAATTAACAAGTAAAAAGCCAGAAGTAGACATATGGCTCAAATGCCTTGACCAACAAAGCTAAGCAAGAGTAAGAGACCCTGAGTTCAAGCTTCAGCACTGGCACAAAAATAAAGAAATAAAAACAAAAAATAAAAATCTATGTCTGGTCAAAGAAAGCAATAGATGAGACACATCTTTGACACCATGTTGATGAATAGCCAGTAAGAAAATGGGTTCACTTAGGGCATGGGGGACCTTTTCCTGGCAAAGGCAGTTTGGACATGCATAATATTATTCGCCAGCCATTCAAAATGATCAACCCAGGCAGATGGGTTACAGGCAGCAAAGAAACACATGCAGGACCTGTATTCAGGCCATCTCTGCTCAGAGACATACTTATCTGGCTCTGAATTCTGGCTGTTCACTTTGGGTAACTCATTTAACCTCTCAAAGCCTCAGCTCTGCATGTGCATATTAGGATAATAAAATGAATCCTCTGTTTATTGTAAGAGTTAAATAGATAATATGTATAAAGCACTCTGCACCATGCCAGCTATGTGCAAGTATGGCCTTTATTTGTCAGTTATTGTCATAATTAGAAATATCCTGGAGGTTCACTGAACTATAGTGTATCTCAGTGATCCTTTTACCAGAAGCCAGAGATGTGGCCCTGAAATCCATCAGACCGCTATCTAAAGAAAGGGGAACAGAAAGGACTGTGATGAGTGAGTTTGAAGAGACAATGACCATGCTAAGGATCACATCAAAAGACAACCTTTCTTTCATAGGGTTTGGCTACCTGTGCACCAGTCATGCGCCATAGCACCTACACAAGGGTGTATAGCACTTGACAGTGGGAGGCTAGCTTTATTGACCATGCTTAATAAATGGCTTTCTCAGCCAGATGCAGCTGGTGGCTCATGCCTGTAACCCTAGCTACACAGGAGGCTGAGATTTGAGGAAACCCAGCTCTGGTAGACAAATTTGAGAGACCCTTATCTCCAAATTAACCAGGAAAAAGCCAGAACTAGAGCTGTGGCTCAAGTAGTAGAGCAACCACCTTAGGTGAAAAAACTAGAGAATAGTGCCCCGGCCCTGAGTTCAAGCTCCAGTACTAGCATGAAAAAAACGAGGCCGTCTCCCATTTCAAGAGGACTTATTTCCAACAAAGTCACTTTACTACCATTATCAAGATATTAGAAAAGCTGGTGGTACTTTGATCATTTTGAATGGCATGTAATTTTTTCAAGTTTATTACAAAAAATAAAAATGCTGAACTCAATGAAGAAAGTGATCCATAACCTAAATTGTTTTGATATTTATTTATGTATGTATTTATTTGCAGGGCTGAGGACTAAACTCAGGGACTTCCACTTGCCAGGCAAACACCCTTCCACTGAGCTCAATCTCCAATCTCCTAAGCTAAGTTCTTTATTAACCAAAGAAGCATTGCCCCTTAGTGAACCAAGAATGGCCCTCTCCATTGGTCCTAGAAAATAAGACTTACCTCTACTAGGTTAAGATTGCTATTGCATAATTAAAAATTCTACAGTCCAGTAGGTACTGACATATACACAAAAATGCTTTGTTCATGATCTGTAATTCAGATTTCAAAAGCGTGGTAAGAAATGAATGAAAAATGTGTAAGAGTTGAGCACTGGTGACTCACACCTGTAATCCTAGCTATTCATGAGGCTGAAATCTGAGGATCGTGGTTTGAAGCCAGCCTGGGCAGAAAAGTCCACGAGACTCTTATCTCCAATTAACCACCAGAAAACCGCAAGTGGTAGCACTCAAGCCTTGAGCACAAAGAGGCTCAGGGACAGTGCCCAGGTCCTGAGTTCAAGGCCCACAACCAACAACAATATAAAAGAAAAAAAAGAAAAGAAAAATGTATAAGAATAATCCATACCTCTGGCTGGCCCAGGGCCATGAATAGAGCGCGGATTTCCTTGAGTATCAACACAGAGAGCTTCCGTGTGGCCACCTGGAAACTGCAGAGTAAAACCAGTGCAAATCCTTCTACAGCATGGAGGACACTGCAGTGAGGGCCCCGCTCTGACTGCATCCTGTGGCTGGAGCCATTTGCAATGAGCTGTCATGCAATGACAATAACATTCTGGATTTAGCAACAAATCAGAATGGGCACGAAAAATGTACATCTTCCAGCACATTTGACATGGTGATATTAAAACAAATTATAATGGCTCAGAAAAACAGATGTGTCTATGAATGGATTATTATTCGTGAAATACCCTTGATCCCTTTTTTCTGTTTTTCAGATCAATTGTTGCTCTGGAATAACATCCACCATCTGCTATCTAACTCAGATGAGAAATAACTCAGCAAGCACCATTAATAGTAATTAAAACAGAGCTGCTTCTATTCATATCATTGTGGGTTATACTGTATATGCAACCAAAATGGTCTCATTTGTTTCATTTGAATTCTCTGTAGGATTTAAGATGCTGTTAAGTAGAGTGGTAGTGATGTCGTATGCCTTGGATTATGGCACTCAGGAGGCTGAGACAAGAGGATCCTGGATTCAAGGCCAGTCTGAGCTACATGCTAACACTTTCAAAGAGAAAAAGAGATAGCCTGTTAAACTGAATGTTCATGCAGGGAAATGGGGGACTAGAAAAATTATTTTAAATGAAGCAAGTCAGGTTCAGAAAGACAAAAGGGCACATCTTTTCTCTTACATGTGGAAGTTAGATCTAAAAATTAACTTATGTGAAAACATATACAAGGTCAAAAGCTTGCACACACAAACCTATTGACTCAAGTTTGGCATACTGAGAGGGAGGATTCCAATGGTGTAATCCTTTTAAACAACTATTGGACAGTTGATCAAAATAAATACGAGGAAGATAAAACATGTCTTGTAGAGGGGAGTGAGGTCAAGGTGGGGGATAGACAAATGTAGAGAGAAAGGGTAGGTCAACCAAGCCATTATATACAGGGTACATATGTGAAAATGGAGCCATGTAAGTTGAGGGGATAGATGAGGTTGCATAAGATGGGGAGAATGATGGAAGGGTGACACAGACCAAGATGCATTGAACTTATAAACTAGTATGTTGAACTAAAATTCCTTTATTTATGCAACTACTTACAGATACTTTTTTTTTAAAATCCAAGTTCAGCTGACTCATACCTGAAATCCTACCTACTTGGGAGGCTGAGATCTAAGGATTGAGGTTTGAAGCCAGCTGGGGGAAGAAAAGTATGCAAGACTCTTATCTCCAATTAACCACCAAAAAGCAGAAAGTGAAGCTATGTCAAGTAGTAGACTGCTATTTTTGAGCACAAAAGCTTAAAAACAGTGTCCAACAGGCTGGGAATGTGGCTTTGTGATAGATTGCTTGCCTAGCATGCATGAAATCCTGGAACTACATAAACAGAAAAAACCAGAAGTGGTGCTGTGGCTCAAGTGGTAGAGTGCTAGCCTTGAGCAAAAGAAGCTCAGGGACAGTGCCCAGGCCCTGAGCTCAAGCCCCAGAACTGGCACAAATGAAAAAAAATACTAAAACTATTAAAAAATAAATCAAATTTTCAATTATTTTACTTTCTGTTTTGAATTACGTCCTTGTTTGAATGTTAGATCAATGGAATCTAGATTGTGCACAGTCTGAATCAATGTTTATATTAGGAGTTCTGAAGGTTCCCCATATACAAAGAAGTGAGTGAAAAGCAAAATCAGCTCCATGATACAGCAGAGTCCATTTCTGCCACCATTTCCCAAGCAGATATAACCTAACATCATCTTTTGGCATATGTAGAACGCAAGGAGGGAGGTGGGACTTGAACTGCATCTCTAAGGTCAGCACACCTAAGACTGTCACTGTTTCCTGAAGACTGCAGTGCTTTCTAAGCCTCCACAGGCCTGAGACTCTCAGTGTAGCTCTTCTGCACCCAGGCCCACCTGTCTGTTCACTGCCAATGCCAGTTTGCCACCTGGCACTGAGAACCCTGTTTCTCCTCTGACAACACTCCTCCCCAAGGGCATTCCCCAATATGCTGCCATGAATTCTTTCCCTTCATTATCAAGGCACAAAAGGATCAAAAAACCACTTGAATATCTCTTCCTTCTCTGAGGACACTAGACAAAACAACCAATGTGATGCTGACTAGGAACAGAAACCTGGTGGACAGCTTACCTTTATGTACTCACACCTATATCTGTAGCTAGTTTTGGCTCTTGGTCCAATACTAATCTGCTCTGCTCTTGTAAATATATTGGTAATCATAATTCTTTTTTTTTTTTGGATAAGGTCGTAGGGCCTGAACTCTGGGCCTGGGCGCTGTCCCTCAGCTCTTCAGCTCAAGGCTAGCGCTCTACCACTTGAACCACAGCGCCACTTCTGGCTTTTTTCTTTTTGCTTATGTGGTGCTGAGGAATCGAACCCAGGGCCTCATGCATGCAAGACAAGCGCTCTACCACTGAGCTACCTTCCCAGCCCTGGTAATCATAATTCTTAAGAAAATACCCACCATATTTTTTGTTGACTTTGTTAGTGTTAACATATCTAACTTGATGTGGTATAGCATGATAAGTTTTCTGTGCTAAGAAAGAACTAAGGGCCAGCACTAGAGAAATTTCCCAAGTGGTTAGAAAGGAGAACTCAAGAATTCCAAAGATTTCCTGGGCTGCCAGTTATCCACATGTCTAGTATATAAAAGAAGGCCGAATATAATAACATATGTCTGAAATCCCAGTTACTTGGTAAGTGGAAGCAAGAAAATTGAAACTTCTGGGCAAAGGTAGTAAGTCTGGGCAAAGGTAGTAAGACCCTATTCATTTTTTTTCAGTCATGGGGCCTAAACTCTGGGCCTGGGCACTGTCCCTCAGCTCTTCAGGTCAAGGCTAGCACTCTACTGCTTGAGCCATAGTGCCACTTCTGTTTTTTTCTGCTTATGTGATGCTGAGGAATCAAACCCAGGGCCTCATGCATTCAAGGCAAGCACTCTATCACTGAGCCACCTTCCCAGCATACCCTATTAATTTAATAAAATAAAATACATTCATTACCTGACTTATGTAACTGTAACCCCTTTGTATATCACTTTCATAGTAACAATTGAAAAAACAAAATCAATAAAAGCAGAAGAAAGTAAAAAATTTAAAAATAATAAAGTATAATAAAGTAAATAAAATAAAAATAATAAAGAAAAGTAATAAAATAAGGCTGGGGCATAACTCAAGTAGTAGAGTACTTGGCTAGCATGAGTGAGGCCCTGGGTTCAATATACAGAAATGGGTGGGGTATGAGGGGGAGGGGAAAGGATACAGATTATTGTGGAAGACTGGGAAAATCACCTCTGAGTTTCTGATCTTGCTGGGTTGTTCGCAGACCCGCCCTTGCGTCTGTATGACCAGTTTCCACTGGGTGAGCAGCTGTAGGAGCAACTTCAGCGATGAATCGAGGAGAGTGTGGTGCATGTCGTTTACTTCCCGGAGCAGGAAGTTGGTAAAGCCAAATAGGACATCTTCTCTCCAATCAGAGAAGTCAACCAGTAAACCCTGAAGAGAGTTCTGTGCAATGTGTCTCAATTCATCATCCATATGAATAGACAGCCTGGGACGTGAATGAAAAGCAGTAAGATTACTGGCTTGATGCATTTTTCTTCTAGAGACTTTCTAGCCTACCCCTATGTCAATATCTAAAGTAGTCATGGTTTACTTATTGGCACTAAGATATTAACATTGGTGCAATGCTAGAGACTTAATTCAGATTTCATTAGTTATTCAACTCGTATCTCTTTTCTGTTTCAGAATGCAATATAAGACAACACATTATATTAGGTATAGTTGAATAGTTTTTTGTCACAATAGTAACTACAGAATATATTTATTCTGCATATGTATGTGTGTGTGTGTCAGAGTCTTGATAGATACACAGAGAGAGGGCGAGTATACTGGAAACTTGAACTAAGGTTTTCATTCTTTCTCTTAGCTTTTTCATGCAAGGCTAGTACTCTGTCACTTGAGCTATAGCTATACTTCTGGCTTTCTGCTGGTTATTTGGAGATGAATCTCATGGACTTCTTTTATTAGGCTGGTTTCAAACTGTGATCCTCAGATCTCAGCCTCCTGAGTAGCTAAGATTATGAGCATGAGCCATGGCACCTGGTGTTCAGGACTATTTTTAAAGACAAGAAACCTGAAAGCCAAAGGACGTAGAGAAAAGTTCGGTAAAAATGAACAGAGTTGGGCCAAACGATTCTCCACCAGTTTGGCTTCTCAGAGGATATTCGGCAATGTCAGGAGATACTCCTGGTCATATAACTTGGGGCAGGTTACTGCAATCTCTGGTGGGTATAAGCTAATGATCTTCAGCATAAAAATTCTACAATGCACAAGACAGCTCCTGATGGCAAAAAAAAAAATCTAGTCCAAAAAACTGATAGTGCCAAAAAACTTGAAATGAATCAACTGAACGATTTCAGTGTATTCATGGTTTAATCAAAACATAATGATATTAAATCTTGACATTGGTATGGAGGATTATACTTAACAAAATGCTTCACAGATTCTTTTACTTAATAGATAAATACTTGAGAGTCTCCTAGGATTCAGGCACCATACCTACTGAGTATAGCACCTAGTATGTGGGGTTCAACATGGCTGTGTCTCCTCGGGCAGGGGTGGGAGCTTCATGAGAAGGTGTGAGACAGCGCTGAAAAGAGTTGAAAATGTCTGTGGGCCACTGAGGGAGGCAATATGGCACTGAAACAGTTAAGCATGTGTACTTTGGTACCAGCATGTCTGGATCAGTGTGTATACTGTCTGACCTCAAGACCTCTTACATCATCCAAGCTTCAGATCCCTCATGTATAACATGAGATACTAATGAGTGGATCTCATAAACTAGTAAGATTCATCAGAATACCTTTTCAGTGTTTCACATCTCAGTGAGCGTGTAGCAAGCACTCAGAAACTAGCTATTGGTATTAGAAGATGCTGAAATTTAGAGAGGAAGCTACATGGTTCGAGTCACACTGGAGAAAGAAAAAGAAACCAGAATCAAGCAAGCAGGAGTGGGAGTGGGGTAGGTGCTGTGGAGATGAAACAAGACCACCAGGAGGTTGTTAGCAAGACAGTCAACATGTGGTAAGGGCCTGACCCCGAACGGAGGAGCAGTAAGGATGGGTGACCCGGGGATCAAGGATGTTTAGAAGACAGAATTCCTAGGATTCAGTATCCTAGAAGAAAACATGGTCCATGCAGCCTCCACAAAAAGGGCAGATACTATCCCCAACAAAGAGAAGAAAACTCTGGCCTGGGCTGGTTAAAGAAATGTCTCCAAGTCACATCCCTTCCTTGTATGATGGGAACAATCAGTGTTCAAACCCAAGACTTCTAAAACTCAATCCATTTTTTTTCCTCCACAAGGCAAGTCTAGTTTCCTCTGTTATAAGCTACTGAGTAGACAGCATTTAAAATCCTGAAGAGACAGGCAAGCTTTTTTCTTATTCTCTAATGCTTTAAGAAAATGAACTGGTTCACAGTTGACCACAGAAACTAGCTGAGAAGTTCCGTAGTCCACAGACTTACGCTGAGTCACAGAATATATTTATTGCCTCAAAAATACATATAAGTGTTGGTGGCTCACACCTATAATCCTAGCTACTCATCAGGCTGAGATCTGAGGATTGTGGTTCAAATCTAGCTTGGGCAGGAAAGCACAAGATACTATTATTTTCAATTAATCACATAGAAAACCAGAGTGGAATTGTGTGCATGTAGTAGATTGCTCTCAGGCCATAGTTCAAGTCCCAGAACCAGCACAAAAGAAAAAATAATGAAGATTAGTATATTCCCAAGCCTACCTAACACAACTATGTGACATACATCATGGTATGACATGGTATACATTATTCCGGTATTATTAGGTATGATGGATACCTAAAAATAATAACTATGTGTGCTATGTATCATGGAAAGTGACATATATATTATTTAATTCTTACAACCTTGTGAGATGGTCTTATTAATGCAGTTAAAGTTTTGAAAAGTAAGCTGGGCACTAATGGCTCAAGCCTGCAATCTTAGTTACTCAGGAGGCTGAGAACTGAGGATTGTGGTTTGAACCCACCAGGGCAAGAAAGTCCATGAGATTTTTTTTTTGTTTTCCCCTTACCATCCCTGTCCTCATGAGATTTTTTGTTTTGTTTTGTTTTTTGGTCAGTCTTGGGGCTTGAACTCTGGGCCTGAGCGCTGTCCCTGGGCTCGTCAGCTCAAGGCGAGAGCTCTACTGCTTGAGCCACAGCACCACTTCTGGTTTTCTAGTTGTTTATTGGAGATAAGAGTCTCACGAACTCTCCTGCCCAGGCTGGCTTTGAACCGTGATCCTCAGATCTCAGCCTCCTGAGTAGCTAGGATTAAAGGCGTGAGCCACCGGCGCCAGGCTGAGATTTATTTTTAATCTTCATGTAAACACCAAAAAGCTGGAAATAGAGCTGTAGCTAAATGGCAGAGTGCCAGCCTTGAGCAAATAAAAACTAAAAGTGCCAGGCCCTGAGTTCAAGCCCCAGGACCAGCACAAAAAGAAAAAAAAAAACTGAGAAGGGCAAATATTAAACATCAAACCTTTAATGCACATAGTGTATAAGGGTTCAGAAAGTGACAGGGGACATGGACTTTGGGTAAAAAGGTCATTAGTGGTTAAAGGAAGGATACCTCTGGGAGGGGAGTAAGGAAAAAAAAAGATGGTGACTTCAGCTGAGGAGCAAGTTTCCCCCTTATATGTGGAGAATCCTTGGGGGTCCCAGAAAGCTGAGCAGGACAGGATTTAGTAAGGGCAGGAGGGCAGCACCACCATGTTAGGAAGGCCTACACCACCACCCATGGAGCCCACAGCCCTTATGAACTGGCTGAACAAAATACTGACCCCGGCCCCCCGCCCCTTCCCAACCCCGGCCAAATCAGAAATTTAGTAACTGGGAGATGGAGGCTTACCAGCTTCATTCCATACATTGCTGGCATATTCAATATAGCAGCATAAGCCTGAGGTTTGAATGTCTGACATCCAGTTATAATTGGAAACACTGTGACAAGTCCCGGGGGAGGGGCGGCAGTTATGTTGGACACATTCTTACAAGTCCTTCTATAGAACTAAGCAGGGACACTGAGTAAGCATGAAATTTGCCAATTATGAAGAGAACCAAGTTTTTATGTAAAAATCTATCATGAATATGAGTATGTGAATATCTGAAATCAGAATCACAGGTTCTCTCCTCTCTCTCTCTCTCTCTCTCTCTCTCTCTATCGCTTGCTCTCTGTATCACTTGCTTTCTGGCAAAACCATCTAGATGATTCCAAGTCAACTGCATGGAAACGTGCCTGACTTTGGGGGTACAAAGTGAAGACTCCTTGTGTGGCTCTTGACGTCTAGGTTCATTGGGATTGGCTAACTTCACGTTTGTTCTTTGACCCTTTTGAGGGATCTAAAGAGGTACACATTCCCAGTGTGCAAGTCACATGCTCCACTTCCGGCCCCCTGAGGAGTACAGCCTCTGGCTTCTTTTGAAGTTTATGAGAAATGTCTCTTTACAGCTTCTGATGTAGCTCAGTCATTTTCTTGAACTCTCACGAATATTTATTCTTTTCCCTCATTAAAAAAAACAACAACAAAGCAAACAGTACCCAGGGCTTTTGGGTTTTGTAAGAATGTACATAATAATAAACAGGACATGCTATAAATAGCATTCACATTCCAAGCCTGCCTCTCAGAATTCCCTCCCCACAAGCTGCCAGGCTCTAGTCTTCAGGTCTTCAGGGTCAGGCTAACCAGGTGATTTTTTACAGAGGTAAGAACCTTCTATGCAACATTATGACAAAATATCATTAGAGCTTCTCCCAGAATGCTGGATGTCATTAAAAACAAAACAAAACCCAAACCTGGCATTTCAAAGGGACTCCTGTACACGATCACTAGTGAGACCATCATTGAATGAATCACCTGCCAATTCCACTAAACTGAGAACTGTCTTTTATCCCCACTCTAACCCAGGAACAAAGACATCTCAAACGTCCTAAAAGATAGACAGTGACATTCTAATTTCTCTAAAATCTTACCAAAAAAGAATCCAGCTAGGCTGAGAGGTTATGTATAGATTTCACAGATAGTTAAAAAAAAAAAAAAAAAAAAGGCAAGCAGGGATACAAATTCTGGCTTTCTAGATGCTTCTATCTTCTTCCTGTTCTCCCATACCACCTCCTCCATCTCTCAGGAAGTTGCCTCTTGTCATCAATGGTCCATAGAGTGGAGAAGAGGGGTCTTTGTTACTAATTCCTCAAGGTCACACTCAACCTTAGCCATAGGAACATGTTTCTAAGTCTTCCTGTTGGAGTGTTATGTACAGAAAATGAGAAAGCAGCTCTTTTATGTTTCTGGATCATTCTGGAATTTGTCACCATTTTTCTTCATTCTCAGTCTGGAAGACTTGGTATGTGTGTAGATGACTCTTATAGTATCTAATTCTCTTTATACCTCAGTGCCTCTTTCTACCTGAATCACTGTGTTTATTATTATTATTGTTTTGAAACGCATCCTTTGTTTTTATGGGGTCTCCTCACCCAGAATTAGAAATCTTTCTTCAATATGGTTTTTTTTTTTCCTTTTTCCCTCTATCTCCCTGCATTTAACTAACACATATCTCTGAATTCACTTGCTGGTCATTTAGATAAAGAGCCTAAGCTGTAACTGATAAAACCTTACATCCTTCTTAAAGTGTGTTCAAATCATGCACTGAAGGTTGTTGATGTTAGCAAAGAACAGGTTACAGTGATTGATAGCAGATGATAGATGTCAGCTAGACAAGTAGAAGGATTGGTCAGAGAGTACCAAGGCTTACAATGGTGGTTTGAAGGCAGTGTACCTTCTATAACCTTCACGGCCAGCATCAGTCTTGTGCTAGTGGTGTGGAGGAGAAAGAAGAGGACAACAGGCTGCAAGAATGATTACTTGAGATCTAGGGGGGATCAACCAAATCACCCAAATTTGCCTACAATGCAAGAGAGGACCATGTCATAGTAACAAAGCCATGAGATGACCCAGGATACCCGGAAGTCTCCGCATGTACACACACACACACACACACACACACACACCTACTTCTCTAGGCTTATTTTTATTTCATTCTAACACTGAGGTTCTAAACTCCTTTTTCTTTCTTTTATTGCCCCCAACCTAATGATGACTTTTGTTCTTTTTCATTCCTTCTACTCCATGAGTCTAATGACTTTTGCATTCTACATTATCCTTGGGTAATGTATATTTGAGTTTTAAGTTAAATATGCAACTATCAACTACATCTTTTGATCAATAGCAGCTAGTTTGCTAACGTATGATGAAATAATTTCATTTCACACAAATTTTAGGATCCAGTTGGACCATGCTTTCCCACAGAGAATGGTCAGGATGATGAAATGAGCTTTGGCAGCTGTCTGAAGTACTAAAATGAATTTAGAATCCTCATGACCAGCTTCTTTTGGCTCCCTGGGGATATTCTTTGACTTCAGACTGGGAGTAAAATTCTAGACAGAACTAGACAGACCTTTCTACATTCTACCCTCCTGTCAAAGGATATTTTAAACTCCAGAGGTATTTGCTGACTTCCTGGGTCTAAAGTAATGGCTTCCCACTGAACTTCAACATAATAATAATAATAATATCATATTACACTGTTCCTTCCTATCCATACATAGAATTTATTAATAATTTCTTATTCAGTACATATCTATCAATCATAAATAGTTATTCTATTTTATGTTAACATTATTTTTTAGGAATCATGATAAAAGACTACAATCAGTTTTGAGCAAGTGAAAACCAACATCATTCTCACCTACCTGGCCAGCAAGTCAATAAGTTCAAGTTTTGACATCCCGTCCGGAAGCAGCCGAGGAATAGCAGCAACACAGGTCCTGAAAAGATCTATTTTGGGCTTTCTCTCACCCCTAGAGATGAAAGAGAATACTTCATATGGTTGTGGTACATTTTACCTCAGGTTCCCTGCCCAGCTAGATTCTATGAGGCCTGGTCTCCATAGGCTGCATTTAAGTCATGGGACTCATAGAAATGCCTACACATATTTACACCAAGACATATGCGAAGTCATTCCTATGTTTGTTATTTGAAACTGGGATTTAAAAATACACAAGAAATGGTGCTTCGCTGATTTATCCTTTTCCTCCATAGCCCCGGGTCCTGTTTAAATAAATAAAGTGCTTCAGAAACAAGTCTTTTATAATGGCAAGTAAAACCCTAGAATGAAGGGAACAGTTGTGTACCCATTTCTGATTTAAAATGACACTGATCTCTATGGAGAATCCTATTTTTTTAGTTACCTTCCTGAAAACATTGATGTTTGAGATTTAATGCCTTCATGTCTAAGGACTATAGGTTGAAAACAATTCCCTGTTGAACCTGTACAGTCTCATGTGTGTTTGTATGTGTTGTGTGTGTGAATGTGTGTATATACTAAAGCATGAACACAGGGACTTGAATTCTTGCTCCACTTTTCCACTCAAGGCTCTAGTTCTACCACTTGTGCCACACCTCTACTTCTGGCTTTTTGCTGGTGAAGTGGAGACAATCTCTCCGATTTGTCTGCCTGTGCTGGCTTTGAGTTGTGATCTTCAGATCTCAGCCTTCTGAGCTAGAATTACAGGAGTGAGCCACCAGCACCTGGTTCAAACTTTTTTCTTGTGATTATTTCCTAAACAAAAGAACATAACAACTAAATGGTATATACATTTTATTATATGGTATATATATCATATTAGATATTATAAGTAATCTTCAGATGACTGGAAGCATATGGGATGCACTTAGTTTTTACTCAAACCAAATTATATGTCATATTACATAAAAGAATCAAGCATTCTGGGATTCTGGTCTCTGTGGGTAGATCCTAGAAACCATCCTCCACAAATATTAGAGGACTGCTGTGTTTAGCAGTAAATCAGTTCTTACTTGTTTTATTAGGTAACCTAAAAAAATTTTTTTGGCTACTTATTGTATCATTGTTTTAGGGAAGTTAAATTATCCATTAAGTTTTTCACATAACCTTAGTGACAACATATAACAACATATCTAAATTCTAACTACTCGGTCTTCTGAAGATAAATATAAAATTGGAACCAAATTAATGCAGTTGTAGGACACAGACACAATAATAAATGCAAAACAGTACAAAAGAAATCCCTTCTGGGGACAGTAACACTGGCCAGAAAAAAGGCAACAAACAGAATCTACACTCTCCATATCTAATGATCAGAATCTTTCTCTTTCACTATGGTTGTTTAGAAGGAATATGAAATTGATCAAATAAAAAAGGGGACACATACAATGACTGATAAATATTCTGTGTGTGTGTGTGTGTGTATATGAGTACTGAGGCTTGAATTCAAGTCCTCATGTTCCCTCTTGGCTTTTTTGATCAAGACTAGAGCTCTACCATTTGAGCAACATCTCCATTTTTGGCTTTTTACTAGTTAATTGGACATAAGAATCTCTCTTGCTTAAGATAGCTTTGAACCACGATCCTAAGATCTCAGCTTCATGAATAGCAAGGATTACAGGTATGAACCCCTAGCACCCGGCTAAAATATTCTGCTTTTGTGAAAAGCTGTAAGATCATTTTCTCTCCTTTTCCATACTGTTTAGCACAGCTAGAGGAGAATTCCTGAACAGAAGCAGTTGTCTAGTGGCTCCCAATCAACTGTAAGATAGAGATGTCTCAAATGCCTAGTGATGGCTTCTAACTGTTCATCTTAACAGGGAGTTCAAGCAGTTCTCTAGCTTACTCATCAGATGTTCCAAACAGATGGGATTAAAAAAAAAAAAAAAACCTGTTGGAAAACAGATGACACTGCTTAGCCTTAAGTGTAAGACAAACTCTGCCAAACTTCTAAACTGATAAAGCAGGCCTAGATAAGAGGCTAATTAGCATATGACTTCCTTTATCTATTGCTGTCTTTGCTCCCTAAGCTTCTGGGGGAAGCATGTGAATCCCTCAAAATAATATAACTGAGAAACTTCATGAACAGAAATTACAATTATTTTCATCTTCCACTGTTTTCTTTTTTACTAGCCACAAAATAAATAAGAAATGGAGACTGAACAGCATAGAATGTTCAAGTTCACACCATAATACCATAAACAGGGCCTGGGAAAATGCCCGACCAGCTTCAAATACCAACTTAGATGACTGTGTGGCCTCCACCCCCTTCTAAATGTTTATATGATTCCCTAACACTTTTTGCTTTTTGTGTTTCTATTACAGAAATGAAGCAGAGTTATTTTCCATTCAGGGATCTGCCTTAGAGATCTGCCTTAGAGTCTAACAGGAAAAAGTATTTCTAGCCTTATTAGGACAGTCTCAAGATGGTTGAATGGGAAAAAAACAATCTTAGAAGAAAATGGAAGCATTGGTTGAAACATTAATAAAATATTTACTTTATATATTTATACTTAAACCTGTGGTTTTTATTATTCTGAATTTATCACGTTAGTCCTGAACCTATCTTACAGTGTCTACTGATTTGAAGTACAGGTTTCCTTTAAAGCTCTTTAAATTCCTCACTCTTTTTAGAGGAAATGGTTATGTGGTAGAATTTTGAAAAGCATCTCTTGTAAAAAAATCTAAATTATAAACATAGATATGTATATGTAAACCTATACAGAGTCATATGCACAAACAATTTGACTAACGTATGGTATATAACATAGGGGAAGATTGCAATTGTGTAACTCCTTTGAACAACTAACTTATAGTTTAATAAAATGTACACCAGGAAGCTAAAACACAGGTGAACGGAAGGAGAGAAGACAAAAGGAACAAGAAAGGGTGGTCAAGCATGGTCATAATATTCAAAGTACATAAGTGAAAATGAACCAGGTAACTTGAGGGTCTGGATGGGTTGGGAGGAAATAGGGGAGAATGATGAAGGGATAATGTTAATCATGATGCACTGTCTTATAAATTGACATGTTCAATCAATCCCTCAATCCCTCTTCCCCTTTCCGTGCCATGGCTTGAGCTCAGGACTTGGTGCTATCCCTTGGCTTTTTTCATTGTGCTATCCCTTGGCTTTTTCATTGTTGGTACTCTATTACTTCCGTCACAGCTCCCTCTCTACTTCTGGTGTTTTTCTGGTTCACTGGAGATATTAGTCTCATAGTCTCATAGGCTGGATTGGAATCTCAAACCTTGATCTCAGCTTCCTGAGTACCATGGATTACAGGTGTGAGCCACAAGTACCCAGCTTGAACCCTCTTTGTACAACTACCAACAGATAAATTTTTAAAAGTTTTTTTTTTTAAAAACATATCTTATATCTTCTGCATTATAAAGAGAAATTACTCTTACTACTATTTTCAAGCAGGATAAAGCGATGTGGTTAAAGCTTTACTGATAATCTGACAATTTGTGAAAACTATGACATTTACAATGGAATTAATTTGGGACGTCTCAATTGTGCTATTACTTTGGTTGAAAAGTATAATGTAACATTATTTTCATATCATTGAGACCAAGTGATTGGAAAGCCGTAAGATAATATACATTGTGGAATCTCATTTTTGTCATTCTCCTCCACCCCTCCAAATACAGATGGCTCCTGGTTTAGGATTTCTGACTTTCCCATGATGGAACAGTGATTCACTCAACAGCCATGACTTGGAATTTTCAATTTGTGTCTTTTCTAGGGCTAGATCTCCTGTGATGCTATCTGGGGGGATAGCTTCTAGTCTGTTCTGTAGTTACGGGGAACAACAATTACCTCCTGTGTTTCTGAACTACTTGTCAAGTATATTCAGGGCTGGAGATGTGGCCCAAGTGGCAAAAAACCTGCCTATCAAGCATGAGGCCCTGAGATCAAACCCTAGTACTGCCCAAAAAATGCCGAAGTTAGGTATTTTTAACTTATGATACTTTCAGTTTACTACAGATTTACTGGGATGGGGCCCTGCCATCATTTGAGGATGAGCTGTGTGTACATGCATATGGATAGGGGAGAGGTCAGAAGAAATCACAGAAACAAAGGAATGGTCACTGATTTTAAGTAGGGCTATGAAAGAAAGCCTTCATTTTAACTTTTTACTTATTTATTTACTTTTTAATTTAGCTATTTGTTCATTGGTTGATTGGTTGACTGATTAATTTATATAGTGCCAGTTCTGGGGCATCAAGTCCAGGCCTTGAGCCCTCTCAAAGCCTTTTCACTCAAGGCTGGTGTACTACCACTTGAGCCACCTCTCCAATTTGGACTTTTTGCTCATTAATTGGAGATGAGAGTCTCTTAGGTTTGTCTTTCTAGGCTGGCTTCAAATTGCAATTCTTAAATCTCAGCACCTGAGTGGCTGGGATTATAAACATGAGCCACAGATACTGGGCTCACTTTAAGTTTAGTTACTAATAAAGATATATTTTTAAAATAATTCTTCATTTTTAGTCATGAGCATGTTACCACCATAATTAAAAAAAAACAACAACAATGTACATTTACAAAGGGGTAGCAATTTCAGATTAATTTTGGTATTTGAGGCTGGATATACTGACTGACAAAGGAAATCTTCCTAATTATATTTTTAGAAATTTATGCCAAAGATGTTAAATATAATTCACTTTGTGGTCCAACGACAAAACTGAAAGTTTCTTAAGATACAGAATTATAGCCTAACCTTAATTCCTGTCAAAATTGTTCAAAAATAGCAAAAATAAGTTAAGCCCTAATTGAAAACCATGTTCTTTAGATTTTGGATGAGAACATTTGAGTTCAACTTTTAAAACAACATAGCTTTATAAATAGCATAGTTGCAAAGAAACTACTAATCAGGGTCTGTCTGCCCAGTCCAATGAACTTGAGATTTATAAAGATGGCATGTCTGTAAGGTGGGCATGTCGCCGAATATGTGGGTTGTGATATAACTTGGAGGTAAAAAGGTCACTTCTCAACAGTGTGGACCAGTAAAGGAGTTGTGGGTCCCATTTATTATGTGACTGGACAAATGGTGCTCAAGAGATCTAACCAAAATATTGTCAACATCTTTGGTTCTTTTTTCTATCCTTAAAATGCCTTAGGATTCTGACTCTAAAAAGATGAGATCAAACCAGAATAAATGGAAAGAACACATGAGAGGAATAGGTACTCCGTCTGTGGTTCATCCATACCTCGAGGCTCTAGACTGGACTGTACTCACGTGATCATATCTTCAGGTTCTTTGTTTAACATCTGGACGTTAGTAAGCATCATACATCGCCCCACTTCTTTATCGAGGTGCCTTAAAATGTTGTCCACAGCTTTTCGTACTTGAGAGTAATATAAGGACATGCCTGAAAAATGTACATTTCAGTTACATGCTTGAATAAATCTATTGAAGAATAATGTCCTGGCATATTTCTAACAGTTTTTACTGAAGCGCTCCATGCGTTAACTGATTTCCTTGAGCAGAAGAGGAGCTGAATCTGAGTCAATATCTGCTAATGTGGCACTTGGCAAAGTGCCCTGCACTTAGCAGGTGTTCACCAAACAATTACTTAAATCAATTAGAAGTCTAATACTTCCTGCTGGGTACCTGTGTGACTCATGCTGTAATTTTAGCTACTCAAGAGGCTGAAATCTGAGGATTCTGGTTCAAAGCCAGCCCAGGCAGAAAAGTCCGTGAGAATCTGTTCTCCAATTAACCAACAAAAAGCCAGAAGTGGAGCTGTGGCTCCAGTGGTAGAGTGTAAACCTTGAGTGAAAAAGCAAAGGGACAGTAGCCCACAAGTTGAAGCACACACAAAAATAAATAAAGAAATAAAGAAAAAGAATGCCAATACTTTAGTGGAACTGTTTAATCATTAAAGTAAACAAGGAAATGCAAATCTTTTGAAAATTTTCTGGCTAGAAGAAAATCCACTATTACTAGAGATTATGTGGGTAGATGATAATTCTCATTTAGAGATAAAGGTTTCATCATTTCAGATTATTCTCTGACATATATATGTAGTTCTTTTTCTTTTTATAAAACAAAATGACCTCAAGATGCATCATACTTATAAACTGATTTGTTAAATGGTAACTCCTTTGTGCAGCTTCTTAAAAGTTTAAAAAACAAAAATAATTTTGCCATACATTTAAAAACAAAAAGTGTTTTTTAAGTTACATTATTTTGACTACTTTCATTGAGTATACTGTCAATATTCTACAGGAGAAAACAAAAAAATATAGGACACAAATATATACATATATATAAAAACTTGTACTTAATGAAATAATTATTAATAATTACTCCTCATATAAATTGTTCTAACAAAGGAGGAGGCTACAATGCTAGATAAGAAATGTACTCATTATCTTGCCCATGTAATTGTAACCCCTCTGTACAGTATTTTCACAATAAAAAAAATTAAAAAAAATAAATTGTTCTAACTCATTTAAGTTATTAACATTTTAAAGCAAAAAGTTTCTGGATATATTTCCCTCATATCTTTGTACTAGGGTTTGAACTTAGAAGCCATACTAGTTTAGCAGGTACTTTATCACTTGAGCCACACCTCAGCTCTTTTTGCTTTAGGTTTTTTGTTTTTTTGCTAGTCCTCAGGCTTGAACTCAAGGCCTGGGTGCCGTTCCTGAGCTTCATTGTACTCAAGGCTAGTGCTCTACCACTTGAGCCATAGCGCACTTCTGGCTCTGAGTACTTTATTGGGAGATAGGAGTCTCATGGACTTTTTTGCTCAGGCTGGCTTTGAACTGCTATTCTCAGACCTCTCCTGAGTAGCTAGCATTACAGGCAGGAGCCACCAGCACCTGGCTTGGTTATTTTTTGAATAGAATTTAGTTAAGGGTAGCCTGGACTTCAATCTTTAATTTAGCCTTCCAACTAGCGAGAATGGCAGGCACTATCTCCATACCCAGCTTTTATTAGTCAACATGGGGTCTCATAAACTTTTTGTACGAGGTGGCTTTGAACTGCAACATTTCTGATCTCTACCCTTTCATAGATATGATGGCAGATATAAACCATTGTGGCTGTTGAGCTTCCATAATTATCTTAACAGTTTGGAATAGGTTCCTACATTTGCATACAGAAATAAGTGTAAAAAGAATCACCTCTGCAGATTTAAATTAAAAAGAAAATCTACCATATAACCTGATGTGGATTTGTCATGTTTAAAATAAAATTTTTTTCCCTATGAGATTTGTCATGTTTCAAATACAAATTAGAGAAGTGTTAATGAAAATAAAGATAAATGAAAAATAAAGAAAAATAAGTATAAACATATATGAATGAATGATACACAAGATGATTTACCAAAGTACATAGATGTCTAGGACATGTACTATAAAATGTAGACAATCAATAATAGAGGTTTACAAATGTCCAGATGAAAGCCTTAATATTTAAATGGCAAAATACTTACCAGGAAGCTCTAAGAAGTTTAAAAGGGCAGGAGAACAAAACACATCATGAACCAATCAACACAATTAACACTGGAATGTTTCATCAGATACTTGTATAAAGATTTCTTTTTAAAGTGCACTTTGTTAAAGTTAAACATCTAGAGTTGATTTTGAATGCCTTATGAACAGCTCTAACACATGTTTAAAACCCACCTATCATTTTGGCTTCCTCTTCAGTAAGAGTTTTACTCAAGTATGTTTTCTTTACTCTCAATGTATTTCCAGAAGGAAGTACAGCCCCAGTAACTGGCATGGGAGGTTCTCCGTCCTTCTGCTGCAAGCTATCGGCTATTACCAAGAATGCTCGTAAACCGATGTTCATTCTCTGTAAGAGACAATATGTCTGTGATCAAAGGGAAGACCCAATTACAGTACGGAAACTGTGCCGCCAATCTTTTCAGGAAGTTAAGCCTGGTTTGTCATCTAGTATGGGAAAATACTAAAAAATTAAAAGGGACAACGGTGGAAGCCAGCTATGAAAATAAAACTTTCTGTCGCTTTGTTGCCATATCAATAGAAAACAATGGGCAAATCTTTCATTAAACATGGAGAGCATGTTTGAGATGGTCCCAGACCACATTCTGTTCGGGTGAGGGGCGGGGAGTCTCAGAAGAACAGGTGGTCATTCTGGGAGCAGATGCAATCAGGTAAACTGAGGGAACACAATGGGATCTTTATGTCTTCAAGAAAGAGAGAAACACCATGTGTTAATTAACAAAGACCTAGTGAAACCAGTCAGAGTTCCAAACATGAACTATGAAATAAACCTTTTTCTGAATTGCAGATCTTAACTTTTGATTCACAAAAGCTAGTGCACATATTTTAAAAGTTGGATACTGCCATGGGACCATGGCTCACACCTGTAATTTTAGCTACTCAGGAGGTTGAGATCTGAGAATCTCTGTTGAAAGCTAGCCCAGGCAGAAAAAGACTTTAAGACTCTTATCTCCAATTAACCCTACCACCACCAACAAAGTGGGAAGTACAGGTGTGACAGTGTTCATCCAAAAAGCTCAGGGACAGTGGCCAGGCCCTGAGTTCAAGCCTCAGAACCTGTGCACACACACAAAATAGATGCTACAAAACTTATTACTGATAAAAATATATGGGCACATGAGAAGAAATGCTCATAAGCAAAGGTAAGGCATGATATTGGCTCTAAGCAGACATCTGCTTTCTAAAGTGGCTTCTCCCTACAAGAGTACCAATTCCAGGTGCCTATGTCTTACCCAGCCCTCCCATTGTGGCTTCTTATCATACTTCCCTAGTGACCAATAATGTTGGACAGCTTCTCATGGGCTTATTGGCCTTTGTCTCCTTTATTGATGAAGAAGATTGTTTTTGTCTATTAACTATTATTATTATTATTATTATTTTGTGCTGGTACTAGGGCTTGCACTCAAGATCTGTCTGCATAAACTGAGATTTTCAGATATCAGCCTCCTGAGTAGTTAGGATTTTACAGGTGTGAGGCAGTGGTATCTGGCTTCTAGTTTTAATTGGGGTGCTTATTTTCTTCCTATTGACTTGAAGGAGTTTTGTTTCTTAAATATATGTATTCTAGATAGAAGTACTTGTACAGTTAAGGGTTTGGAAATGAACACTTTATTAATAGTGTTAAAGTACAAACTTAAAAATATTTTCAATTCATCTAATTTTTCTTTTATTAACCTAACATCCTAGAATTAGATCTTTGACTACTTGGACGTCAGCTATCTTGGGATATTCACAGTACAGGGTTTTACTTTTTAAGTTTAGGATCTATTTTGAGTTCATTTTGTATATATGTCCAATTATGGATTAGAGTTACTTAATTTGCAGGTTGATATCCAATTGCTCAGTGACATTTATTAGAAAGACTGTGCTTTGTTCCTTGAGACTAGCTCTAGATAAAAACAAGACTCTATCTGAAAAATAACCAAAGCAAAAAAGGGCTGAAGGTATGGCTCAAATGGTACAATGTTTGCCTAGCAAATGCATTTCTGACCGTTTTAAAAGTTTAAAATTGAATTTGCTATTGATTTATATAACCCTGACTATTCTATATAAAGAGAACAGCCTGAGACAATCTTTGCAGAGTATAGCATTGTATCAATAGCTTAGACTCCTTCCTACAACCTACCTAGAGTTCTAGTACAAAAACATGTGCATAGATTATTAATTTAATTGCACTATGTTTTCATATTTTTACTATTACACACATTTGTTAATTTGTTTCATCACATTCTAATACTAAATTTTATTCACCTTTATCAATTTAGTTAAAAGATAATTCTTTTCCTAAACTTTTCTAAAATAAAACAACTTGACTTATAGTAACAAACTATCCCTGCCTCCCTTCATTCATTTCCTTCCTTCCTTCCTCCCTCCCTCCCCTCCCCTCCCCTCCTCTCCCTCTCTCCCTCTCTTTCTCTCTCCCTCTTCTTCCTTCCTTCCTTCGTTCCTTCCTTCCTTCGTTCATTCCTTCCTTCCTTCTCTCTCTTCTTTCTTTCTCTCTTCCTTTCTTCCTTCCTTCCTTCCTTCCTTTCTTTCTTTCTTTCTTTCTCTCTCTCTTTCTCTCCTTCCTTCCTTCCTTTCCTTTTTTTGTGACATGCTGAGGCTTGAACTCAGGGCCTGGACATTGTCTCTTTATTTTGTTGCTCAAGAATGGCACTCTGTCACTTGAGCCACAGCTTCACTTCTAGGTTTTTGCTGGTTAAGTGGAAATACTAATCTCACAAACTTTCCTACCTGGGCTAGCTTGGAGCTGGATCTCTAGATCTCAGTCTCCTGAGTAGCTAGGAGATTATCGGTGTGAGCCAGTGGCCATGGGCCATAGACAACCATTTTGGATAACAATTATTCCATTTTATAAGAAGAGACTATGTTAGCCAGTCAGTTGTTCATCATCCTAAATCTATTCATTCAATACTGTACTTGAGAAGCCCTCTCCTCTGCATTTGGTCAGAAACAGAAGCAAATAAAAGACCTGACAGAGGCAAAGGTAAGGTCTGTGTTACTGTGTTACTAGTACATAAAAGGATCTTTCATACCTCTGGGTTGAGACTGAAAGCTTTGGCTGGTTTTCCCACACAAAGAAAATCAAAAATGATTTCTTTCATTGCGAAATCTAAACGTTCCTGGAGGGAAAAACAAGAAAACAAAATGAAAATGTTAAATGCAAATTGAACATGAAATGCTTTTTTTTTCCATTTTATGTACCGAACAGGTGGCTGCTGACGGCAGAGGGGGACTGATAAGTTTTACGGGTCACCTAGAAGCCTGGAGGAAGGAACAGGCCCATCTGAGCTGCTGGTTGAGCCAGGCTGGCCTCTGTCTGCTGTGTGGGGAAAGACAGGGCACAGAAGGACAGCTGAATGCACATCTGGATCAGCACAAATTGTATTTGCAGAACAGATGCTAGTGACTTGGTCAAACAACTTTAAAAGCTACTTTTAATGATCATTGTCCTCTATACAATGTCACCCTAATCCTCTGGTTCATATCACACCAGACAATTTGACGGGTCAGAAGATGAATCCAAAAGTAAGATATATTAAGAATATTTAACCGACATCTTTTGTGAGTGTGTGTGTGTATGTGTGTGTGTGTGTGTGTGTGTGTGTGTGTGTGTGTGTGTGTGTGTGTGTGTGATACCAGTATGGGGCTAAACTCAGGGCTGTATACTATCTCCACTTCTTGCCGGTTAATTGGAGATAAGACTTCCCAGATTTTCCTGCCCAATCTAGCTTTGAACCTCAATTCTTAGACCTCAGCCTTGTGAGTACTTAGGACTACAGGCATGAGCCACTGGCCATCAGCATGACGCTTAATTGAGAACACTTAAGCTTGGCTATGGTAGCCCAGAACAGTGGCTATCCAAGTAGGACATGTTCACTTTATTAAAAACCTTCCAGAATAATCAAAGCATTCCCTCAGCACCTCTTAACTATTTGTAGAAAGTTATTTTCCTTCTGTATAGCAAGCAACGTACATTCTCAATGTACACCTATTACAGACATATTTCATTGTACTCAATGCAGCAAGAAATACAAATTAAGTCATCCCTGAACCATGTGTGTGGGGCAGGGGGAGAAAGAAAGGCAGAGAGTAAGGGGGCTTGTACTCAAGCTTTTGCTTGGCTTGTTTGTCTGATGGGCTAGAAGCTAGAATCTGCTAGCTATGCCTCTAGTGAGTCATTTTGCTGGCCAATTGGAAATGGAATCTCAAGGACTTTTCTTCCTGGGCCAGCCTTGGATGATGATCCTTCAGGTCTCAGCCTACTAAGTAACTAGAATTACAAACTGGTTAGAGCCCCTGGTGTTTGGCCCCAGCAGCCTTTTAATGCCTCCTCCTCTTTCCATTTATCCAAACCATATTTGAAGGCATACTGGACAAGCATATCTACCCTTATTTTACAGATAAAGAAATAACTGATTAAAAAAGAAGAAGAAGATGTTCTCTGCTCATGGTAGAGACTGGACTGGAATAAAAATCTTTTCCTACCTGGGTGCTGGTGGCTCATGCACATAATCCTGGCTACTCTGGAGGCTGAGATCTAAGGCTTGTGGCTTGAAGCCAGCTTGGGCAGAAAAGTCCTTTAGACTCTTATTTCCATTTTTTTTTTTTTGGGTCTGGTCGTGGGGCCTGAACTCTGGGCCTGGGCACTGTCCCTCAGCTCTTCAGCTCAAGGCTAGTGCTCTACCACTTGAGCCATAGCGCCACTTCCGGCTTTTTTCTTTTTGCTTATGTGGTGCTGAGGAATCGAACCCAGGGCCTCATGCATGCAAGGCAAGCGCTCTACCACTGAGCCACCTTCCCAGCCCCTCTTATTTCCAATTAATCAACAAAAAGTCAGAGGTGGAGCCATGGCTCCAGTAAGAGAGTGCTAGTTTGAACAAATAAGCCAAGTGAGAGCAACTAGGCCCTGCGTGTAAGCATGCATATATGCAAACAAACCTCACTGCTGACGTAACAGCATTTACCTAGGAAGTTTTTTTTAAAAAGTCAAAGCTGGGACTGGAAGAAGTGGGGAGTATGTGCTTAGCTTAGCTTGGCTGAGGCCTGGGCTTCAACGGTCAGTTCCAAAGAAGAAGAAATAGAAAACAAGAATCTCAGATTTAAATAACAAATTCCATATAGAAACTACTTAAATGTTACTGGACTCAGTTTTAGAATGCATTAATACATGATATAGTTATACAAAAATAGCTTAGAACAGTTTGGGGCCAAAAAAAAAAAAAAAAAAAACCAACCACCCCACCACTGAATTTAACTTGATAATTGCTAAACTCTGTATAAAATTCTTCATTTTTTTCCATAGAGGAAAATTAGAACACTATTATGTTTTCCTCAAGTTTCACTAAATTTTATTTTTTAATAAGTTTTTTTTATTGTGAAAATACCATACAGAGGGGTTACAATTACATGAGCAAGGTAATGACTACATTTCTTATCAAGCATTGTTGCCTCCTCCTTTGTTTTTCCCCTACCATCCCTGCCCTCCTATCTCCATGACTACTTTCCTCCCCCCCCCCAAAAAAAAGTTGTAAAGTTTGTTTTTCAAAATAGCATCTTGTACATATCATTGTTGCAATGTGTCCACCTGTATCCCTATTTAAACAATGTTTTTTCCCTTCCCCTCCCCAAATTATACCAACATCAAATACAGTGAAAACAGGGGTTAAATTATTTTCTTTTTTTTTTTTTAATTTTATTTTATTTTATTTGTGAACATACTGTACAGAGGAGTTACAATTACATGGGCAGGATAATGCGTACATTTCTTACCAAGCATTGCAGCCTCCTCCTTTGTTTACCCTTCACATCCCTTCCCAGCCTCCCCCCTCCCCCCCAATCCCAATCCTTCTCCTTCCCCCCTCCCCCCCCCCCCCCCCCCCGACGTTGTAAAGCTCGTTTTGGACATGACAACTTGTATTTCTCATTGTTGCAACAGGTCCACCTGTATCCTTAAACAACTGGTTTTTCCCCATCTCCTCCACAAGTTATACTGACATCAAATATAGTGAAAGCAGGGGTTATACTGTGGGGGAGGGACATACATGTTTCTGCTGGGTGCTGGAGGCTCACACCTTTAATCCTAGGTACTCTGGTGTCTGAGCTCTAAGGACTGATATTTGAAGCCAGCCCAAGCAGGAAAGTCCTTGAGACTCTTATCACCAACTAACTAGCAAAAAGCCAGAAGTAGAGCTATGACTCAAGTGGTAAAGGGCACTAGCCTTGAGCTGAAAAGGCAAGAGAGAGTGAGAATCTGAGTTAAAGTCCTAGCACCAGCATAAAGAAGAAGAAAAAGAAATCCTTACAAATATCAGACGACACCTGAGTGGTTGCTTTTTCATTTGGTGGTAGCATTCAGATTGGAGGACCAGAGAAAGGAAGGGAGAGAGAGGCAAGACACTCTTTTTCTAATAGGCTTTGTGACATTAGACTTCAACTGTCTCTCGGCTTCTTTGTCAGATGCTAAAAACACTTGACAGACTCAGGCACAATTTGTTTGGAAGTAAAGCAAGAGGCTATGTGTGCAAACACATACACAAACAAGTCTTTCTGAAAAGCATAAACACGTAAGGTAATCATTTAGATGTTTTGTTTGCTAGAACTTCATGGGGAGGAGATTGGCTACTTAAAAGCAATTAGAAGAATCTCATTTTCAGAAACTTCTGGGTTACCTGGGCGATGAACTGGATGATTTTCACAAAGATGTTCAGAGGCATATCCCTTGGTACAACACCTCGGGACCCTTTGGGGAAAAGTGTGGTGATGATGGTTATAAGTCGGCTGGAAAAGAAGGAGGGGAGAAGAGAAAATAAGCAAGATTGGCTGAGTTCCGGTTCTTCCAGGGGGAAATGGCAGATATTTTTGTTTTATCTAAGTACCAGAGAATTCAGGACAAGACAACAAAACACCTCATCCCTTTCCATTAGCATAATTACTTGATGAGAAGTTTTTTTTTTCCTGGACAACTAAGATCAGTTAGAAAAATTATAATTCTTTCCTGTGCCAATGTGGTAAATGCAACCTGTCAGCCACTGGCTGTGAAACCAAGTACCAAATGGCAGAGCACTTGTGCCTTTTAGAAACTCTCTGTTCTCAACAGGCTCTAGGTGGGTTAGTGTAGATACCAATTAAAGAATACACTCTGCTGGGTGCTGGTATACCTCTGCCTAGCCAGTCTGGAGGCTGAGATTTGAGGATCGTGGTTTGAAGCCAACCCACGTAGACAAATCCAGGAGACTCTTATCTCAAAATAACCAGCAAAAAGCTGGAAGTAGAGCTGTGGCTCAAGTGTGTTGAGTACAGGCCTTGAATGAAAAGGCCAAGGGATAGCATGAAACCAAGTTCAAGCCCCAGTACCGGCGCCATCATAATATTCAATGTCCATATATGAAAATAAAAGTAGGTAAATTGAGGGGGTGGATGAGGTTGAGAGAAATGGAGGATAGTGATGAGATGATGACACTAATCAAGATGCATGGCACTTACAAACTGACATATTGAATTGAAACCCATTTGTACAAATACTTGGGGAAAAATAAATAGATAATCCACAAAAAAGAAAAGAAGGAAAAGAAAACACCTCTGAAGTGGCTGGCCAGTATGATTATAATGATTAACTCAGTGGCACAACACCATCAGTACAATCCAGCTCCTCACCTCTGAGTAGCTGTGTTGCTTTCACATTTAATTCGAATCATGTAAACCCAAAGTAATCTGTAGAGAGATTCCAGTGCAACTCGAGCCATCTTGGGGTCTTTATTCTACAACAGAAACCAAAAGAGAAGATTAGTGATTAAGTGGGCATCTAAAGAGGTGATTCTTCTCTAAATGGCTAAAAAGAGAGGCCAGATGGGTGGTGGGTGCCTGTAGGAATGCCCTGTTATCTGGGACCCATTGGGTATGGTTTGGTAACAGCCCCTCTTCTCCCTGCCAACCCCATCAGATTCCCCTCTCACAAGGCCCTATGTTGGAACCTGGATTACAGTGAAAATAGAATACCCTGTTTCTGAAGATGTTCTACTTTCTGGAGTGGGAGGGGAGTGAGAGACAGGCAAAAAATAGTAAGCTCGAAGATAGTATAAGCCAAGGTGTGGATAAAGTGATATAATGCCAGCCTTGGGCAAAAAAGCCAAGTGAGCTGGGCACTGGTAGCTCATACCTATAATCCTAGCTATTCAGGAGGCTGAGATCTGAGGATTGAAGTTCAAAGCCAGTTGGGGCAGAAAAGTTTCCATGAGACTCTCATCTCCAATTAACCACGCAAAAACTGAAAGTGTCGCTGTGGCTCAAGGTGGTAGAGTGCTACCACTTGAGCAAAAGAGCTCAAGGACAGCACCCAGGCCTTGAGTTCAAGCCCTATGACCAACAACAAGAATGAAAAGCAAAAAAGCCAAGTGAGAGCTAAGGCCTTGAATTCAAGACCCATCCCAGGTCTAGTTCCAGCATGTGGGGACACACGGACACACACACACACACACACACACACACACACACACACACACACACACACACACACACACACACAAAGACAGTCCAAAAAAACTGGTAGATAAGAACTAGGGTACAGAAGACAGGCAAACCATGGCAAACTCTACAGAGCAGGAAAGATTTATAGCTGAAAATTCACTATCAACCCATTCACATACATATTCCTTCATTCATATCCTCCTCCATTTAACTCCTTCATTAACTCACGTACTCCTTCTTTCAATACATATGTGAGTGGCTACACTGGGTCTGCCATTGTGCTAGGCATGAGAAACGTTGAAAGGTGTGGAAATCCTGGTGGGTAGGAGAGCGTCTCAGGTGGAGTTAGCAGGCCCTGGAGGCCAAAAGGAGGAGGGAGAGGGCTGATTTGGAACCTAGGGATGGTTTGTATGCTGGTAAAGGCTAGTGTAGAAGGCCAAAGGGAAGGAGCAGTGGCTGATAAGGCCACTTCCACAGGGGGTTCAGGCCTCTCAGGATGGTGACATGGTTACTGACATCAAGGAGACAGGCAGGAAGTCTGGAGTCCAGAGTATGAAGAATGGAGTGGAGGCAGGGAGACCTGCTGGGTGACAGGAAGCAGAGAGAAGAGCACAGGTTTTCTCACTAGATGGACGTCACCTTCATCTCTCTCTTTCTACTCTTACTATATCCTGTTAATCAGTCTTGTAGATTTTCTCTGGAGTATGATAACACTTCTATCACCACTTCCTGTGCTACAGGTAAGTGCTCAGCACTGTCACTTGGGCTGGGGCAGGAACCTCCTAACTGTATTAAGTTCATTCCTTCCCGTGGCCCTAGCTGAAGCTATTACAGTTTTCTTTATTTAGAAATCTGACTGGGTGGCTTCCTGATCCTATGAGTGAGTTAACCTTTCTAGGCATGGCATACCTGCTCATCAGTTTTTGGCTCTAACCAATATTTTCTGCCACCCTGTTATTCTTTTAATTTATTTATTTTGTTTGTTTTTTGCTGGTACTGGTATTTTTTTGCTCATGGCCTGGCCTTATTTGCTCAAGGCTGGCATTCTACCACTTGAATCAAACCTCCATTTGTATTTTTTTTTTTTTTTTTGCTGGTTAATTGTAAATAAGACCTTCATGGACTTTTTTTCCCCCAGGCTGGTTTTGAATCTTGATTCTCAGATCTCAGGCTCCTAAGTAGCTAGGATTACAGGTGTGAGACACCAGTACTTGGTTTCATCCAGTTATTCTCTCACAGCTCCATAAACTAGTTATGCTCTGTTCCCTCCATTTCATGTAAGGAGTGTCACCTCTCCCCACATTCTTTTCTCCCATAGAAACCCATTCATCTTTCTCCCATATAAACCCTTCCATCCATTCATCCATCCACATAACCATCCACCAACTCATTCATTCATTTACAGGTGTGCCCATCACACCTACCTACCCTACTTCTGTATGGTTGACTTGAGTGTCTTTTGTGAAGCCTTGTCATTCCTCTTTGATGTTTTGGACCTAATCCCATTAAAGCTAGCCTAGCCTAGAATGGGAGAGGCTCTGTGTTGTATTCCCAGTACTGCAATCAACCAATCAATTTAACAATTCTATCTTGAGTGTGGGAGCATTGCTTATTGCTGCATTTCTAAGAATGCCTGTTTGTGGGCAGGAGAGAAAGCAGTGTGTGTTTCAGTGTGAATCTCTTTCTTTTAGGTCTTTTCCTTTACATTTCTTCTTTTTCCTTCTCCATTCTCTACCTTTTCCTTGCTTTTTTTTTCTTTGTAGAATAATATGGTGAATGTATTTGGGGAGGATTTATAATTGCTCAGAAATGATAGAGAATAAATTTTACCTTGCAACTATCTAAAGATGAGCCACAGAAATGAACTCTACAGGAAAGACCTTAGTAAGACAATTTTAGATTTGAGGAAGAAAAATTTACTCAATGTATGTCATTTAAGACCAACTTTTTTTTTATTGTGGTTATCATTCTCAAAGCCTACATTTCTGTATGCAAAGAGGTCTGTTTCTCATTTTTTTGTTCTCCTTGCTTATTCAAACCCTAGTATTGTATTAGTTTGTTAAGGTTTTATAGTGTATTTAAGTATATAGTATGTCTACATTCTACTGCTTATTGCTTTTAATAATATTTTTATTATAAGGGATTTTCTAGACATTCTTGCATGCTTATCCCTCCAAATAAATTGTGCAGCTCTGGGAAAATAAATAGTACAACTTTTTAGAAACAAATACATATATTAAAAAAAACCCTGTTTTCACTGTATTTGATGTTGGTATAATTTGGGGAGGGGAAGGGAAAAAACAAATTGTTTAAATAGGGATACAGGTGGACCATTGCAACAATGAAATATACAAGACACTATGTTGAAAAATGAACTTTACAATTTAGGTCGAGGGTGGGGGGTGGGGAGAGGAATGTAGTTGTGGAGATGGGAGGGAAGGGATGGTAGGGGAAAAACAAAGGAGGAGGCAACAATGCTTGATAAGAAATGTACTCATTACCTTGCTCATGTAACTATAACCCCTCTGTATGGTATTTTCACAATAAAAAAACTTATGGTTTAGTGTGAGCTTTAAATGGAAAAGCTAAGCAAAAACATGAGGCCCAGAGTTCAAGTCCTAGTACCAGCAAAAAAGAAAAATAAAAAGATAAACTTAATAAATAAATACTATGACTGAGATTGCTCTGATAGAGACTGAAAGAGCTGAGTGGCTTTTGGTTTTGCTCTGTCTTATACATTATGTACTAGTAATAGACTTTCATCACTTGCGGATAATCTCACTGCAACTGTCTCCTAAAGTAATTTCCTTGCTTCTCATTCATTCCCTGTATGGTTAAATGATACTCTTAAACTACACACATGCCTACTTAATTCCCTGCCACTTAAAGTCCTTCAGTGGCTTTTGATAAATTAATAGATAATGCCTTCATGCCATAACACGACACTCTTGTGTCTAGCTGCCCAGGATATCTAGGCCTTTACCTCATGGTCAGTAAATCTTATAGAGTAATAGACCTTTGCAATTCTCATATTGTCTGGTATGCCTCCCTGCCCTTTCTCTACTTGGAAAATTCCTACAGCTCAGCAAGAGTCTGGTGTCATCCCTCTAATTATATTCCTTGTTTCTATTCCCTGCTCCTGGCAGTGCCCTCGCTCTTTCCAACAATGTTTTTGTTTTGTGTGTGTGTGTGTGTGTGTGTGTGTGTGTGTGTGGAGGGGGGGGAGAAAAAGAGAGAGAGAGTATGTGTACTGGGGTTTAACTGAGGTCCTAAGTGCTGTCTCTTAGCTTTTATGCTCAAGGCTGATGCTCTACCACTGTAGTCACAGCCCTTCTTCTGGGTTTTTGTTGTTGTTAATTGGAAATAAGAGTCTCACAAACTTTCTTGCCCTGGTTGGCTTTGAACTGTTATCCTGAGATCTCAGCCTCTTAAGCAGTTAGGATCATAGGCATGAGCCATCAGCATTCAGCTCCTACAATGTTTTCAATCTCTTTTACATTCCATGGTCACCAACTTGGTTTGCTCACCATTGTGTTTAGACAGCAGAATAAACATTACAAATGCAAACAAACTGAGTAGGTGCTAAACATCTTGGTGCATAGTAAGAATTCTTTATAAAGAACCTATGTGGAAAACCATCCCTAGTATGTAGCTAAAGCTAGTCTTTGTGATAATACAACAGTAAGTACCTTGTAGTTATATGGCAGTTGGGCATTTCAAAAACTCTTTTCCATATAACATCAGTTGAGGAATTTTATAATGGAGAGAGAGCCAATAGATTGTTCAGGCTTCAAACGACATGAGAGCTGGGACTCTGCTTTAATGAGAATTGTTTTCTCAGAATTTTGAAGGTATGTGTTATAACTTACTATCAAGGCTTATAGGTGAAAGGTTTGGTCTCCATGGAGCAACCGGGAGGTGCAACTTTTAGGAGGTGGAGCCTCACGGGGAGGTCTTTAGGTTGTTAGTGGTATTCTTTCAAAGAGAATTGTGGGACTCGAGTCTCTCTTTCTTTTGCTTCTTTGTAGTTAGGAGAGCAGTTCTGCCCTCCATATGCTACCATCATGATGTTCTACCTTGCCACAGGCCCAAAGAAAGAGGGCTACTTGATCATCGCTCAGAGTCTCCAAAACTGAGTCAAAAGAAATCTTTTCCTTTTTATCAATTATCTCAGAAATTTTGCTATGGTTGAAAGCTGACAGACATAATGCTTATAACATTCATTAACTCATTTAAAGTTACACAAAACTACATGGACTAGATACTATTATTGTTCTCATTTTATCGATTAGGA